AGAGAGAGAGAGAGAGAGAGAGAGAGAGAGAGAGAGAGAGAGAGAGAGAGAGAGAGAGAGAGAGAGAAAGAGAGAGAGAGCCTCGGAGAGAGAGAGAGAGAGAGAGAGAGAGAAAGAGAGAGAGCGACCTTTACACTTGACTGACACTGCACTCTACAGTATCAGGGATCCGGCATCATCACTGATGGATCATGGTGTACAAACGGTGTACAGGGGCATGCATCAGATCTGGTATGAGGCCGGGGGTGCTCCAACTTTTCTTCCAAATAGCCAAATGCATCAGTGTCCGTATGCAAGTGATGCTTGGATGGTTGGTCAGGCTCAGTTGGTTTGGCTTTGCAGCACACCATTTACAAAGGCATCAGGGCCCATTCTGTGGTATCGCCGGAATGACAACCATGATTCCCGGCTTGAAATACTCTATCCCAAACATACCCTGGAACATTTTCATGTATATTCATTATTCACTATATTCTTGCTTGTTTTTCACAATGTTCGCCTCACTAATATCACTCATCGCATTACCAAACAAAGTAACATACCCCTTCATTAATTCGCAGCACAAAACGTACCGTCTTTTCTAGCTCTAAACTAGAACTGGTCACGCTCTATAATGATACATTCATCATTCACAACGAGCTAGATCCAAGAGTACAGTTCTCTTCAAGGCTATAATTGTAGATCGCATCACAAAAGCAAATTCCTCTAGCTAACGCACTTTGAAGTCAACGATAATAGTTAAATCTGCACAGATTGAAAGGGCAAGAAGGCGAGACACCCATTGCAGTCTGCCGGGTATGGAGCGATAGAAGCAGGCGACCGATAATCAGCAGAGGAAGGATCGAGACCAAACTACAAGTTGTACATGCATTCGATATGCACGTTCATGACCACTCAACGAATGATGCCATTTATCGTTTTTAATGTCGCGTATAAAAGCAGGTGCTTACGGCTGTATAAGCCGGGGTTCAAACTATGCTTCTATTCAAACATGCTTCTACGTCATCATCTTCAGTCTACGCTGTACCGTGCATATTGTCACCCATGTAATTATGTTCAAGTACATATCCTTGCACGTATGCTTCTATTCAAATCGTGCTTCTGTGTCACGGCGTGCTTCGAAAATCGGCTTCTATTCAAGTAATGCTTCTATATGGGTCATGCTTTTATACGCGACATTACAGTATTTGGTTTGATATTTACTTCACCATGACTTCTTTTAACTGGATGCCTAGCCAGGAGGAAGTCCCCTGTCGAGGATAAGAGGTGACAGGATTCATCACTGTGAGGGTGGAAAGAAGGGCCTGTCGCATGATATGATCAGTCAAAACACCTAGGCAAAGGTTTTCTCCAAGCTGCCCATTCATAAACTTTGCAAAAGGCGGCACCAGCAGTCGAATATGTTTACTTCCAGTGCATTCAGAGTAGGGGGGGGGGGGGGGGCGCTGCCCTCACCCCCTTTGGCTAGAACCTTGGATACCATTCACTGCCCCTGGCCTTGGCCTTGGTTTCCTCTCTCCACTGAAGTACGTACGCTTGATTTTGGGACGCAGAAACTGGCAATGTTGCTGCCACTGAGATCAACATGAAGGGAGTTACATAATTATGTACAATAATCGGATATGAATACACACAGTCACAAGGCGGCTTATGCCCATATGGTTACGTATGGTATACTTCATGCGTACTGTCTGATGGTCCGGGCTGGCGCATGAAACTCGGAGTTACAGCAAAACAGGTCGATTTGCGCTTCTCTTAGCACAGTGGGCGACTTCCACTGCTCAAAACATTGCCTAGAATACCGGGAGGAGGGGTAAAGCTCTCTAAGACAGAAGTCAAGACGGTTGATCGGTTGCTATTCCGAGTTTCAAGCTGTCCGATAATTAGGGCTGAAACGATCATTCAATAACTCCTAACGATCAACCAATATCTCTCCTTGACCAAATCCCATGGGGAAATATATGTTCCCTTTTGGGAACATTGGCCTGATTAAGGTTAACAACGATCGATATAATTATTGGTTTTATCAGACCTTGTCGGCTGTATCGAACACCAATTTATGAAGAAATTCATGTTGTTTCTAGAGCGACGAATCTTGTCATCACCCTCTGGCAACTGCTCCGACTTCTTCCACAAATGAACCGAAAAGACAAAGTCTTCTCTCCCAATCTCTTTCAAAGCCACAAATCAATAATAGCTCAGCATGAAACTCGGAGTTGCAACCGACCATCCTGATTTCTGTGCCCTTCTGTCTACAAGTAGGTGTGCATACATGTAGATGTCACTTCGTGCTCTGAATGATCTCTTGTATGTTTTCCTGATGTACACAGCACGGGTTGTCATAACTCAGCCAGAACTGTGACAACCTTGACAGGTGGACACATGTGTCAAGCAACGCCCGTAACAGACCCCCTAACCACATCTTACACATGTTCACGCATGGCTCAGCCTTCATTTCAAAACTCACCGCAGTTGTACATCAACAGTTACTGATGGTGTTCCGCTGGCATCATACGTGTCGAACATATTGGCATGTCCGCTGTAAAACCTGTTCATTCCCAGTCAAGTAACCGTTCATCACTGGAGAATGATTGTATCTCCCAGTGCCGGCGAGCCAGCGCCAGTGGAGCATAATGGATCAGCATAATTACAACTGATGATGTCCGCACTAGCCGCACATGTGTGAAATACTATCCGCGCACATTCAACTGGTGCCAGTGTGCAGATCAGGATGCTGGTGGTCTGAAACAAATCAGATTAGTGTACACACACACACACACACACACACACACACACACACACACACACACACACACACACACACACACACACACACACAAATGAAACGCTCTTCCAATTTATCACGGTTTTTGATGTCTATTTCAGTGTCCAGAAGGTGGGCCATATAAACGAAGTGACATGGAACAACACAAGCATCCTACACTGTACAGTGCTTGCACCATCATTTACATGTACACTGCCAGCACTGTGCCATAATCCACCCCCCCCCCCCAACAATCTCTCATGCCTGGCCGCTGGTACCCGTATCTGCCCATGCCACCTCCATGTACCGTGCCACTAGCTACATGTACATGTAGCTAGTGGCCCTTTTCAGTATTCCATGTGCCATACGGTGGGTTTGCATTAAACGCCTGTGTCCAAAACAGGCTTCTATTTGTTTTTAATGCAAGCCTGAATTTCAAGATACACTGCCGGCACTTAAACCCGGCCTTAGTGTCGACATACAAATGTTCATAGAAATACCTGTTTCGAATAGAAGCCTAACACTGACATTGGCTTCTACAGCAATACGCCCGGCTTTAATACGCGACATTATGGTATGTACTCAAGTACATGTACTATGAAAAGAAGAAGAAGAAAAAGAGTAAATTATCGTGTCCGTTCCCGAAGGGAACTCACAACGGCCACTAACACCCGGTAAACCCTAAAAAAAAAGGGTTTACAAACTTTACATGTACTATACACTACATGTACTTACTGGGATTACAGAAAACATACATGTACCGACACAGTAAGTTACATCAGGCTTTGCTAGTTCTATCCTTGCATTCAGCAGAGCATCCCGAAGAAAGGTGCTCTTCCACGATGCGCAGCATACATGTAGTATAGCACCATCGTTGGCATAATTCCAGCATAATATAGCAGTAGCATAATCACTGGCATAATGGAAAGCATAATTCAGCAGTAGCATAATCACTGGCATAATCACTGGCATAATGGAAAGCATAATTCAGCAATTTACCGAGCATAATCCGCCAAGACGGCAAGAGCTAACAAGGGTACAATCGCTGGTCAAACACGTCTAGAGTCGTAGAAATGTAGTCACAGTTGACTGTAGTCTGTATGCCCTATTAGTGTGCCTTTATGGACCTTCTGAGTGCTCTGTTACATGTACTAAGTAAGGCATTTTAGTCGGAATGGCCTGAAACAACCACCAAAATCGTCAAATGAGTAGGAGGGTGCCATTTTTTCATGGGGGGGGGGGGGCTCAATCAGAGTAAGGGGTTGCTGTCCTCTCTAGTGTCTGCAACTAACGTTACTTGTGTGGACCATGTGGACTGGTGGAGCTGTTCAGTTGGAATCTTGTGCCACCACCACCAAGTAACAGTTGTGATCAGGTAGTGTGTACTGTGTAGTGTGCATTGTACATGTATGTAAATTGTAAATTGTAGGTGTAGGCATACATGTATGCGGATAATGCCGGCAGAAAAATTGGCAGAATTCGGTACTTTTTCTGGTAAGTAACATAGTTTCATGCATGTTTGGTATGTGGATAAAGAAATGGAGCAGAATTCGAGAAATTGCCCGCCATAAGGTTTGTATGGTTCTGCCAATTATTATTTCACTGCTTTTGGAGCAGAACCTGCCACCTTTTCAAGCATTATCCGCCAATGCCTAATTGTAGGTGTAGGCAACCCACACTTATCCACAAACAGTTGACCATGGACATGGTTGACAGACTGTCACAGTGACACAGTCTCCTCCCTCCTCCTCGCCCTAGCCCTACCTCATTGCCACTGCTACTGCCTGGATCATGCGGATCTCAGCTAGCCAGTCAACAGTCAGTACAAAAAATGTTGCCTGCCATGCCTACGTGAAGTCGTTACATACACGCTGCATGCAGTCCAGGCAGTGCATGCATCTGTCAAGAGTTCGAGTAGATCTACGCCTACGGAGTAGACCTACGCGGACTGACTGCCTACATCAGTACAGACACACGTCATCAGGTAGATCAACGTAACATGGCGGCTACATGTATGCTGATGACTGGCCGACAATGATTTTTCAATGATTATGACTGTATGACTGTACATGTGTATGTAGAGTCCTTACGCCTACGGAGAGTCAGCATGGTTAGCATGGTGTAGTACAGTTACATTCACGAATCGGCACTCACTTTCGAATTTTTTGCTGCTGGAGCTTGACGACGCTCAATCATTGCTCCTACATCTGAAAATAAGTGGAAATGATACGACGTCGACAGTAGCGCTGTGTGCTAGGTCAGATGCTGTCTGTTTTCTGGAGTGAATTGATTCCTTCCAAAGTCGTAGCTCACATTCGTTGTTGCTGTGCTGGCTGCAGGTCACTTGTAGCTGTTAGCGCTTGTAAACTGCTCCGAAACAGCATTTGGCAGTTGGATCGTTTGTTTATCTGTTATCCCTGGTCCGTTTCGCTTGACGGTTAAAAGAGGCAGAGAGTCTGTAGCGAGCAGATTTCATGGAGAAGCGTCACTAGGCGTCAGCATCTTGCTTGCTTGCTGCGGCGGAAAAGGGAAATGGGCAACGTGCAGAGCGAGGGTCAGGCCACAACGGATGGCGAGGATGAGGCAGTGTTCTTTGATGCATCGCACGGTGGACTGACAGAAGTACCCAGCGATGCATTCAACATTGGTACCATGCAGTTGGCAAAGATAATGCTGCAAGCCAATCAACTTCGTGCAGTACCCGAGGTAAGCTCGGAGACAGCGCTGATTTGCGCGTGCCAGTATCGACCTAGCTAGAGAGAAGAATATGTCGGCCTTGCCGCCGAGTTGGTGAAATTTTCTTGTGTCAATCGAGGTGCTGTTTTTTTTCATTCACTCTCCGCTCCGTGCATTTGTAGACATAGTGTTGATGGTTGATGTTAGTTTCCCCGTGTTCGCACTAGTGCACTGACTCAGTGCACGGGCTTTACTTGTGTATGTCGCCTCGGTGTACACCTGTTTGTGCGGAACATGCGATAATACTCTTCTCTTTGCTTTAGCTGCGGATCTAATGCGTGTTCTTCTTGTGTTCGTGTGTCCGTATGCGTGTTGTATGCGTGGGCTTGTGTAGCGAGTGTTCAGTGTGGAGACGGTGCGCTCGCTGAATCTCAGTGATAATGAGCTGGTTGAGCTCCCAGAGGAGATTGGAAACCTGTTAGCATTGGAAGAGCTAATCCTTTGCAAAAATGGTGAGGAGTTGGATACTGGTATATTCATTGGTTATTGTTGACACTTTTGTCGTCCTGTAAAGCTAGTAAGTTATGAAGTTTACGTGAGTGTCGGGCTGCAAGTGAAGCTTCATTTACTATGCGTATTGTGAACCTGTCACCGTTTGAAGCTCGGCGTCCGGAAGAGTGTATGTCGCTGCCTCGTTGATCCCATCTTTTCATCGCGCGTGTCAACCTAGTTCCTGAAGGCTGAAGTATTTCCTTCCTACGCCTTGTGCTGGAGCAGTAGAAGTACTATGATGTAGGTGTCGATCATGTGCTAGGTGGGCAAGGGAAGCTGCTTACTATTTTTGTTTGACGATAAACCTGAAGCCTGTGTGGGTTGTAGAGTTCGCTGGCAGTTTCGTGCATCCAACTAAAAAATAACGAGTCCATAGACTCTACGTATGTTTTGTGAGCGACGTCAAGACACGCAGAAGAGTGCCGCTCTGACTCCACTCTTGCTTGTTGCAATGGATTATGTTGGACGACTCACTCACTTGTAAATAAGCGCTGTGTGTGAGTGTCGGTGATGTCGTCGACTACTTGCCAAGCTGCCGTCGATCGACTCCGATCCGTGCCGGACAGCGGTGCGATTATGTCACTCGGCAGACCTCGCTGATAATAATGACCGCGGATTGCCCAGAGCGGCACACGCACAGCAGCACTGCGCTGCCGACCGTCCACACTGCAGAGTCGGACGGGACGTCGATGAGCAGTTGTGGAAGTGGAACCGCTGGCACTTGGCATGACATGTCAGATTGAGCGTTCACAATGATGTGAATAATACGCACACAAAGTAGGGCATGAAACTTCAACGTGGCGGTGGAACGCTGGGCTGTGAGACAATTTTTTTTGATTTTGAGCGGCTTCCCAGGTACATGTACGCTGATGATGTAGGCATGGCGTGCCTTGCTCTTGGCAGTGCATGCATGGCACTCCCCACTCAGTCTGAAAATGTGTGAGGTTGTAGCTGTGCCTCTTCAGCTTGGCAAAAAAACTGAGTTTTGTACTGCTTTGTCTTGTTCTCTTTTGTTGAAAACACACTCTTTGGGCTCCACGTGGTTGTGACTGACATGCATATAGCGCATGCACCCCAAGCTAGATCCAGCGCATACTAGTAGTAGTAGACATGTGTAGTGTAGTAGTGCATTGTGTGAACTAGTGGCTACTAGTACTAGTACTACAGTAATCATGATCAAAGTAATACAATTCATGGGTGTATCTGTAGCAGACAGACAAGAATTGTTAGCATTCTCCTAGCATCTTGATTCAGAATCATGCAGTTTGCTGGAATGTGACAAAGTGTATGATGCGCAGACAGTATCTATCCTTCAGTACAATGCAGCAATGACTACATGACTGTGTTAGTAACAAGAAAGTAACCAGTAGGAAATGAACGTAGTCGCAGTGGTGGTGGTGGTGGTGAAGTGGACACAGACTGTGTTAGTAGTAGATTCATCAAAGCCAAAGGGCCAGTGTGGTTGCCCAGTTGCCGACTGATGCGAGAGCTGAAACTCTTACTATGCCTGTGGCGTGGTGGTATCCATGGTAAATTCTTGTTAATGTAGACTCACTGAATCGGGATGGAGTCCTGCTGCTCCTGTTGTATCCTTGTATTGCTGCTGTTGCGGGCAGTGATGCTGTACACGTACAGAGTGCAGAGTCGCGGTGTGCAGTTCCCATGCAATGTGTTTTAGTGACTGTGATCTTGTCAAGAAAGGGGGGAAGGTGTGGTGCTGACTAGCAGTAACTGCACGCTTGCAGTGCACTGCGTGGCCCATGGCCTGATTTTTCATGGGTCTGTGTAGTATGTGTCAGTGGATTTGTGTTGTGTCATGATGTGGAGTACCTATGCCGATGGCTCAGTAATGGCTATGCATTCTGTTTTGTATGAACACAGTCAGACTCATACCTTGCTGTGTGTACGGTTTGGGGTTCTAGCACTAGTAGCAGTAACAATAGCAGTACATGTAGTTACGGCATACAACAGTACATTGTACTGCTTTTAAGTCTGACAAAGCGAGTCGGTTGACGCCAGGCAACGCGGCACAGTCATAATCTTGGGAACACCGAGAGCTGTGCTGCACTGGCATATGACTGACCTATAGACTATGCACTGGAGCAGTGTGCTAATATACTCGTGAGGTCTGATTCCGTTGAGCACGACTGCAGTAAATCGTTACAGAAGCAGAACTGGCGGCGGTTGAAGTCGGTCGTTTTCTCTCTGTTATTGTGCCTAACGTTACCACACTTAAAGACGGGTGTCGTGCCTGTAGAAATACTCGCCCAATTTGATGGATGTATTGAACTACAGCTGTGGCCAAAGAAATCTGATCCACGGGTCAAAAGTAGCGCCTCGTTTCCATTTCAATTACATCATGCATGTTCCTGAAACTGATCCGAGGGCTGTAGGGGCCGCATGAGCCTTGGCGCTGCTTTCGGCACGTGGGTTGGAATACTTTGGTGTAGTTTCACTCGTTGTGACGGGGGGGGGGGGGAGTGCAATGAGAGTGACAGTTGTGCGCTTTACCAGCTGAAGGAATGTATCTGCCAGATAGGACGAAAATTGGTGCGAGGATATCGTGGATGATTACAAGCTGAGATTGCTTTTCATCTTTTTCCTTCTGCTGTTGACATGTTTGCAGCTATCGAGAGAATACCTGACACTATTGGGCAGCTGAAGGTCCTGAAGTTGCTCGATGTCAATTCGTGTCCGCTGGATGCGTAAGTGTGTACTTATTTTTTGTGAAAGGAGTTTCCCGGCTCAGGGCAGTCAATTCTTTCCCGCCATCGGTTCTTCCAACCCCAGGGTGGTGGGTTGTGTTGTGACTGATCGTGTCCCATGCGTGCATATTAGGCTACTGTGATGCATGTGCGTGTGTGTGTGTTTGTGTGTTTGTGTGTGTGTGTGTGTGTGTGTGTGTGTGTGTGTGTGTGTGTGTGTGTGTGTGTGTGTGTGTGTGTGTGTGTGTGTGTGTGTGTGTGTGTGTGTGTGTGTGTGTGTGTGTGTGTGTGTGTGTGTGTGTGTGTGGTACATGGTGTGTGTGGTACATGGTGTGTGTGTGTGTGTGTGTGTGTGTGTGTGTGTGTGTGTGTGTGTGTGTGTGTGTGTGTAATCTGATTTGACTGAGCAGGGAGGCCGTCTTACCTCCTGCTATCTCAGTCTTGATGAGTACCCACTGCTTATTTAGCAGAGTTGAGACACAGCCTTGCTATGTCGGACATCAGGCCCGTATATGGAACCGTGCACTGCATTGCATAGTGCCTTTCTAGATTAGAAGCACCTATGACTTCCCAAGGTTCCCAAGCATGTCCGCAGCTAAACCATGCATTTCAATACAAGATTATACGTCTAAACGGTCCGGCATGTCAACTAGTAGTGCCGGGCTACATGCTGAAGGATAAGATCATGGTATCAGTGTGCAGAGTTGCATTTTATGTACCGTTACGAGTAATACCTCTCTGCTCATACTCCCATATTTGGCTATGCATTGGACTTATGGCCTGTACTTCTTTCTGCAAAATCCATGCACTTAATATAGGATGGATGCTGACGGTTTCCCTTGTGGGTCTGAGCGTGGCTATTTTTAGCACGGGTTTAGCTACACCTGAATGTGGATATGAACTGTGTTGATTTTGGCTGGCCCCCATTCTTCACCTTTTAGAGGGCTGCCACCATGCATGGATGCAGTTCTCATCTCCGACGGCGTTGTTAAGATTGCTCTTTATCTCAATGTTAACGTGCTGCCTGTGCTTGCTGGTGAATGGCAGTGCTATGATTGTGATGGTGAATGGCAGTGCTATGATTGTGATGGTGAATGGCAGTGCTATGATTGTGATGGTGAATGGCAGTGCTATGATTGTGATGGTAAATGGCAGTGCTATGATCGTGATGGTGAATGGCAGTGCTATGATTGTGATGGTGAATGGCAGTGCTATGATTGTGATGGTGAATGGCAGTGCTATGATTGTGATGGTGAATGGCAGTGCTATGATCGTGATGGTAAATGATTTTCGTGTACATGTAGTGTGTGTCTTATGGTGCGCAATATGTCTGTGCTGGGCTTGGTTTCTGTGCTCGTTGCAGCGTGCCAGACGCTCTGTGCGAATGCGAGTCTCTCATGCAGCTAACGCTAAGTGACATATACTTGGACAGCCTGCCGAACAACATTGGAAAGTAGGTGTTGGAAGCTGCGCTACCCCTACCCTTTACACGACATCGCTAGCCTAGGGAATCAAAGTAGAGATATGATGGAATACACTGATGTACATTGTACTTGTACATATAGTGACTTTGAGGTGGCATTTAATTATAGGGCGTGCCATTGACAAAGCCAGACAGGAAATTCTGTGTCAATTCCTTCTGTTTACTTTATCCTCTTTATATGGGGCAATATTGGTTGCGATTGTTGCAGTGAGTGATTTGTAAGGTGTGAATTAATGGCCGTGCGAGGCAGTGCTGCTCTGTATTGTTTGTATTCGATAATTATGTAATTCTGTTATGCACCTCCGGTAGTAACGACTATCTCCACAGTGGAGTTACTATCATATGTCGCCTCCAGCACCAGTACATGTAGTGTGATAGAAAGTGTTGACTTGCGCGAACGTTCCCATTTTCTCTGTTAGAGTCACACAAAGTTTATGCTGTGTGCTTATATTCAAGTCTTGGGAATTGCTCCGGCTTGCTCGCTCAATTTCATTTTTCAAATGGTGGACCAAAGTTGGCTGATGTGTTAGAAGCAGCGATCAGGGCGTAGCCAAGCGGCTTGCATTTTTTAATCGTCTCAGACATGAAGCTGGGCGCATTCCGTTTTTATCATTTTAACTGATAATAGCTGAATTAGTCTGAATTATTTTATGCGGTGTCTTGTTGCAGCTTCTCTGCACATGTCTGTCATGCTTGGTCTGCCAAGTTGTCACTCTTGTAGAGTGCTCTTCTTCCTTATCCCATAGCTTCAAAGCAGCTCAATTGTTGCTCACTTTTCTGTGACCCGTCTTTCCAGGTTGTCTCGTTTGGAAGTGCTAGAACTGCGTGAGAATATGCTGGATAGATTACCCAGGTATGCCATTGCCATGTTTGGGTTTTGATCCTGTTTGTAGTGCGGTGGCAAGTACATGTACTTTGCAGTACTAAGTGGAGACATATGATATGTTGATATCATCCGTAACTTTTATGTTAGTCTACAGTATGTGTGTGCGGACATTTCTGTACCTGTAGTGTGTCTTGAATATGACGTTTTACAAGAGCTGCGCCTCTATCAGGTGCACCTCCATTGCAGATGAGTTTTCCCTTAGAATCTTCCATGTTGTGTTTGGGATGACTTTTCAGTTCATTTCACTTCATGCTTTTGTGTTTCTGTTTGTTTGTGTACATCTTTCAGTTCATTCTACAATCTTGCACGCCTGCGTCGGTTAGACTTGGGCAGCAACAGGTTCGAGGAAATCGTAAGTCACTGCCTTCAAGAATAATACAAGAGTGTGAATGTAACTAAAATTATAAGCCCTGTCAAATGTTCAAAGAACCGCCTACTTAATTGTGATACACCGGGATACCGTAAACGTCCGTAAATAGGTACCTGCCCGAAATAAATACCTCCTTCATACTTTTAACTCTGCCTATTGAAGTCAAGTAATAGTAATTATAATAATAATAATAATAATATTCGTGGGATCCGCGTCGGCATCGCTTGAATGTTCAGAAGCACACAAACAAGCCTTCGCATCCCCAGGCCACCACTATGCGTGTTCACGAGTCAGGGGAGAGGAGGTTAGTCTCTCAACCAATCGGGCGTGTAATGGCCCATAACCCTGTAAACTGCATCCTTGTTATTCTCACTCCGAGCTGTGAGTACCCAGTTGACCGTGCGTGTCGGCGCAGTTCAACAAGCGTAAAAAAGACTTTTTACACGTTCCCTGCTACCAGCGCGGGTCTTGAACTCGGGACCTCATGATTCGCAGGCAGGCCTGCAAACCAATCGGCCATATGCGTTGAAGTCAAGTTCAGCCCGATAAACATACTGCCTGAAATACATACCTGTATGGTTCGCACATTCTGCGTGTACCATCTACATCTACGTGAAAAATGACTCTTTTCCGCTACACACGAGTCGGGTCCGAAAGTTAGTTTGTGCCCAAAAATCAGTACCTACCCGAAAGTGAAAACGGGTGTGACCACTAAATTCAAAAGTAAGGATGTACTTATTTACGGACTGTTACGGTTTTCTGAGTACAGTGCTAGTACTTCAAAGTGCTGTCGACTTCACTTATAACGAACTCGCATATAGCGCATTTTTTGCTAGAGTGAACCTTTGTCCATGTCCTGTTTGAACCCATACACAATTGACTCTTTTATAGCGAACAGTTCTCGTTTATAACGAACTAAATCGTGTAGTGCCACATGTGAACCAAGTGTGCTCGTAGTTTCATGGGCCACATGCCAGTCATGACTTGCTGCTTGTATGGTGTGAGTGCATTTCTGTTATAACAAACAGGGCCGGAGGAAGGAGTTCGGGAGTGGTCCGGCCAACCTTTGAGGGGGGTCTGGGGGACCTCCCCCGGGAGAAATATTTAAAATTTACGTGAAATAGAGCGAATTTGGGCACCTCTAAGCCGGACTAAGGCTCCAGAAAATGCAGAAAATTATAGTAAAAGAACACAAACACAACTTTTTTTTATCCATATCAGCCATACAGTGCCGGTCACGGAGTCCTGAGTCATGAGCTACTTCGAAGCACATCACACGTCAGCAGTACAGTCGAGTCATGTACCTCTGGATTTTTTTACACCGGTTTTGCACGAATCACATGGACCATCCAGCTGGGAAAGTGGTCCGGCCATGGCCGGACCAGCCTGACCGGTTCCGCCGGCCCTGACAAACTACAGCTATAAAGAACTAGTTCTCCTGCACAATGGTGTTCGTTATATCTGGAGTCGACTGTAGCAACAATGGTGATTCCCTTACGTAGCAGTTGATCTAACTTGGATGCTCTAACACTGATTACGTATTTTTGCGATGGTTTTTGTCACACGTGCACGCTCATCATGCATTTGCCTTGCCTATTTTTCATAGTTTTATTCTGCACTGCTTTCGTTGTTCTGTCGTGTAGCCGTATGGCTTCTCACGCCTGTTCTCCTTACAAGAACTCTACATGGACCAGAACAAGTTGACGGAACTACCAGAGGTATGTGTGTGTGTGTGTGTGTGTGTGTGTGTGTGTGTGTGTGTGTGTGTGTGTGTGTGTGTGTGTGTGTGTGTGTGCGTGTGTGTGTGTGTCTGTGTGTGTAAGTATGACTAGTCCGGGCATCTCGTGATGAGCATGTCATGTTCAAACTACCATCTGTGTGTGCCCTAGTAGGTAGAGAAACTTGACTGTGTAGGGAGACAGTGCACAATGTCATCACGTACGTCAACTAAAGACACGGCGTCGTTTCATGCAGTTCACCCCAAGGATTCACTCAAGTCTGACATATCAATCGAACAAAATTAGGTATAATTCTCTTTTAAAACCCCTGTCAATTTGAGAAAGTAGGCAAATACCAAACAAATCTTAATCCAGGAATTCATCTTTAAAAAATCCCGTCACATCCTGTGCAGAGAGAAAGTGGAAACGGAGAAGAAGATCTGAGCTAGATGCTTGAGAGACGAGTGTCGCACGAGGATTGCCTACCAAGGAAAGACCCACTGCGTTTATTTTCTTTCATTTTCAAGGCGGAGGCCAACATTGCCAATTTCCATCATGCAGGACATGATGGTGACCGTCTTCAAGCACTGATCTGCAGCCGGAATGTTCTTGTAATTATTCCATAGTTTAATTAAGGCGGATTGGATGGATTCGGCGGCGTGTTCCCCCAGCAAGCTTACTCCCCCAGCAAGCTTACTCCAACGCCAATTATCTCCATAAGCGGAACAATGTGCTTCTTGAGCAGGTGTAGTTTGAGGGTGATGTAGCCAATGCCACAGGAGACCACGTCGCGCCTGCGCAAGGCCAACACATCTTTTATGAGGGCTCTCGAAGACAAAATCTCCCCAGCAGTGACTGCAGCGCTCTTGCTGAGAATATCACTGCGAATAGCATAATTATTTGGTAAACAGTTGCTTGCATCGATTGGAGATTGCCTGGGGACCAGCTTCCAGGACTGGACACCTCTGCTTCATGATGGTGACGGGTGCGCCTGTCAAGGCAGTGACCACAGTGGGCTTCGAAGTAGCATGGATATGTTTGCCATTGAATACACCACTGTGGTATACTCGACACTCGATGTGGTGCTTCTGCATTTCTTGATTGGTAACCACTAATTTTCGGAACACACTTTGATCAACATCAAATGGAGTAGATTGGGTGGCAAGTTTCACGTCTATCTGCTGAAGTTTTTCAAACGCTCAAATATCCAGGCAAATATTCCAAGGTCTAGATGCAGAACTGGAACAAGAACATCAGCGAACTGGTATGATCAAGATGATTGGCCGGATAACATTATTGATGTTCTACAGTCCGTTTCAAAAAGATTTACAACCCTGGCGATCGCCCGCGGAGTTTGGCGTCTTACCGTATGAGCACTCGAGCGCTGCCTGGAAAAACTCACTGTGAACTCGAAGAAATATTCCGCGCGAAAGCAGGAAAATGACAACTCACTCACGTTGACACAGTCATGGACGTACGTCTGGTTTACAACAAACGAGTTCTTCATCGTATCGATAATGGAGTCAGAGAGGACATGTCTAAACGAAAGTGTTGTAAATGTTGACGAGCGGCATGTGTCCCAATCCGTTTTGTGACCAAAATAGTTTCTTTGAGCTGCGATGCAATTCACTCACCGTGTGACGAAAACGACATCGACACGGACTCATTCCCAAGGCCATGACTTGGCAAAGCTATCCGTGTGACTTCGACGACATTTTGAGAAAAACAGACGCTTGTGAACGCTGATAGAACTTAGAAGACGGCGTTGACTGCTAAATTCAAATAAATTGGCGATCTTGAAATACTAAAAATAAATCTCAAAAAGCTACAGCGCGATGACTTCCATATTCACTCACACCATTGCAGTGTTGTGGGTGTGTTCACATGGCGTGAGCCAGTCAAGTGTCAGTCAGTTCGGCAGGAAGCGCGACCTCCAACAACAAGTCGTTTGGTGCAGCCATCTTCTTTGTCTTGTACCAGCTTGATCACCAAAACAATGAAAAAAAAGTTTGACTTGAGGATAGGTTGGGATTTGAACTCACAACTTCATGGTCAGCAGACAGCATTCATAACCACAAGGCCAAAAAGGAAAGGATAAATCGTGGGTTTTGATAAAAAATCGATACTGGCTTCCTGGGCAAATTGTAAACCATGGGAAAAGGCCGGAAACCTGGCCGAAATTCTAACTCCTTAACGGTTGGTCCAATTGTTCCGAAACCTTCACAGAACAATTTGCCGTGTCCTAACAAGCCATTCTATGTACTTTGTTGTCCAAATTTCCCTTATCTTCATACTTTTTAAGACCCAAACCTGATTGTAAATCTTTTTGAAACAGACTATAGGCTTGGCTCACTTTTGATCCGCCTTCTTCAAGCAATGGCAATGCAGGCATTGCCTTGCACCACTTCGCTCTGGCAAGCCATAATTGTTGCACTGGAATTCGTAGTCTCCGAAGAGAAAGATGCATAGGCGCTTATCCGGTGAGGCCATGTCCATCAACTCTGTTAGTTGCTCCATGTACATATCTAGCGCTGCGTGGAGATTACCGGGAGTATCCTTCTCGTTGAAATGCACAGGGATTGTGAATGCTACGAGGGGACTGGAAGACCACCAATTGGAGTTTGCCGAGGCTCCCATCCATATTTGCGCACTCATGATATAACAGTCGATGCTGCTGCTGTCGGTGGGGGCGATTTACATGTGTTCATGCCGGTGTGCGATGGGGTTTTCTCCCGTGCCGCACATTTGTCTTGCATTTGTGCTTTATTACGCTTTGGCTTCCTGCCACGCTAGGAAAGCTTGCAAATCAGACAGTTTGTGCGGGTGTTTGGCTCCCAGCCTTCGAACGGCCCACATCCACCTCCAGAGAATGTGTGGCTCTCAGCTGTAGCACTGCGATCTATGGCCAATTTGCATGTGAGGCAAACATGCTCAGGGTGTACACTTGGCTCATCCTTAGACACCGCATTGAGGTGAACTACTGTCAAAATGGATCTACTACAATCACAACCACGCGATACCTGGTCTCCACACTTCTTGCAGCAAACTTATTGTTGTGTCCTACCCCGGGCGGGTTCTACTTGGACTCATCCAGCTCGATCACACACACACACACACTCGAGGCCATTACAGATTTCAGTACATCTCAAACTCCATATCCGAAAAAGACCCAGCTCATGTGCGAGCATGCACACTACATACATATGGTCCATGTCCAGGACATGACACTTATCGTTGCCGAAAGGACAGAACAATGTTAGTCCATATCTGAACAAAAATCACGTCCCAAACCTGGGTGCCAATAGATAGAACGAGGTATGTCAAGTTAAGAAATAATCAAATCCCGGTTCTTGGGTACCGAAGTATCATAGATAATACCCTGCAAGGTTGAGGAGATCTTCCTAAGCAAATGGCGAGGCCTTGAAAGCAAGCGTCGATCCACCAACAAATTGTGCACGCATCGACCCAAGAAACTGCACTCGGCACTTGTTTTTCTTACGTGTGGGCAGCACATACATTAGCTATAATGATAGAGATTGAAACTCGTTTCCCTTTCAGCTCCATTTCGGTTGGTTTTGACAGAACTACACTAGAAGGCTGAATTTGACATGGTTGTCACAGCCTCACAGGCCAATGCTATTGGGATCCATACATGAACGCCCTCCGAATTCACAAAAGGTAGGCACTATACATAAAGAAGAACTTCTTCTGAAAAAGGATATGCATGTAGACATTCTCATTTGCTTCTTGATGTGTGCGTGTGTGTGTGTGTGTGTGTGTGTGTGTGTGCGGGCGCGTGCGTGCGTGTGTGTGTGTGTGTGTGTGTGTGTGTGTGTGTGTGTATGTGTGTGTGTGTTTCCTACAGAGTTTCTGCCAGCTCGATAGCCTCCAGATACTCGACTTATCGAACAATACCATATCCAACATCCCCAATGAATTCAACCAGCTCCGTAATTTAACCGACCTAGAACTCTCCAACAACCGCATTGATGCATTACCAGATATAAGTAAGCGGCTGAATTTGTGATGGTTCTGCTTGGCTTGAAACTTTGCAACTTCATTCTAATGGATGCAGTCCTTCATGCTTCATCATCCTACTTGGAAGTAAAAGGCCTTTGGTTTTCATTGTGATGTATAGCAACAACTGACTTCTGCCGTTCTGGTTTTCCGTTGACTTGATGTCTTGCTGCAGGTAGTTTAACTCGCCTCGTCTCCGTCCGTGTGAACCAAAACCAACTCACATTCCTTCCGGAATCACTAGGAAGGTAAGGTTGATCAGCGAGAGAGAGAGAGAGAGAGAGAGAGAGAGAGAGAGAGATAGATAGATAGATAGATAGAGAGAGAGAGAGAGAGAGAGAGAGAGATAGATAGATAGATAGATAGATAGATAGATAGATAGATAGAGAGAGAGAGAGAGAGAGAGAGAGAGCGCGAGAGAGAGAGAGAGAGAGAGAGAGAGAGAGAGAGAGAGAGAGAGAGAGCGAGAGAGCGCGAGAGAGGGAGAGAGATAGGGAGAGATAGGGAGAGAGAGAGAGAAGGGAGAGATAGGGAGATAGATGACAGATAGAGATAGAGAGAGAAAGACAGAGAGCCGGAGAGACAGAACTAGAGAGATAGAGAAAGGGTATATGACCCCTTCCACCCCTCCCTTTCCCCAGGACTCAACATCTGCGGAAGTCGATTTTTAACAGCCCGGTCTCTCTAGTTGGTCCAAGAGTTTGCAAAGCACAACCCTTCTATCGGGGTGAAAGGTTTGAGAGAGAGAGATAGATGTATAGATAGATAGATAGATAGATAGATACTCAAATCTGTGGACAGCAACTGTTTCGCTCTGTTAGAGCTCCTCAGCACAGCTCAGAGGACCTAAGCGCAGCTCTTCGCAATGAAATACGTTTCCGTGAAGCAAAGCATTTTTATAAAGAGCTGCAAACCCCGCCAATAGTGCTCGAAATGCTCCAAGAGCAGTGAGTGTTGCACAAGGCGAGCGGCAAGGGTTCGCGCTAAGGTAAGAGTGCTCAACCTAACGACATTGCTGACTGCTAGGGAGCATAGATAGATGGATAGATAGATAGATAGATAGATAGATAGAGAGAGAGAGAGAGAGAGAGATAGATAGATAGATAGATGGAGAGAGAGAGAGAGAGAGATAGATAGTCGGCCGAACGAAGCCTAGAGGAAGAAAATCACCCTCTCCACTTCACCATCACGATACTGACATAGATACGAGATGAAACAACTAAAAAATCCACAAGAAAACTGTACGGCCATCATCAGACTTTGGTGTGAGAATTTCTATCACGATCAAAAATGTACGAGGAGCACTCAAAAATAAGCTACAGACGTACCTTTATCGCTCTCTACTCCTTTTTCAAGGCACAAAAGTCGACTCTCCACTTTCAAACCAGGAACCAGACATACCAGTGGTCCTTTTCAGCTGCTCCACGAGCGCAGGAAAGGTTCACCAAGGGGCGCAGAGCAGCATCCATTCCAAGAAAAGAGCTAAAATATGAGTGAGACTGGATGCCTGAGTACATGAGTACATGCAGAAAATAGTCAATTTCAGCGTTTCTGCTCCAAACAGCAACTAGCTTCGACTAGAAACAAAGATTACACCAAAGGATCAAACAACAACCATTTTCTGCAGTTTTTTGCAGATGGCTTCCTTGTGCTTGGCCCAGCACGCCAAAAATCACACCTCGGAGGAGTACAAAAATTACGACTCTCAGATGTCCTCGATTGCTGGCCATGATATAGATAGATAGATACTCAATCTGCGGACAGAACTGTTTCGTCCTTTGTGGACTCGTCAGCGCAGCACAGAGGAAATGAGGCCAAACCTGATAGCAATAAAAGATAGATAGATAGATAGATAGGCAGATATATAGATAGAGAGATAGATAGAGATCACGGCTGTTCCCACGGGGGCATCTAACAATATGGCGGCTTTTGCGCCGTTTTTGACAAATCCCAACGGTATTTTATAATGCGAAGGGAACTATTACATTTTCACATCAAAGCCATGACGAACTGAATTTTTATACTTGCTGACATGTGTCGACGCGTCCTCGATTGCCTCGAAAATATTATGGTGAGGAAAGAGATTGAGAATAAAGGAAAAAAAATATTTGAGAGGAGAGAAAGAGCTCAAACGAGATGGAAGACCGAGAATTTCAGATAGGCCAGAAAACAAGATGCAGGGGAACACTTGCTTTACTGCGAGGATTTCCTTTTCCTGCTGACTGGACAGAGCGACTCGTGTTGTGGGAGAGTTGCAATCAAATGCGTCTGTGCAACAGACTTGAGGCGCTCCAAGGGATTGTGGGTGGCCTCGTGATGTCTCCTCAGCTCGTTGAAGCGGGCGTGAATGCTCTCACTCCCTTGCTCTGCGAGGAAACCAATGCCTCGCCGCTGGATGGACGGCACGACATGCACCTCCAACATGTGCAATTTCGGCGTGATGAGGCCGAGCTGCTTGCTGACTACAATATCTCGGCATGCGGCCATACATGCTTCAATCAAGCTTTCTAGCTTGGATATCGTAGCCTCATCCATAGGCCTGCAGTGGCTGAAGAGGGCAGTGCACTCACCATACAGGGACATCAGGCCAGGCGCTCGATTTGCCTCTGGGAGCAGCAGTGGCGCACGAGAAGCTACTGCAGATAAATGGGCTGAGGTAATTTCAGTTGTCACTGCTGGCTGAAGAGCTATGTGCACATGGTTGCCCACAAAAGCACCTCCATGGTATGCTTGCCTTTCGATTCCATTGCGCTGAAGAACTGGCTCGATGCTTGCTAAACATGGCCCCTCAAACTTTTGTTCTATTTTATTGCGGACATTTGGTCGGTGAGTGACTGTCTCCGCGCAAGAAATGCAGTACGGCGTGCATCACAGTCTGCCACTGGTCTTGTAGGTGTGTCACGCTCTCCACTGTGGCAGCAAGAATGGCTGCAAAAGGACGGCAGTGGCAGCAGGAATGGCTGCAGGGACGGCAGTGGCAGCGGGAACGGCTGCAGGGACGAAAGTGGCAGCAGCAACGGCGGTGTCTGCTGTAGTAGCAACGGTGGCAGGAACGGGGATGTCTGCAGCAGCTGTTCTACTGACAAGCTCAATGTCGATGACTTTGAGCTCAGCCTGAAAAGCAGTCAGCATCCACTTGAAAATGCCCAGATCCAGATGAAGAGCCGGGATTACAACATTCTCCACGTGTTGTGTATCCACGTACACCCTACATGCAGTCTCACACGCAGCTCACCAGAGTCAACCAGCCGGCATGGATACATGTAGAGTAAGACCATGATTCAGAGCATGCGCAATGAGTATATACAAATGCATACAGAGTACATAATATATTACATCAGAGTGCATATATAACAATATCCCCCTCGCAAAAAGAGGTAACACCGAAAACAAAACATTTTCATGACAAGGAACAATAGCATAGAACAGACAATGTAATAATGTACTATCGTCTGACGTGCCAATTATCAAAGTTCAATGTTCTATGTGTGGTATGTACTATACAGAGCATTATACTGATATATACAAATGCAACAAGAGAACCACGTACATGCATTCACGATCATCTCAATCAATCCATGCAAATAATATAATAATTACATATCCTACATGTATAAAATGTCTCATCCGTTATACCGAGCTGGTCTTACGACTGACCGACCAGATCGAGTCACCTGCCGGTCAACAGGTACAGCATCAGCTGGGGCTGTAGAAGCTAACGACTGTTGACCCTGCTCATCCTGCGACTGTTGCATGGGCTGCTCTTTCTGCTGTGAAGTCGTCGGCTGTTGAGCCTTCTGAGGCGGCAACTGCTGTGGCACCTGCTGCTGCTGCGGCTGAGGCTGTTGCTGTTGTGGTGACAGTTGTTGTTGCTGCTGCTGCTGCGGCTGGAGTTGTTGCTGCTGCGGCTGGAGTTGTTGCTGCTGTGGTGCAGAACGTGTCTGTTCTGCTAACTGAGAAAGTGGTATTGAACGTGGCCGGAGTTGGTTACGGTGTCGTTTCCAGACCACATCATTTACCTGGACAGAGTAATTCATAGCACTGCAGATAGAGAGAACAACACCAGGGACCCAGGTTGTACCATGGTTTTGAAAACGTAACGCAAACACAGCATCACCCGGTTTGTATTCTGGTAGCAAATGCTGGTTTTGATTGAAAGATTGTGCCTCCGCATTCCGTGTTGTTTTCAAAGCATCATAACGTAGTCGTGGTTGGCGATTAAATAGCATTTCTGCCGGTGATTTACCATTCGCCGTAGGAGTTGACCGAAATGTCATTAGAAATCGTTGTAGTCGTGTATCTAGGTCGTCACCTTCTGTTCCCATTGCTTTCATTTTAGCTTTAAAATGACCGACATATCGCTCAGCGAGACCGTTTGTCTCCGGATGGCCGGGAGCTGAACGAGTGTGTGCGATTCCATTTTTCTGGTGAAACGAGGTAAATTCAGCACTAGTGAACTGGGTCCCATTATCACTAACGATGTGAGTGGGTAGACCGAATGTGGCAAACAAACGTCTCAAAGCTTTGATAGTACCCGTTGATGTGGCATGTGTCATCGGGACAATTTCCAGATATTTCGTATACGCATCGACAATCACCAGAAACATTTTGCCCATGAATGGACCCGCAAAGTCTATGTGCAGACGACGCCATGGACCCGACGGCCATGACCAGGTAGCATAGGATTTACTAGGTTTGCGTGCCTGTTCTTGACACGTAGCGCACATTTTGGTGGTATCTTCAATTTCGTCATCCATCTTTGGCCACCAGAAATATCGACGTGCCATACGTTTCATTCGTACAGCGCCTGTGTGTTCCGAGTGCAATTCACTCAAGAGCATCGCGCGCAAAGCCATGGGGATTACCACTCGTTCATTCCAGAGTAATACATCATTTACAATAGATAGTTCCCAGCGCTTTACAAAGTACGGCTGTAACTCCACCTCTTTCACATGCTCTGGCCAACCATTCAAAGTGTAGTGACGAACACGCTCTAGAACTGGATCATCTCCAGTGGCATTCAATACAACTTGAGCATCAATGAGCTCGTCCTCAATGAAAAGTACACGTGTTTCACCTAGTTCCGGGGTAGAAGGATTTCCAGAAATTGGTTTTCTAGACATGAAATCTGCCAGAACATTTGCCTTTCCCGCAATGTGTTGGATGGTGTAGTCATACGCTGAAAGTAATAACTTCCATTTCTTTAATCTGGAAGAAACCAGGAACGGAACACCTTCCTGCATGCCGAACAATTTCACCAGAGGTTTGTGATCAGTTTCAAGGACTTCACCGAGAATATTTCCCTCCATTCTAGTTTGAAAAGTGAGAGAAGATCTCTGCCCAACAGAGATGGACCATTTGTATCGACAATGCGCAAGAGAACAGTGTGCTTTTGCCCATTTATTGACACTGGAAATTTCCCTTCACCTAAACAGGGGATGATGGAACCGGAAAACCCAATGAGCTGGACTGATTGAGTTACAAGAGACGACACTGGTGCACCCAATTTCTCGTAATCAGATTTGGTGATGATGGATACAGCACTACCTGTATCGATTTCCATGCAAATTGGTGAACAAACATCATTGATTTCCGCCATTACAGTATACGGAGGGTGTTTTCCACTACCCGATCGAATCTTGTAGATAGGCATATCATCAACATCACAATCAGAAACGATCTCACCTCGATCATCAGGTTCGTCATCCACGTGGTGAATTTCACCTCGTTTCTGCTTGGTGATGCAGGCTCTTTCGAGATGTCCTCGTTTCTTGCAGTATCGACAAGTAGTAGATCGATGAGGACACTTGTCAGCCATATGCAAATCAGATGTACAACGATAACAAACCTTGCCCTTCGTCGACTTTGACCCTTTCTGGTCCTGCGAGTGATTTGGCTTTCTAGATGCACTTGCTGACTTGGATTTACTGGTAGTGGTAGCTCTCATCTTGTTGACTGACTCGGACGGCGTAGATGTTGATCTAGTACTAGTAGTAGTACCTGGAGTAAGCTGCTCAGCAAACATGATGGCGCGCTCCTCCCGTAAAGCGATATCCAGCACATCCTGAAACTTCTTCGTCTTGCTGTCAGGACTAGTCAGAATCGTCCGCTTGATCTCCTGACTGTAGACTCCTGCCATAAATTGATCTTTTAGGGATCTGTCTAAATGCGACCCAAAGTCGCAGGCTACTGCCGCACGTTTCAAACGATTTGCGTAATCTACCAGCTTTTCCGCTGGTCTCTGGTTGCAATCGCGAAATTGAAAAGAAGAAGTCATCGTGGAACGCTCCACTCTGTAATATCCATTCAGTAGGTCACAAATCTGCTCGAAGGTCTTGTCCGATATTGACTCCGGCAGACAGAGGTTCCGCAAAGTGGAGTAGACGTCTTTCGACAGTGAAGAGATTAGATGTGCAATCATCTTCTTACGTACGCGTTCTTTCTCCGATGAGTTTGCACTGGCTGAAACAACACCGATGTCATTTGCGAGAAAATAAAACTCAAGCCGTTCCCGGTACTCCGCAAAGTCCCCGCCAGAAAACTGCTCCAGGGTGGCCTTCCCTGAAGAGGCCATGGTTTACCAAATTCTCGCAAGCACTCAACTAAACAAATTATCTCAAAACAAAATTTTCATCTTCGTCGCCATTTGTTGTGTATCCACGTACACCCTACATGCAGTCTCACACGCAGCTCACCAGAGTCAACCAGCCGGCATGGATACATGTAGAGTAAGACCATGATTCAGAGCATGCGCAATGAGTATATACAAATGCATACAGAGTACATAATATATTACATCAGAGTGCATATATAACACCACGGGAATAGGTCAGATCACTGGACGTATGCTGTTGTTGCAGTTTTTAGCATTCTTTAGATTTGAGCCACTGTTTGTGAATCCAGTGAAATCGTTGTACAGAGTTTCTAGTGCTCTGCTGGTAGAATCGGCATCTGGGTTTTGGGCTGGTGGAATGTCCATCTTCTCCTGACAGAGACGGTGTAAGCATGGTCGGATGCCACTGGACCCTGACAAACCATACGCTTTCGTTTGATATTCATAGTCGCCAAAGAAAAACAACTTGAACGACTTGTTCTTCCATGTTGCTGTTGTTTGCAGATCTCTGACCTCGTCACGATAGACCCCTAGCGCGGTTTCAAGGCTCGATGATGTGTCTTGTGCTTCAAAGATGCAAATCGGGATAGTGTTGAGTAGTGAATTTGGCCGCTGTACATTCGCGATCTGCAGAACAAACTTGAAAGATCCTACGCCGTGATCACCACCGAGTTTGATCCACACCTCGTTCTCGGGGATGCATTTGTTGGTACCAGTAAGCTGTCCATGCTTATCATACCAATCAAGTTACACCATGATGATGTCGATGAGGCTTGGAAAGTACACGATGGGTACCATCTCCATGGTGCCATATTTTGATGCCATGGGTATGCTCTTGTGCATGTATTGCGGTACTTGGCTGGCAATATAATTATGATCTGGCTTTGCGCTCAGATTCCATCTGCAGCCCAAAGCCACGCAGCCAAAGTTTCAGCTTTCAGACTCTGTTCCACGGGAGCTGAAGATCGGCTTTCAGTGCTAGCAGTGAGCCCTCGCCTGGGGCTGTTGGTTTCAAGCCAGCCTCTTTCAGCAGCTCCTCTTCTTCTGCACTGCTCAAACGCTCTCAAGCGAGCCACTTCCTGTACCCGAGCACCCTTCTGGCCACCTGACGCTGTCATCTCGGCTTGCTCCAACACAAGAGATCTGCGCCGCACAGTCCTTGCACTGGCTTTTCACACACAGTTGTGCGCGTGAACGTCTGTGGCCTGCCCTGGCATCGAGAGAGTGAACGTCTGTGGCCTGCCCTGGCTGCCCTGGCTGCCTGTTTCACTTGCAGTGTACTATCTTGAAGTTTGGCTGTCACAAGGCTGCCAGTTAAATCATCGGCCACAGAGCCTTTCAATTTGCTGGGGAAAGCAGTGAGGATGTCAGCATCGACTGTGGATTTGCTGATAGCTCGTATTGGGGTAGATTAATTGGCAGGATTAAATGTCCAGTTTGACACATGAACTTTCAGGTGTTCTAGGGTAACAACTGCTGGGCATCCATGAAGAGCTGGTTCATGGAAGTCACAGTGGACGGACCAGTTCCCAAGCAGTTTACAGAACAGGTCGCTTGGCTTTGCCAGTTCTGAAGCGTGCAGCGTGCAGTGTATGTTGGCAGGCTGGATACTGCGCACCGTTGGTCAACACCTGGCATATGCATTCCGTACAAAATACTTTATACAGCATGGTGACTGAACACCGTTGCTCGGCATGCTGCGGCAGATCTTGCATTGTACTGCGGCGGCTGCACAGCTGTCGGCAAAACTCGCACTCTGCTTGATAATCAGGTGCAGATATGTCATGCACCTCACTTTCAGGTATATCCATGCCATTGCTAGATGCACATGCACTGCTACTGCTTGATGTCATTTTTGCTGCTCCGCTTGCTGTTTTTATCCGTTTTTCTTGGTCGACCACCCTTCGATTTTTTTCAAACTTGGTGCAGACTCTGCACTCCACAGGTTCATGACTCTTCCAACTAGTGTCCACAACCGCTGCCACTGGGATTGAACTTTTCTGTGCTCTTAGTATACAAAATGTGGGGCTAGCGGCAGTAAATCGCGGAAGAATGATAGCAACTCACCTTAATCTCATTGTAAAAAATGATCAATCTTCGGATTTTTTGCAAAAATCAGCGAGTACCCGGCGCCATGTTACATGGCCAAAAATCAGCGGCTGAAACAGCCGTGAGATAGAGAGAGATAGAGAGAGATAATTAGGTATAAATGTTGCATTTTTTGTGTCTCATGCAGCTGTACTGCCATCCGGGAGCTGTATGCATCATCCAATCACATATCAGTGAGTGATCTACTGTTACGTGCGCTTTTTCAATATGATTGTGTGTGTGTGTGTGTGTGTGTGTGTGTGTGTGCGTGTGTGCGCACATGCGTGCGTGTGTGCACATGTGTGCACGCGTGTGCACATGTGTGCACGCGTGTTTTGGTGGATTAGCTCACAACAATAACTATGGCCTGGTGTGGTTCGTTCTCCGTCTCATTATGCAGCCGTGCATAGAGACTTGTCCAGCAATAGGCAATATGGTGATAAGGCCAAAGTAACAGTTTGAGTGAAAGCATATCTTGTAGTAGCGAGGTCAGGCGAAAATTAAATTTTGGAAAACCCTATCGAATTGGGTATCTACGGAAAGCTTAGAGCTTCAGGCGTTCAAATCTAAAATTTGGGCTGGGTTAGAGCAACTGGAAGAGAGTTATGGGTGTTGAAAGGAGCCCGACTACGTGATCTTTTTGTCGCGGCGAATGTATGTGTGGGAGCTCGAAAAGTGGCACCCGCCACTCGGGTCCCAAGTCGCGACGCAAAGTGCATGATGTAATCCCCCAGGTCACGTGCGTATACTTGGCCATGCCGGCGGCACGACTGCACACAGACTGAGTACACTGTACTGTACAGTGTTACTTACTTTTGCCATTTTACTTTTTCAGTTTGGGGACGCGTGAACTACTTTGAAGTCAAGAAAGTCTTTATGATTGAGCTGATTTGAAGAAGATAGCGAATGCTCTTTTGAACTAAGTAAACTAACAATTTTTAAATGTAGCTCCACGGAAAAATTTTGGCCGAAACCTGCTGCTGCTCCTGTGACATCGCACTTGGACTTGGAGTAAAGAAGTTCAGATTTTTTTGCAAGTAAGAGAATAATCGTCTTGACTTGAAAGATCATCTAGTAGTAGTACTAGTATTTGCTGTGAACCACTACTGCAGGCTGGTGTATGGAGATTTAGAGATCTAGTGACAAGTTGGTGGCAGCGGGAGCGGTGGATGCGGGAAGAAGCGCTTTCTCAAATTTCTGTAGACGGTCAGGAATTTTTACATTTGTTTTATGTATCGTTTGTTCTGGGGAAGTACAGGAACTTTACTAGAGACTAGTAGTAGAGACATGGTCTGTGTGATGGTGAATTTGCTTCACTCTCTCACAGGTCATGTTTGCCTCACAATTATTTCCAGTGATGCCTTGATTGAGTAACACCAACAACATTGGAAGTTTGGTCATTGACTCAGAATCAGATTGAGTTACTGAGTATAGATGAAGTACTCTAGTCTCGAGTATTGGCATTTTTAATTATACGTCAGCTATTGCAGGTGATTTTCTGCTAATTTTACACTACAGTCTACACATGGTATTAATCTGTGTTCACATACATGTATGCACAAAAAATAAACAATCTGTTTGCATTATGTACAAGAAATATGTATGTACAACTACAAGAAATTCCTACTCGCAGTCTTCAAAGCCTTGTCCAGTAACAGACCTGATTATGAAGATGACCGTAACTATGACATTGAACGTCAAACTTCACCGTCAGATGCGTCGGAGGAGGCAGGGGAAGCCGCTGTTGACTCTGAGTCTGGCCGGGATGCTGCTGGCAGTGCTGCGCTGAGTGCCATTAACCTTTGCAGGTTGCCTTGCATTGTGTCAAGGGGCAGGACTTTGCCATCTTTGGAAAGAGCAAACAAGCTCCGGCCCGCAGATTGCTTCATCACGTGCTTGCGGAAACGCAACTGGGCGCCGAGTGCCTCCCGCTTCTTCGTGATGGTGGGCAAGGAAGAGTAATGCTGGGCGAAGTCATTATCCTGAACCCAGAGACCACCACAAGACGACAGCGCCACTGTTGCCCGCTGCACTTGCTGTGCCTTGCGCTCAGCTTGCCTCTTCTTGGCTGCCTGCTTCTCCACTAGCTTCTTCTTCCGGTAGTCCGAAATCGCTTGGCGCCTCTGGCGTGCCAGGTCCTTATGCTCACAGACCAAGTTCCGGGCCGCCTGAAGGATGTCGGCCTTCTCTTCGGCTGACGTTGTCCCCAGCCACTGTATAGTACGGTTATTGCCCATCATAATCAGAGCTTCAATTGTCAATGTTGTCGCGTTTGGCTTTTCACGAAGAAATCTATCCATCTGTGCGAAGTCACGCTCTGAAATGACGTTCGTTTTTGGCAGCGTGGCAGTCTCAGTATTGACGGAAGCTCTATCTGTCATCGTGTTCTTTACGTGTGACAGCAGCTGCTCACCTAAGTTGTTCTTTCCTCTCTCTTCGCCTGCTCGGTTTATCTCTTGTATTGCTTGCTTCAGCAGGTCCAATGTATGTTCTGCTGACCCAGACACTATTTCATTGACTGACACTGTATACTGTCCTTCTTCCGTCGACAGCTGGAAGCCCATGTATTTCCTCCCAAACTTTGTCGTTCCATCATAATGTAGTGTGTTGTACAGTAGGTGTCTGTTGCTGCGACCTCGCCAAGCTGTGCTAACGCAACTCCTCTCCCCTCCGCGATCATGTCTTTCAGCAGCGTGTCGCTTGGAAGCCTAGTCGGCTGTTTATCGGCAAGCTTGAGAACATCTTTAATCACTGGTGCAACATTGTGCACGCCTACATTGCGGCTGAGCAACGATGAGCAACACTCTCGCATGCTGTCCGTGTACTTGCCATCCTCGTATGTTACTAGCTCGGAGTGCTCATCGAGTTTGTCTTGCATGTCTTCCAGCTGATCTTCAAGAGCTGCTATTTGGCTGTCACTCTGGAGAAGTTGTGTCTGTGCTGCACAGTGTGCATCTCGCAATGAATCCTCGTTCTGCTCAGCCCCTGAGCTACTGTCATCGCCTTCCTGGGACGCTTGCTTTCCTTCTTTGTAGTAGCGCAACATCCGTTGAGCTCGGCTGCATTTCTCTACCAGCTCTTGGTGTGTCTGTAGGAGCTCTGTCATATCCACATCCAGTTTCATGATTGCACTTTCTTTTTCCTTGAGATTCTTCTTTGCTTCCTTTAGCATATCTTGCTGTTCCTCTATGGAATGATCCCGGCGCTGTAACTTTTTTCTCATATTCCGTAATGTAGCTTCTGCTGCATCTAGCCGTTGTTGCATCTTGTCCTGTTCATCCTGCATGGGGTTTGTTGCAGCCGGCTCGGTAGTAATACTAACATCAGTTGAACTTGCGCTAGTTGCAGTTGCCGCATGCATTCCAGTAGTTGCAGTACTGGTAGTAGTAGCAATAATGTCTGGCAAACTATACTTTTTGGCCATGAAACTGTCAAATTGCTCTTTGCCGTCCGGTCGGTTCTTGCTTTTCCGGTATTGGCGGTGCTTCTCTTTAACCCGGTTTAGCGATGACAGCAGTGCAGCTTCTTCTTGCCTAGGGAACTCTGACCTAGCTAATCCATGAAGCTCCATCAACCACTTGTACAATTTGTCATTGCCATTTTTTTCTGCTGCGGCGAGTTTGACTAAATCCAACACCAGTCCATGATTGCAAACTGCAAGTGTTGGCAACGGGTTTCCATGTTTAAAATCATTCATGCATACATCTGGACAAAACTTTGCAAGAAAGTCATAGCCTTCCAAATCAGTACTTGCACTAGTACCTGAGCTGGCTGAGGCTGAAGCCAGTGAAGGAGAAGTAGCCATTGCACAAGCCTCAAGTACGAGTATACACCAAAAGTTGGCAAAACCTGCACACCAGCTGCAAGCAAATCTACATCGAACTGACGGCGATTTGCTTGCTTCTGTTGATTTTATCTTGCTTATCCATGGCCCCACGCTCGACATGGCGATCCAGCACACCAGTATTGAGCAATTATTATTACAATACGATCCCACAACCCAGTTACCTGTACTGGCTGTACGGCTGTACGGCTGTAGACGCCATATCCCAAAACGATCCCACACGCCAGTTAGTCAGGAGTCATTTCACAACACGATCCTCCAGCGTCCACTGCCACTGCCTCCACGCTCAACGATACCTTCACAAATTCGGTCCCATATCTTCGGTGCGCCTCTTGTTACGCCAATGAAATGTTGTAGTCCAAAGGATTAGGGGGCTCTGAGCACGATGCCGCAACAACCTAAGGCGTAACAAGAGGCGCAAGGACCGAAACCCGCCCTCGAAAATTGGCAAAACGCGCGAGTCAGCGTGTCAACGGAGAAGCGCCTGGAGGTCGCGCGAACGGGAGGAGGCATTGCTCCATATCCTTGGCAAAGGACTAGAAAGTTGAAATTGCCCAAAAAGAGCAAGGAGACTGCACAAGCGACGTTCAAACGCATGCCAGTTTTGTACACCTCCCACGAAAATCGAAAAATGCCAGTGAGGCCCATGTGCCATTACATCATCGATTTTAGATGGGCCAAGCGCGACAAGCGAAGTCCTTCAACTCGTCACGTGCCTGACCTCGCTACTTGTAGTTGGATCAAAACAACTTGTTTAATGGCAAACTTGTCAATCAAGTTTCCATGGCAATGTTACTGTATTGTCCCCATGTTGCCCCCGATTGTTCTAGTGTTACTTATAGTATTGCAGCGGTGAGCTTCAACTGAAAAAAACATATGGCTGTGACGGCCGTCACTTTGAACGGCCCGCCTGTCTTCACTAAAGCAGCGGCATCCTTTGTGGTGTGCTGCCTTTGATGAAGGTTACTTAGGACCTGCATGATCTGAGCTTGATCGTGGGTCGTATTTCTGTGTCTTGTGCTTTCAGAGTTTACCAGGCACCGTAGGCTCTCTGGGTCGTCTCTCTACCTTGTGCATGGATGAGAATGAGCTGACACAGCTTCCGAATCAGGTGCTGTATTACTTCAAGTGTTTAACTTAGACGTCAATGATATATTGCAGTACTGCCTAATTTCTCTGTCACCTCTCCTTTGAAACTCGGATGTTGAGCCATAAATAAATGTAGAAAGGAAAAGGACACAAGGATACGAGTTAAGAGTAACTCTCCATCACTGTAACTGGATACTATATACAGTCAGAAAGTGCAATAACTTGGCACAAAACTGACAAGAGTACTGAGACATTCGACGTCCTGACACCTAGCTTCAACACATCTCCGTTGCGCTAACCGACAACCTTCCAACTTGGAAGGTTCAAGGTTATGGAAAGACCAAAGAGGGGAAGGGAAGCGCAACGAAAACGAGCAAAAGCTACCGTCCCAACGGAACAAAGAATGTCGATTGTTACTGGACAATGACGAGACCAGTCCAAGTTGGAAGGCTGTCGGTTAGCGCAGCGGAGATGTGTTGAAGCTAGGTGTCAGGACGTCGAATGTCTCAGTACTCTTGTCAGTTTTGTGCCAAGTTATTACACTTTCTGACTGTACATAGTTACAGTGATGGAGAGGTACTCTTAACCTCTCCTTTGTTTGGATTTATTGGATGTGTGTGTGTGTGTGTGTGTGTGCATGCAGTGAGGGTGAAGGCTACTCATGAAGTGCTCTTATATATATGATCTGTACTGACTGTAGTACTTCCTCCGCGTCATCGAAATTGTCGCAGTTTGACTAGTGACTTGTCACTTGTTACTGACAACTCTATAAACTAAGCCATTCAAAACTTATTACACAGTATGATAGTCTGAAGACTAGAGTAACGTTCCAGGACAATTGGAACGAGAGTTTTCATGCAGAGATGAAGTCCTCGTCGTCGCTGATGTCAATGGACGCAAAAATATCGTTCCGAAATATTTCAAGGAAGGTTGAAAGTTGGTCGCGCCTCATCTCAAACGCTTTTACTTTCTCAACAGGACAAGAGCTGCTATGCTTGTCGTCTGCTAGCTCTGGATGATTTCTACTACACCACCAACGAAGCCTAGTAAGAATACACGATCGTTGCGAGGTCGGTTGATTACCGTCGGCGGAATCACCTCAGTCTTGAAATGAACTTTTTTTAGCCGTGGCATGGCCACAGCTCATGCAGGTAAGTGTAGTATCACGTCCAGCGCGCCCTCTTTTTCAGCATCACTGGTATACCATGGTACGGCACCTGCGCGTGCATCACTAGCACTACGTGTAGAGTAGTACACTTGGGAAAAAAGAGAGTCTACACGGCTCTTGCAGTTACGATCATGACTGTACTAGTAGTACTGAGTGTCTCAGCCAGAGCGACACATTTTATCGCTGTTGCAGGCATTTAGTTTGCCGACCCCTCGATGTTCCTCCAAGCGCTGCCACTTGTTCCACGAAGTCATTCTCACCCCAGCTAAGGTAAAACAGAGATGGGGCTTGAGTGAATGGCCATAAGCACGAGAAATGTGCAGGCTGCAACGCCTGACTGATCTCAGCGAGTCGAAATTACCATCGCAGCGACATCAGCGAAGAAATTGCGTCTAGTTCAAAAATTCCAGCTTCCAATAACAGAAAATAGAACTTTGCCGTCACCCTATACTGATGACTATCGCCTATGTCCGATTCCTTGCCTCTGGTACCAGTGCTGGTGAGTAAACACCGCGTTTTATATCAAAAGTCAAACTGCGACAATTTCAATGACGCGGAGGAAGTACATGTAATGGCACTTACCGGGTTGCCTTGCGTATGTGCCCCGTAAACCATTCTTGAGCACTCAAGCAGTGCATGCTATCCTGGTGAAGTGTTGCAGCGTTTTCCACTCTAGAATCTGACTTCAAAGTGAGTGGGCTCATGTGGAAATTGTGCATAACTTCAAGGCTCACAGCATCACACAAAAGCGTGGGCGCCATTTTGGACAGGGCCCTGCTACTCGGGCATCACACGAGCCAGCCAGCATGCCAGAATTGTATACATGCACTCAGGCAGATATCGCAGAAAGCCTTGAAAGTGGGGTGCATTCAAAATGTTCATTTGTACCAGTGCTTTCAGCTAGGCCTTTGAAAAGCTATAAAAGTTAGGTACATACTCTCAATACCCATTGTAAGGATTTGTCCGGGAGTTTTTTTAAAAATTCGACCGGGTTTCAATATTACGGGAGAGTGAAAAGTGTGTGCGCTTCTGCCGCACTTGATGTTGAATGAGGGGCCAAAACGGAAAATATGGCTCGGACAATTTCTCGGCAAGATCAAAACAAAAATTTTAAGCCATCAACTGTCCAAATCGACAAAGAAACGGGTACAAACGAACATTTTGAATGGCAAAGATCGTCTTGCTTGCGCGCGCCGAGCGCGACCTCACAACAGCTATTTTTGTGTTCTGCACAAGAAAGAAAGAAAAACTATGCGTGACTCTCACATGAAGCTAGCTCTGCTCTTCACTGACTTCAGTTTCACTAACTGTACTCGTACTGCTTGCCGTAGTTGCTGGGAAACTTCGTGCCGCTGCCCTCTCCTGGATTGCTGTGAGCCTGGATCATGGGCCACACCATGCCTCATGCCTTCTTCTTGCAAGGCAGCCATTCTCCGCTCGTGCTCATCAGCTGACCGGGCGCGATGCCTGGACAAAACACCGCTGTATGTTTCAGCAGCGGTGAGGGTACGAGCAGTCGACTGTTTGGCTTGTAGAAGCTTCACCTCGCCTCTGGCTTTCTTGACTCGCTCAGGCGTTACAGTGGCAGCATACTCACTCATCTGCCTTGCAACATGCTCCATGACATTTTGTGTGACTCGGACGGACTTTCGGCTACTAGCTGACATGGACTGATACAGGTGGAGGCGAGCAGGTGTGGAGTGCAGCACATTCTCCACGAACAAGTGGCTTGCCTGCTTTGACAGTTCGCTCTCATTCGGATGGATGTAAATATCCGCAATGTTGAACTGCCGTTCGGCAATCACATTGTTGACAGGCATTGCGAATATATAGGTCGCAAACCAGCTCCACAAATGAGGCTCACTGTCTTTGCAAGGACATGACGGACCTGTCTTGTGTGCAAGGCAAACTGCCTCCGGCAAAGCGTCAGCGGGCAGTGGCCATCTGGTGAGCCAGGTGTCGAGGTCCTTGACCTGCCCAGCGACCAGTCCAAGGATAGAAAACTCCTCAAACCAGGACATGGTCGCCTGCCCAAGAAGATGTGCCTTCTGGTCGAGCATGTTCTGTTCGTAGCAGCTTGCAGCCAGCTTCTTCGGACACTTCAAAGTTAGGGCGAGCTGCAATAACTGGTCATACTTTGCTGGTCCTTGCTCATCGGAGACAGTTGGTGGTGCGCCTTCAGTGAAAGTGGTAATCTGGACAGGAATAGCGCGTACCCGGAGATACGCACGCCAGAACAGATGCCTATGGGCTGTATCAGCACCCATGGCGAAAAGCAGAGGAAAGCGAAGCCACCTAGTGGAGTGTTTGTCGAATGAAGCAAGAACAGCATCCAGCATGGGTTCTCGAACATGTGCGGCGAAGTGTGTGGCGGTTTCTGGCTCCACCTTGGCTCCAGCTTGGCCTTGGCTCCAGCTTGGCCTTGGCTCCAGCTTGGCCTTGGCTCCAGCTGTCGGAGGCATGGCGTAGTCGCTGTGACGACGCATCAGCTCAGCATCCGCATGTCTCTGATTACATACGATGGCCACGTTCTTGCTAGGTAGCCAGAGCTGAATTGCAGCTCATCATCGCCGCTCTGGCACTTCTGGAGGCCAGGCATGATAAGCCTGTTCAGTAGTTCTAGCAAGATTGTCCGCTCGACAACAATAACCTCATTAGAGGCCATTCGGATGATATCCTCCCAGATAGAAAAGTGGGATTCTTTCTTTGGAAGGAATCTCAGGATGCGCTTGCCAAGCTGCAGACATGCCTTGCCGTATTTCTCCCACCACTCCAAGTTTGCATGGATGTACGTCCAGCGAGTTTCCACAAACTCCTGTGGAAGTGGAGGTGCTCTTGGCCAAACTCCCTCGCTGACGTACAGTGCCTTATAGTAGGTTGGCTTCTGGTGGTGTACATACCCAACCTTGTACTGGAGCTGGAACAGGTTGAAGCTCATCATGCTGCCACGCTGTCCAAAGCCATCGGACATAGCATTACGGAGGGCAATGTTGAGGATGTGGGGCAATGTTGAGGATGTGGGGCAATGTTGAGGATGTGGGGCAATGTTGAGGATGTGGGGCTATGTTGAGGATGTGGGGGTAGCAGCCAAATAAATGTGGTGTTGCTTTTAAAAAGCACACCAAGCTCAGCTGCATGGCCTTTCCTGCTGCCTGACTGGGAGATGCATTGTCTCCCACGACTCCGCATACTTCTGCCACACCATATATGTTTTGCAACACGTGATAATCCACGGATGCCTGGTTCGCTCCACTACCGGACTGCACAAGGGTATTCGCCAACACGTACCCGACCGGGCAGTCGCTCGTTTCACACCATGTGTGTACGCCAACCATGTGCCGGTCTTCGCCTTGCTTATTGCTGTCGTCAGCAAAAACATGAACCTTGTAGCGGCTTCCTTGTAGTTTCTCACGGAGCAGGGCTTTGTCGACTTCTCCGAGAAGCACGTTCCATTCCGCCAACGTGGATGGTGAGATGGTTGTTCCAAATCCTGGTGGTGGAGATTGCTCAGTCAGTAGATAATGAGATAGGAACACCGCCATGGCAGATTTCTGGTTGCTCATGATGCAGGCAAACTTCATGAACCTGGCACGTGCCATGAATGCTGGTGTGTGCTCAGGCTTGGTACCGGGCACTAGTGCACACTTTACCGTTGTACTCGTTGTGGGCTCATCGCTCGTGTCTAGTTTCTTTTTTGGTTTTTGTTGCAGCTTAGTATGTGCGCTACTTACTCCTCGCAGTGCATTTGCTTGCTCCTTCAGCTTTTGTTTCTGGGCTTCACATTTTATCTCTGCTATCTTAAGCATTTGTCTTATCCGCTCATTTTCACGTTGGAGTGATTCCATAGCCTGTGTATTGGGGTCGTCAGCGAGCGATGCAGTGCGTAACAGAGTAGCTGCAGTATCTGCATGTGCAAGAGGAATCGTGTCTTCAACAGTGGGAGGAGCGGTGTGTGCAGCGGCCGGATGAACGGTGTGTGTAGCAGTGGAAGCTGTGCTGCTGCTGCTGCTGCTGAATGGTGCGGGTGTGGTGTGCTGTACCCCAGAGGCGGACGCGACTCCTGCACTGCTCACCTGCAGTTGTACATGGAAAACAATAGGTAAATAGTTTATACTTAGTGGCAACACCCTGATCAGATACAGTCTGCATCATGAACTATTGGTCCCTTTATAATCCACCACCATCAGTGTTACGGAAATAATTCTGTTGGATAAATAAATCTGATTTACTTCTGCATTGTGCGTGAAGAGGACATTTTTGGTTACTGAGAGATTTATAGCTAGAGGGTGCTGGTTTATATATAAACTTCTGCATTGAAGTGGGGCGACTCTTACCTTTTGAGCATCTTCGGTTCGAGCAATGTCTTGTCCCGCCTCCAGCGTTGAATAAGAAGTGAGTTCGACCGAGTCATCCGACACATCAGAAAGGTCTGCGAGGTACTCTGGTATGGTAGAGGCAGGGTCGGAGTGTGTGCGGCTGCGCTGTTCACTTGCAGCATCTGCAACCGAACCCGCTGTGTGGTGGTGACCAGTGCCCGCGGCCTACAGGAAGTAAATATCAGTTGTGGAAGCGAAAGTATTATGGGTGGGTCTGGTTTCTTTCCTACACCTTCTCATATGTATTATCATGATGATGTTGTACGTCTTCTTGCAATTGTCTGGTGCATAACTACCATAATGTCAATGCAAGCGGATTGATTTACCTCTCTGGCACTGCCAACCTCGGGGGCTTCCGCAACAGCTGCTTTTTTCTTCCACTTGCCACCACCAAAGCGGCTTGGATTGGGCTTCCTCTTTTGGGACTTAACCTTATCATAGTCCAAAGTCTCTGATGGCCGCGGCGGCCGCGGGGGCATACTTGCTTTACTGTGCTTTTAAAATACCTCACTTCGTTGCCTCGACAACAGAAAGTACGAATACAAGAGGGGCAAGAGGGGCACCGATAAAAAACCAAAACAGAGCGGAAAGGAAGGCTGAACAGGAAGAAAATGAGGACCAAGAAAAGACTCTTCGACCGTAGCGGTACATCTAGCGATGAAAACATCTTGGTTTGCTTTTTTAAAGGGCTGAGGTAGACGCGGTCGACTAGTGAGTAGATCGCCTGAAAACAAAAAAAACCAGGGCGAAGGACACCAGAAGGCGCTCTGTCACGCCCGCGCTCTGGAAATAGATGCAAAAAGCAAAGCACATCGTAGGCTAAAAATCTAAGTATCCTTCTTCCACCGCAGCGTCGATGTACCGATGTAGGCGAAACAACAATCACGCGGAGGCGATCTTTCTTGGTTTCATTTTATAGCACAGAGGATGCGCTCTAGTCCCTACTGTCGCCTGAAAAAATGAACAAGCACGACATACCGCATCAGACGCATGCTCAACAGAACTAAGAAGACCCTTCTCCGCAGCGTCGGCATGGTCGATGTATAGCTGAAAGTCACCTCGGCAAGACGATCTACTTCGGTTTTTGATTTTTAGCTTGACACGATCTACATGTACGTCTTGTAGCCGCTACTGCACGCACCGCTTGTCCTTTCTTCTGAACGCGGCAGGTACGTGACTGGGCTGTGAAGCCAGCACAAAAGACTGCCCCAGCTAGGCCAGCGCAAGCTCCCTGACGTGTGGGCTGTCGCGGACGCGCTCCTCAAAGCGGCACGTGCGAGGTCGCGTGAGGTTGTTTCTATAGTGATCAGTTTCCAAGATGTCCTCCCACGTAATCGCTATTCAGGCTAAGTTGCTATGAGCCCTGAACTTACATGTACATTTGTTTTTATATTGTGTTCAGATTGGCATGTGCCACCAGCTGTCATTGCTCAGTCTACGCAACAACCAGTTGAGGTTGCTCCCGGAGAGCATCGAGAATCTCTTCGAGCTCACGGTGCTCAACATCGTCAACAACAGGTTGGTTGTGTGGCCTCGCGGTATTGTAGTGTATGCGAGTAGTGTCAGTCCACCATGCCGGCCCAGTGCATCGTGTGTGCACCTCCTTCCTATTGCTTCTCCACAGCACACAGAGGCTCTGGCAGCATGCCTTGTTGAATAAAACTGTAAATAGTGTACTGTCCTCTGTAAAAGGAGGACTGGGAAAGGGCAGACGAAGACGCAGTGCCCAAAATCAAGGGTAGGCCAGGTAGTGGTGAAGGCCAATTTCTGTTATGTGATGGAATTACTTCCACCTGTCAGTGAGGCTGTTATGTGATGGAATTACTTCCACCTGTCAGTGAGGTTGTTATGTGATGGAATTACTTCCACCTGTCAGTGAGGTTGTTATGTGATGGAATTACTTCCACCTGTCAGTGAGGTTGTTATGTGATGGAATTACTTCCACCTGTCAGTGAGGTTGTGATGGGAGTCAACTGTTATTCTGTGATCTGTATGTAGGATCCAGAACCTTAGCAACTGTTTTTCTGTGATGTGTGTGTGTGTGTGTGTGTGTGTGTGTGTGTGTGCGCGCGTGTGCGTGTGTGTGTGTGTGTGTAGGATCCAGTACCTGCCCAGTGGACTTGCAGAGCTGCCCAAGCTCACCGCACTCTGGATGTCAGACAATCAGGTATTACATTCACACCACTGGCGAGACCCTCGAGACCCTCGAGACCATCGAGACCCTCGAGACCCTCGAGACCATCGAGATCCTCGAGACCATCGAGACCCTCGAGACCCTCGACGATTTCGCCGTGTGCTCGGTCCGGCTGTGTCAACTCACCCTAGTCCTAATTGCCAGCTATGTATCCATTATTATGCTATGTCGGCGGGACATGTATGGAGATATGTTTCAATGCATGCAACGCTAGCATTGCATTGAAGCGTGCAAAGAAAGGTTTGGCAAACTGTCGGAAAAGCATGTATGGGTTCAACTGCTCTAGTTGCTAGAGATATCGCGTGGGAGCTGACACTCAATTTGAGTCAAACCTTTTTAAGTCTCAAGTAATCATATAACTGTGTCGTGCATGCAACTGCATTCATATTAATTTTTACCGTGGTTGGCCCTATCTCCCTCCACCGATTTCACTGGTTTACGTCAATGCTTTTAGGTGTAGTTACAATAGATATAGATATGTAACCCACTCTGTAAAACATGGTTGCCAGCAAAATGCTAGCGTTGCGTGTGTTTTGTTTCCACGTGTAATGCAGGCACGGCCATTGATTCCACTGCAGACCGACTTTGCTCTGGATGGCATATCAGTATTGACCTGCTATATGTTACCGCAGAACCAACGGAATGAGACTGTCACAATTGAAGGTACGTTTCCCCATCACTTCAATGGCACTCAGACACTACTACCTGTGCAGGTATCCCTAGTTGTGCACCTTGGCCCGGGCTTGGCCATCTTGTGACAAGTGGCACGCGAGTAGGAGTGGAATAGGACGTCTGCGACGGTTACGTCATTGGCTGAAGTGGCTTTTCGTGTGGCCTCGCTGCTCGCGCTGGCCACCCACCTGGTTTTTTTGGGCTTCCTTTCCTTTGAAGTTTTCAGGTTTTTGTTGTTGGCAATCTCATCAGTAGTACAGATGTGATGAAACACATGAGAGCAGGCTTTACACGGCTTCAACGTTGAAATCTTATGCTGATATTTGGCACAGCAGCGGGGAGAAGGCGGCTGATCGCAGCAGCATTGGCACAGAAGCACCTCTCCATTTACGGTGAGGACAACAATGAAGATTACGATAAACCCCGTCTGGACCACCTTAGGATGATGCTGCGAAAAATCAAGCGGCGAAAAGCAGCTATGAAAAACAAAAGTGACAATGTGGAGAAGCACCTTGCGCGTGTTAACCTGATCGTCAGCACATTGCTCGTCATTCAGGTAGCTCTGAGTGCAAGTCAGACAACTGTTCTTGCAGACGTTGACAGACGCATCGTCGGCATCCTCTCCCTGATCTCAATGACTGTTGGATGTGCACTGGGCTGTGTGGTGAAGTTTGCGAGCACCCAGCGAAGTGTGTTGCAGAAAAACTTCGTTATCTGTTCCTATGTACATGCCAACCTTCGTAATTTGGTGGCCGTTGTGATGTGTGAAAGTTTTGGTCTTAATCGGTACCACAGTAACTGTGTTATCGGCTTGCAGCTCTCTTCTCAGAACTGTACCTTCTTCGTAGAGATGTAAAACTCCATGATCTTGATGTCGGTCATCAAGGGGTGGGGCGTCATGGTTTGGTGGTGGTGGTGGTGGTGCATGATGAGCGTCATCATCCTCATCATCCGTATCCGGAAAAACTATCAATGGCCAGTTGCCTCCATCCCCATTTCCTTGATCCATGTCGATCGCGCTATCTGGCGAGTTTGCACCATCCTCTACGATCTCAACAATCAGGTCATCACCTTCGGCTGCCGCCATGTCTATTATATCACAGTCCAGCAGATACACACACATGTACACACACACACACACACACACACACACACACACACACACACACACACACACACACACACACACACACACACACACACACACACACACACACCACACACACACCACACACACACACACACACACACACACACACACACACACACACACACACACACACACACACACACACACACACACACACACACACACACACACACACACACACACACACACACACACACACACACACACACACACACACACACACACACACACACACACACACACACACACACACACACACACACACACACACACACACACACACACACACACACACACACACACACACACACACACACACACACACACACACACACACACACACACACACACACACACACACACACACACACACACACACACACACACACACACACACACACACACACACACACACACACACACACACACACACACACACACACACACACACACACACACACACACACACACACACACACACACACACACACACACACACACACACACACACACACACACACACACACACACACACACACACACACACACACACACACACACACACACACACACACACACACACACACACACACACACACACACACACACACACACACACACACACACACACACACACACACACACACACACACACACACACACACACACACACACACACACCTTGACCTTTGACCTTTGACGCCCATCGCCGGAGGCGATGATAGCAATGCTACGGCAGAAGCCATAGCAACTTGTGCTGGGATTACACCATTCAACAGCTTGCAAGGCTGAAGAATTGACCGTCACTATTCAGCCTGGTCTACACCATACAGCTATTTGGAGTGACATTTTCTGGCCAGTGAATCCCTTTTTTGGTCTTTTTCATTTTTCATTTTTTTTTTTTTCCCGCACACACATCACACCACATACTCCGGCATGCACTGGCTGTTGGTAACCACCCAGGAGAATGAAAGAAAAGCCAGGACACACACACACACACACACACACACACACACACACACACACACACACACACACACACACACACACACACACACACACACACACACACACACACACACACACACACACACACACACACACACACACACACACACACACACACACACACACACACACACACACACACACACACACACACACACACACACACACACACACACACACACACACACACACACACACACACACACACACACACACACACACACACACACACACACACACACACACACACACACACACACACACACACACACACACACACACACACACACACACACACACACACACACACACACACACACACACACACACACACACACACACACACACACACACACACACACACACACACACACACACACACACACACACACACACACACACACACACACACACACACACACACACACACACACACACACACACACACACACACACACACACACACACACACACACACACACACACACACACACACACACACACACACACACACACACACACACACACACACACACACACACACACACACACACACACACACACACACACACACACACACACACACACACACACACACACACACACACACACACACACACACACACACACACACACACACACACACACACACACACACACACACACACACACACACACACACACACACACACACACACACACACACACACACACACACACACACACACACACACACACACACACACACACACACACACACACACACACACACACACACACACACACACACACACACACACACACACACACACACACACACACACACACACACACACACACACACACACACACACACACACACACACACACACACACACACACACACACACACACACACACACACACACACACACACACACACACACAGATGTATGAGTAATCGTTCAGCCTGCGGCGGTGGTTGTAGATTTTACCCTCGGCATTGCTTTCAGGAGACTGGATCGAATTTTTGATCTGGCTTTGGACTTGATCCGTGACTTTGTATTGGACTTGACCTTTTCAAACAGGCGTCGTCCTGTGAACTGGAGAGTCTCTGCGAGTTGCTTCCGTGAACGTATGTGAAACTGGTGCGGGCAATTCGAGCAAGGGTATGTGAGGTAATCCGCTGCACATCCTGTGCAACACTTGTCTGACTGCAGATTGAGGGGTGCAGTGGGTGTGTTGGAAATGCTGGCTGCAGCAACAGCTGGCTGCTTTTTCTTTTTCTTCTTACCAGCAGTGGCAGAGAGATGTCCATGTGATACTGGAACAGCTGTAGACTGCGAGAGGCTGACCATAGCGGATGTAGACACAAATGCTGCTGATAGAGACCGAGATGGTGTGAACGGAGCGGCTGTAGATTGCTCAAACATGCTGCAAGTTGTAACCTGCAGGCACGGTGACCAGGTGACTGGAGTACGCACGAGCACGTGACCACTTGTCCAGCCATGTTCGATTGGGAATAAGGGCCGAACGCTACATCGCAGCCTTTTCGGACCAAACCCAGTCGATTCAGCATCCAGAAGACTACAACATATGGGCCAATCGCGTTCATCCGTGCATTTATAAGAACGACATGGCGCTTTTAGTGAGATTTTGCATGCAAATCCCCATCTAGTAGGGCGCAGTCACCCAGTTTCGGTGGAAGTGCGCGAGTTCGATTGGGAATAAAGAAGGAAGGGAGCGTCTCAGCTTCCTCGGACCAAGACCATTCGACTCAGCACCCCGAAGATTACAACTGGTGAAAATTTGATTTTAGGCTTAACTTCCCCTTTAAACAAAACCTTCATTGTCTGCTCTCCGGTCTGCCAGCATCAATGCGTGATGTGCTGTTGGGGACCAAAAAATGAATAGCAAAGTTAGACCAGTCGAATCACCCAGGGTACTTCAATATGCTAAATCTGCTCCTTGACCTGTATATCCATGGTGTGTGTGTGTGTGTGTGTGTGTGTGTGTGTGTGTGTGTGTGTGTGTATTTGCATTGGTGCATGTGTGCATGTGTGTGTATATGTGCATGTGTGTACGTGTGTTGGTGTGTGTAACGTCATGTATGTGTATGTGCGTGCATGTGTGCATGTGTGCATTGTCATCGTGCAGACGAGGGCATTGAAGATGGTGAGATTGGCGACGAGGATACGTTGGGTGACATGATGATGAGTGGAGATGGCGGCCTGGCAGCAATGCACAAGGAGCCTGGTCACGCACGCCGAAGCATGATCAGTTTTGGGCATGATGTCAGTAGCGAGGTACGTCAAGTAACCTCGCATGACCATACCATCCTTCAACGGTCCTTTCCTTGATGGATGTATACATCATGTATTATACTTTATAGGACTTACCCTGAATGACACAGCCTTACCTGTCTTAGTCAAACAAGCATTGCTCACAGCAGACTACCTTTCAGCCATTTTCTCGAAACGGTATAGGGGGATTCCAGTCGCCCTATCATTTTTCTTTGTCTCCTTCTGTAGAAGGTCTATGAGAGGAGTAGGTTATGCCCCCCCCCCCCCCCCAATGCCTTGTAAGTTGTCATGGGAATGGGGCAGTTGTCTTAGCTTCAACATCATGCTGACTGGAACTACGCATAATTTGATGTTGCACGGAGTGAATTCAGAGCGGTGTGTTTTCGTTCGACTGTTCAACACTGATAAGACATGTGTGTAACTGGTGTGGGGTATCTTTGAAAATCCTATTACTCGATGTACTATTACAGTCAAATCGTACTAAAATGAAGATCATGTAGTAAAGAGGGGTTTACGAAAATGAATATGACCCTGGTATCAGTACAGATGATCTTTTCTTTATGTGCCAACAATAATTATATCCAATGTGTGCTATGCCATGTTCAGGTGAAACCACCATCGCTTATGCCCAGGGAGGCACGGACTCGCCTGGGTCGTCCTGAGGCAGAGATGCTGAAGCGTACTTCATCCATTGGGAATGCCCTGGTACGTTATACACTCCACAGTGTACACTGCACTGTCTTTCAGTGGAGTTTACATGGTTGTACATGTACATGTAGGAGCAAGCATGATTATGCCTAGGCTTCACAGCCCAGTAGTAAATCGATTAGTGTGCCGAGTCATGAACAAGTCAGAGCATGAGGGTGCGCAGTAAGAACCTAGTGTAACTGCAAAATACAGTCACCTTCGTTAATAACGACTGTGGATATAACGACAATTCGCAAATAGCGATAGATGATTTCCATGCTCAGAACAAAGTCCCATCCAATTGTAATACATATAATGAGAAATGAGACTTTGGGTATAAGGACACTTTGCAAATAAGGACACTTTTCTGATGCCCCGCCGAGTGTCGTTATACGCGAAGTTGACTGTACTTGGTCGGACTATGATAGCCATGCAGCTTACACTTTTTTACAGCTAACACATACTGTATAAGCAGAAAATTTCATCGGTCAATAATTTCGTCCACCTCCAAAGAAAGGGAGTTCGTCCGGTTGTAAATTTCGTACGTGGATCGTAAGAGTGTATTGAAAAGCTGGACAAATCGATATTAGTCCGGCATTTAATTTAGTCCAAAAGCTCCTTGGACGAAAAAGACGAAATTAAATTCCAGACGAATATTTCTGCTTGTACAGTACACTACTGCCATAAACACTGCTAAGCAAGAGCAGCACTTGTACGCAACGACGTCTGGTACGGTTATGACTGTTACGGACGTGAGTCCCCCGAACATCTGTGGTTACATACCTACAGTTAGGGGTGTGCGGATTATTCCCGCAATATTTTGCGAATATTTTGGGAATACTATCGTTAAGATTTTTTTTGGAATTTTAGGGGAATTCTATCGATTTTTGCCTGATCCATTTTAACCTCCCGGAAGGATTTTTGGGGAATTCTGTCAATGATTTTGACCTGCCAGAGAATGAGCACGCATCCCTGGATGGACGTACATGTGCATCTGATGAACAGTACTCGCCTGGACAACAGCGCTTTAGCCTCCACGCACGCGCATGCAGCCTGAGTACAGCTGTAGCTGTGTAGATCTGTAGCGGATCCTGCATACAGCAATAGTGTAAATCAGTGACCGCGTGCCTGAACGTCCATTTTGCATACTAAAGCGCATGCGCAAGGCACGGTTCGTGCTGGTTTGTTGGATAGATTTGGGAAATTCTGGAGAATTATTTTGATGTTTCTGGAGAATAACAGTATAATTATATAGAAGTACCCATTGCAGCAAGTACCGGCACGACAGAGTAAACAGCCATCAATAAGTTCAATTGTATAATTATATCACTGGCATAAGCTGTACTATTGAGTATTGTGGAAACACGTTGTGATAATATTGTCTGAATGTAGTTTTTATGCCACCAAAGAGCCCTGGAAATTACTTAGTCGACACTGCGTACACGTAAATAAGCTCGTCTAGAATGTTGAACAAAGTATTATCAACTTCTAATTCCTTGCCAACGATCTCAAAGAATTTGATTGCATTTTCCTTTCTACATGAATCCGTACAGCAGCATTTTCTTTGTATTTTCAAGATCTTGAGGGGTCATTCGGCATCCTCCTTGGTGAAATGGGGGGGGGGGGGGGGGGGGGGGATGTTCAGGTGTACCCCATGGCTAACAAGAAGATCTTGTATGTTGAATCCTTTGTCTACCATAATGGAATCGCCATGCTCTAATAAACTGATTATGCCGCCCTGTTCTGTGATGGCATGATCCGACCCAGATCCTTTGATTACTTTTGAAACAAACGTCACATGGCCATGCGGTGCAATGCCGATAAGGCATTTTACCGTGTTGTGGTACTTGTACGCCGACCGTGTTGCACTTTGCCGTGCCAACGATGATGGAATGTTTATGAAAAATTCAGTGCAGTCAATCACGACGCGAGTTGTTGCATACCACTACTTGAATGCAGGTGGCATCAATTTGTCTATTCTTCTCCTTGAAAGCCAAGATGGAAGTTGGTGAAACTTGTGGTACATCAAATTGACCCAGGTTGTCACAATGCGCAAGGCAGTGGAAGGGTGGACTTTAAACTGGTCGGCGAGGTCAACTTATTTCAGGCCAAGACGAAGACGGACGAGGACGAGAAGGAACTGCTCCATCAGCTCTAGCTTTGGTTTGCTGCCTGGCTTGCTGCCATGTTGCACCGCGTCATCAGGTGCCGTCCGCGAACCCATTCACGTTCGCATCACCTTTGCAGAATCGTGCAGAAAGTTGAAACATACCATGAACATCAGGAAAGATGAAACGCCTGTGTAGAAAGACAATAATTTCTCGGGTTATTTTTTACTCTGTGGATAGAGAACATATTGGTCTCTCTGCAGCATTTAATTTGGCCTCGATGTCCTCAGTGGCCAAGCAACGACTCATTTGAAGACCCCGTTCCCACTCTTGAGCAAATCCGTTTCTGCTCTCAGCATTTCAACACATTCACAGTGCTGGTGTTCAACTAGTACTACTTCTGGGGAGTCATCTGCAGAAGGGGCAACGTCAGTGGCAGTTACAGCCGGAGTGATGACACTGGAGCCACCTTGAGCTGATGGCTTTAGCTTCTTTGCTGAGGGCAACGCATGTCTTTCTGCTTGTGGCTTGCGCTTAGTCACTTCAGGCCGAAAAGCGAAAATCGTAGGCATAGCACACGGCTGTTCTAGCGTGGCCATTTATCACAATGGCAACCAAAATTCAGGATCCGCGAAAAACTTGCTACGTCACAAATCTCTATGGAAACTCGAGAGCACGCGACGCGTCGAGGAACCTTTTCAGTCATTTTTGTACTTGTTGAGCTTTTGTAGCCGTGTGACTGATTTTTAGTAGATTATTTGATCGAGAGAAATTCCAATTCTTCAGAATGTTTTCCTTCATGTATTCTGTCTAGACACCTTCTGGCTACATTTATACCTATGGACAAGTGTGGACAACCAACCCTAGCGGGTCCGCCGGCCTGGGCTCCGGAGGATAACCTAAATTACGAACAACAACGATTCAAAAGATCAGTAACAACGATTCAGTTATTGAAATTTTAGGTATATTTACGCTTACCTTTCTACTTCTCAAGCGTTCTTCTCTTCGGCTGGAGAATCATACGGTTATAGTGAGGCAATGCCGTGGTCAGATACTGCGTGACCAGAACGCGGAGTCGATCGACATCACGGTTCATGTTCTCCAGGGACGAGCGGAGCTGTTTGAATTTCCCGTGAATACTTTCTCCACCTTGCTCATCGAGGAGGCCAAGGGAGATGCCGAATCTTCGCATGCAGGGAATTGTGTGACGCTCAAGCAAGTGTAACTTGGGCGTGATGGACTTCCCAAGACGTTCTGCAATGTCATGCCTCACCATTGCCATGAACTCGGAAATCTGCTTCTCCAAGGATGCTAGGTCATCATCATCATCTGCTACTTGGCATTTGGAGAATACTGCTCGACAACTAGCATACGCTGCAAACAGCTTGCTGTAGCGTGACTGCAGCTCCTGAGCCTCCTGGAGTATGCTGGTCTCGTCCGGCGACGGAGAGTCTGACAGATATGACTGGACCGTTGCTACTGGAGCAGAGGTGAGCTCCGCAATAACCGTCTGCTGCAGTGCCCTGTGGACGTGGTTGCCAATAAAGGCACCAGAGTGGTATGCCTGCCGCTCGATGCGATGCTTGATGAGTACTGTCTCGAAGCAGGACACACAGGGACCACTCTCCACACAAGCAGTTGATAACGACTGTTGCAGAGTAGCAATCTCTTCCTGGAGTTTCTGTGCTGACTCTTTCAGCTGCGCCCAGTGAGACTGTACTGCTGCAACTGCATCGATTGCAGCCTGGTCCCTCCTCTTCTTTGCTGGACGACCACCCTGCACTAACTTCCCTCCCATCTCACATGAGGTACAAGGGCCAATTTCAGGGTGCTTTAGCCATTGGTGGGCAACCCTTGGCCTCGATGTTGCACTGGATGCAGCTACTGCACTGTAATCACTGGAGGCTGCAACTGCACTGCCACTGGGTTCACTGGGCGTCGATGACGAGCCCGTTGCCACAGTAGAAACACCACTCGCACTGAACTTTTTAAGTGTAGTTCTACACGATGCACAGAAAAGTGTCGGATGAATTTCAGAGTCATCCAAACATATGTCTGTGCTGTAGCAACGAGCTATGTCCACAGCATAGTCCTTCACAAGGTACACTGACGCTACTCCACCAGAATGCCTGCGATGGAGCTTTCCTGCACACAAACGGCACAGCTGGGCAAGGTTCTTCACGTGCTCCTCCATCCTGATCAGCTGATGCATCAAAAAAATACACAACACGAGGACGGTTGGAAGCAAAAAACTGTTCATGGTATCAAGCTGATTCTTCTCAACAAGCAGCACAAAAGCCTTACCTTCACGAGAAAACTTCTCGATACCGAGGCAAAAATCCAGAAACAAGGCTGAGTCACGTCAAAGCGCTCTATAGCCAAAGTGAAAGCTGCTGTCACAAAATATCCAGGGCTGATCAAAAAGACGAGAGAGACGCGCAAAAAAGCAAAGGACAGATCCAGCTCTTGATCGCGGCAAGGACATAACCTTACCTGGCGAACCTGATCGATTTTACCGATTCCCGGTTTGAGTTGGTACGGTTATCTCTTGGAATTTGGCCGGCTATCTGACATTTCGCGCACAGCTGACTCCCACGAGCGTCTTCATCTTCACCAAAAATTCAAATCTCAACGGAAAATCAGCTGGCCTTGACTGGCCGTTTTTTCGCCCACTTGAACAGCCATGAGCAGTCAGCAGAATCATTCACGCGTCTGTTGTGACTTCTTCTGCTCAGACGGTAGCTCGTGTGCTCCTGCGTAATATGCCTCATCCGCGAAGTGCCGAGATCACACTTTTGTGTGCTTCATGATGATGAAAGCGGCCCCTGCATCCATACGGATGTTGGCGATCCAACGTTTTCTCAAGTCTTTGTCGTCAGGAAAACTATGGAACGCGACTGCGTCGTCTCCATGTTTTCTGCTTTTTTAAACACACTGGGGGGCACAGCAGTGATGAGGCATGCTGTTCACGACGACACAGGCTTGTACAGGATACAGATCCACGCAGAACTGCAGCACGCTGTCAAAACATGAACAACCTATCAAAATAAAATCAAACCACTTTAGCTTCTTCTCCAACTCCAGTCATGTCAAGGACACACATTAGGTTTGAAAATGATGTCATCGTGAAACTCACAAAAGGTCTACCGTAGAATCCCGCGGATAAGCCCACCCGCGTATAAGCCCATGCCCGCGCATAAGCCCAGGGAAAGTTCGACCATCACAAGGCTTCCTCGTACAAGCCCATGGGCCTAAGTCGTACCAAGAGTCCATAAATTATGGACTCTTGGTCCTACCATGTACATGTAGGTAGTACATGTAGATTTTTGTTTGCTTGTTTTTGTACACTTCAACACAATCATCGGTTGTTTTTGTTTGCACAGTGGCATCCACCAATGTACTTCTCACTTCCTTGGTACTTTTCTATAGCACAATGTTGGTGTCAGCGTATAAGCCCATGTCCGCGTATAAGCCCATGTTCTTGTATAAGCCCACCGAAATGTCCTTGTGAAACAGATAAGCCCATGGGCTTATCCGCGGGATTCTACGGTATTCTTGTTACGGTTTCCTTTTTGGAGAAATGAACTTCAGAAATATAATAATTATTGGAAGAGCAGTCCATAGCATAGGGGATCGCCAAAAAATTCTAAAAAAACTCAAACTTTGACCCATTTATGGCCAATAGCTAGAAGTCCATCTTTTTTTAATGAATGGACTGCAGTGGGTTCCATCTTCTGCTCATACAGTGGTCAATACCCTGTGGGCATGGCTTCTGTACATGCCTGTATGTGCTCATGCACCATACGTATAGTGCAGCCCAGGGATGCTGTACTTACTAGTATTAATTTGTTGTTTTTCTGCTTCTGTGCCCGTATGGACCTTGGTGCAGCAATTCAAGTATGACCCAGATGTAAGTACTCTTGGTCTTGCCTTGGACCAGTAACGCTGTTCGTTATCTGTATGCACCTCAATATGTATCTCTGTCTCTGTTGCACTGCACCTCACATTTATTCTTTACTCGTAACTCAGCACAGACGCAGTCCATGCAGTCAAGTAAAGCTAATTTTGTAACCGATCGTAAAATCCGTATGTAGCAAACCTTGTTGGGCTAGTAGGTCAGGTTACTGTAATTTCACAAATTTTCGCTGTACTTTTATTTTCGGTTCTTTCGGTGCATCTGTTTCGTACCTAAAGTTTCAATACACCGAACAAACACTAACACACATAATTCAATAGGGAACTGCTTCTCTGTACCTTACATTTCTGTTCACCTAACCTGGCCCGTTTTGCCCTCATAGCGGAAATATTGAGCACCGAAAATTTCTGAAATTGGAGTACTCCCAGAAAGTACAGTGTGTGGATACGAGTAGCTCGGGATGTGTTTCCGTAATAGCATCACTTTGCTTCATATGCTGTGTAGGTATAGAGACCAAGCTCTATGCCTGTGGCAATACTCGAAACCTTCATGTAAGGCGATGTGTCATCTCTAAGTTATGCCTGTGTATGTTCTCTTGATGCTGTCTCTGCAGCCCATCTACGACAATCTACCCAATCTGCCGAAGAAAAGCCGACATCGACGTAGCTTTGTGGATGAGTTTGATGAAAATGAAGAAGACAGGCTGCGTGAAATGATAGCACAGAGCACAAAGAAGAAGGGCAAGAAGGAGAAGAAGTCGAAAAAGAACAAAGACAAAGACAAGGTCAGCTTATTGAACCAAAACTGAATGGGATGATAAGGGCAATCTTTCAGGTAGAAAATGCACACACATTCCGACTCCGACTTCGACATGCCCATCGCGGAAGCTATGTTAGACATAGTGACTTGTGATGGGGTTACCCCATCCAACAGCTTGCAAGGCTGATGAATTGACCGCCACTAATTTTAGCCTGGTATCCACCACACAGCTGATTGAAGTGACTTTTTCTGGCCAGTGAATTCCTATTTTTCCTTTTTCCATTTTTTCATTTTTTTCTTTTTCGACACACACACCACACCACATACTCCGGCATACACTGGCTGTTGGTAACCACCCAGGAGAATGAAAGAAGAGCTAGAGAATGAGAAAGAGAAGAAAGATGAGTGCGACCATAATCGTCGGGAATTGAACCCGCAACCTCTCGATTGGAAATCGACTGCAATACCACTGCACCATATGGGACACACAAGAACACACACACATACATACACATCAGCATACAACACATATCTCATGATGATGCAAGATGATTAAGTGCAAAGCACATAGTACTCGTATGTTGTGGGAACACCAGGCTTAATATGATGGTGCATGTATTACTTTGAGATTGTACAGATGCAGATCCATATGCCTGTGCAATGACACTCGCGTGAACCCGGGCACGGTAGCAGAGTACTGTAATTTCACAAATTTTCGGTGTACTTTTATTTTCGGTACTTTCGGTGCATCTGTTTCATACCTAAAATTGCAATACACCGAACAACTACTATCACACATAATCCAATGGGGAACTGCTTCTCTGTACCTAAAATTTCTGTTCACCTAACCTGGCCTTTTGCCCTCATACCGAAAATTTCTGAAATTACAGTATTTAGCAGATTTCACTGTGTTTGCTTGAGGTAGTAAATTTGTTGGTACGTTTGCCTATTGAAGTGACCTCTAGTGCTATGTGTGTTTCTTCAAATCCTTCAACAGGTCAACAAGGACAATTCCAAGACTGATCTTGGAAGTGAAGTATCACCTGGAGCAACCCTGTCATCCAGTAATGCGAACACACCCCAGCAAGCACGTACAGCGGCAGGTCAGAGTGTGACATCATCAGATGGTAAAGTGTCGACCAGCAGTGACCAGGTGGCTACATCGCCATTCCAGTCTACGCCGGAGAGGCGGCAATCCGAACGCTCAGATGCTCTGTCACCCGCCTTGGCCACGCTGGCTTTAGATGGTGAACCCAGACGCACGCCTACGCCCTCTGGTCTCCAACGACAACAGGATAGTAATAGTCAACTCCAGCAACAGCAGCAGCAGCAGTCTCACCCAGTGTTTATCACTGATCCAGACCATAACGCGCGACGGCCGTTTGTATTGCCTAAGCCAGCCTCTGCTGCCGAGTCCATTCCTGCTTTGCCGCCAAAATCATCCACCGGCAGCGGAAGTAACGGCAGTAGTCGACTCACTGGTCCAACTGCAGACGCTCTTCCAGCTGTCACACCTACTACATCCTTCTCATCTACCTCATCATCTCCAGCCAACCCGTCCAGTCTGGATTGGAGAGCGAATGCAGCAACAGCAGCAGCCACAGCGACATCAGTGGCAAGCGCACCGCAAGCTGGAAGGGGAGCATCAAGTCTGAACGTCGTGACAAATTCCGGCAGACGGCCTAGCACCACCAGCGAAGGCTCGGTATCCCCTGAGCCGCCACCACCACCCCGCTCTTCATCTTACAACAGGTAAGGCACCGGTGTGAGAATCCTCCGCATTCTTGCACACTTTTTACGTCGGTCTAACCAAAAACAAACTGTGTTACTTTGTTGCTAGTCTCTCTAATGCTGTACATGAACTATATCTGTGATATTGAAGCATCTTGCACTGATGACACATGCTGCAACAGTACAAGGACATTTGTGATTAGAACTAATTAGAACTGATCAATAGTGATTATACATGCCCTGTCCACCGGCATCAGAAGCAGCTGGTGCTTGGTGTTGCCCTGAATATTAATAGTATTATCAACTCAAGAAGGGCCTGTGCACTGCGGTTACTGCTGTACAGTATTCCATCTGCACCGTCTTTGTTGACGTGCACTGGGAGTACAGTATTCCATCTGCACTGTCTTTGTTGACGTGCACTGGGAGTATAGTTCACTGATCTTGTGCCTGTCCATTACCGATGCCATTGTCTTGTTGTGCAGGGTACAAATGCTCAAGTCACCGGAACAAACACAGTAAGTGCACTGTAGCAAATTGCTCTCCGTCGCAGTGCAGTTGTGGTGTTCTGAAGCTCAGCTTCCCAGTTATGTTATGAGAAGTGGTTAGTGCACACAATGCTACTACCTAGCTTCGTGAAAGTTTAGTAATTCAGAAATGCCCTTTCTGTGTTCATTGCAGACGTCCCGATGAGCGCAAGCATACCACGGTTGGTCCGACAGTGTCCTTCTCGCATAACCATACCTCGAGGACGTCTCCGGTAACACGCACCCGTGCGAACACCGTGGACTCCGTGGGACATCAAGCGCATGCGCATGGAGTGGAAAGCAACAGCCATCATGGCCAGGAAAGTGTGGGCGACGACAGGCGGGGTGAGCAGTTCAACGATGCTCGGTCCATGCTTGCCAATATGATGAAGTCATCAGCAGGTCCTGGCCACTCAGCTCTGCAGAGGAGCGGCAGTGGTGAGGCTGTACCTGCTTCCAATACTAGTATTGGATATAGTTCGGCATCAGTTTCCACGTCAACCACGCTATCAACTAGCTCCAGTGCTCCGCACCCAGCGGCATCGCAGCAGATACATGGCGCACAAGTGCCCACATCTGCAAGTGTTTCGGCAAAGCCACCCGTTGCAAAGAAGCCAGCCGTTTCTCCAAAGACGTTTCGCAGTCCGCAGAAGCCTGCTCCTCCACCGCCTTCTGCACTTAATTCAGGTGTTACATCAACGGATTCGGTATCGTCTGCATCCGGGTCGCAATACCAGCCAAGTAGCAGGCCGGTAACAACGGTAACTGCACCAGCTAGTCGCTATAGCCCGCATGGTCAGCACTCTCCACCTTCAGATCAGCAGTACAGTCCACAGAAAACCATTTCACCTGTAAGTCCACACCGACTGCCCGTATCTCGCAGTTTCGAACAGGATATGCGTGGCCCGGCCAATCGACCCATGTCTGCAGAGCCATCTCTGCATCACGCGGGCTATACCAGGCCGCCGGTAGCACCAAAGCCTCCATCGCACTCTCACCAGCCGTCAGCCGTAACCGGTATGTCCAACTTCCGACTTCCGTCCACTGAGCATCTTACGGAGCCAGGCCAGCGGCACTCCATCTCCACAGTGCAAGGTGATGCAAGACGCATGCTGGGTCAACATGGCGCGCTCCCCGGCTCTGTGGCACCACCAGCAGCACCGATGTTCGTAGCCAAGTCTGGTGGCAACCATCCACGGCCAAGAGCACCTTCTGCAGTAAGTGATCAGCCTCAGGGCATGTACATGTACATACACTGATTGTTTCACGGTGAAGTTTGACTTCAGGTGCGGGGTAACGCAGGCGTAAGCCTGAGGAACTGGATCTCCTTTTGGTTGGTCAGTTCGGATGGGATTGATGCAGTGGTTATCTTTTATCAGGACCAGTGTCTGTGATCAAAACGGCACGGTGTAGGATGTCTGTCCTGCAGCCCGTACACAATTGCAGAAGTCGTATACGGCTTGCCACTCTTCACTAGGTGTTTAGGTTTGCCACTAGTATTGTTCAAGTAATAAACATAGAAGGGGAAGCTAAGCGAGTATTGTTGCTTGTGTTATCTGATCACAGTTCATTGTTGGAATCAGGATCACGTTGTTATGCTCCACTTCATTGTAGAATGCTTTGCAGTCGTGAAAAGCAATTGCCGTACTCTTTCTGATCTTAGTGCCCATGACAATGATTGTATTGTCTGGTTCTATTGTTTTGTGTTTCTTTGCAGGAGCCAACGTTTGACCGGTCCTACCACAATAGCTCCTCTTCCGCAACCAGCAGTGCGCCGACTAATGGCTACATGCCCGGTTCTACACGCGCCAGTGTGCGCAGTACTGCAGGCAGCAAGCCAAGCAGCGGCAGCAGTGGCTTTCTTCAACACAGCAGTCTGTCGAGCAATGGGGGCAGCCACAGCAGCACCAGTGTGTTTGGTTCTGTTAGTGATAGCCCAGGGCAAAGGATCGATGCGGCCAATCTAACACCGACTGTAGTAAGTGTGGGAGCTAGAAAGCCTGTCCAGTTGTGATAGTTTAAAATCATTTCTTTTCACGAGTGTGACAGTGATAGAGTCCTGCATGCACATTCCAACCCTATGTCAATGCTTCTCGGACTGGCGTCACTGGTACGACCATGACTGTACCAGTTTTTTAACCAATTTCGGTGCTCATGGAATGTCCGGTGTGTAATTAAGCATGTAGAAGTAATAATTGAGCTAACCGTGTAGGCTTGTACACTCCTCGCTAGAGTCTCTCCCGCCTCAGCTGTTCTTTTTGTCCAGTGAAGACTGTTGTTCTAGCGGTATGTCTGCTGCTAGCGAAATGTGTAGCTGAACAAGCAGATGTGATGCAGCATAGAGCCAGAAGTACATCCTCCCATGATAGTATGATGATACTGAAATTGGGCATAGGGAAATGATTGGCCCTGTAGCGGACCTGGTGCAGCACCACCCCTGCTGGCTGCGGGCTTGCTCCTTTGAAGAAGTGATCATCGCCCTTTTAGCTGATAATGGACAAAGACAATATCACTCTGTGTTTTGACTGTTGTGTTGATGCTTGATTTTTGCAACCGTGGCTCCATTTGTTTGCCAACTGCAGATGTATGTGGTGTTGCGCAAGCGCACAACCCTGGGGTTCAAGGTCACCGGTGGGCACGGCTCTGGGGGAAACCCCTACCTTCCCAAGGATCCGGTAAGTTGCCATGTTAGGCTATTCCCTAAAGGTACATGATTGTATTACCAAGAGTAAATGAGCCGCTCCAAGCGAAAAGGGGTCTAACAGAGTCAGAGGTCGATTTCGAGTTATGTGCATCACTAGATGCAGGATTCTTGCAGAAATCTTTTGCAGAAAACCGGAGCAAAACATACGAAGTATTAACCCTTTGTGGACGGACTGTACGAGTTTCGATCTAATAAGATCGAAACTTCGTAACTTCGTAACTCCATCGTTTCTTGAGCAAATTCCACAATCGAAGGGTCTACGTGGTAGCGGGAACTCCAAGCTGTCCAATGCAACAATCGCCGAAGAGTTACAATGTTGGACGCCAGAGATATCGCACGCCGTATTCTTACCTCGGCAAATTCAAATTTTTGATCGATCATTTCGCCATTTTGGGGGAAAATCCCTTTTCGTGTGCTCTTTGAGCGACTGAGCACATGATAATGACGTAGCCGGCTGAAGTTTGAATCGTCTCAAACAGATTTGAGCGTTCTGCGATGATGGAGAGTGGAATGGCGTTGATGGGACGAATTTGCTTGCATATCAGGCTTGGAGACGACTTTGCTGTGTTACCGCGTCTGATTTGTGGCGGCTGGATAATGGAGATTGGTACCCTGACGTAGCTCTCGCCAAGAGCTTTCCAATGAGCCCTTGATTGTGAAAATCAAGTGAAGGACACCAAAGTTATGACATGGAAAAGTTGAAAATTGTACTGACATTTTGTAATTCTGGTGCATACTGTGCTAGTAATCCGTCCATAAAGGGTTAACTGAGTTACGGTAGGTTTTGTGAAGGTCACTTTTAAGAATTTTACGGTCGAAAACAACAGCCGGACGAGGGTGTAACATTGTGCTTCCTGGTGACTCCAGACAACTTGCTTGTTGAAAAATGTGGCGTACAGTTGGAATAGCAACTGCCTGTGATTATAAGTAAGGCCAAAGGAATGAAGTGCACAGCAAGGGAAGTTACAAATCGATAAAAAAAGAAGCAAAGAGCGTCAGCAGCAGCAGCATTGCTGGACAGGAGTCGGAATTTACGGTTGAAGCTCAGTTGATGGTACCGGCGGGCACAACTCATCTTGGAATTCTGGTGGAACTGTCAACATGTTGGCGGACGCTCGTGAAGAGGTATTGCTGGCGCTCCTCTGTGATGCCACGGGGAGGCAATGTCCTTGGCAGAACAGCGTTCCTGATGGCTTCCACAGACGTCCGGAGCAGATCAACTCTCCTCTCCTCACCATCCACTCTGTCCCGGCACGTACACAATACCAGGCTCTTCTTTCCGCACAGTGACATGATGGACCTTGGAGACTCCAGGCACTGGCTTGAAGAATTGGACAAAACACTTGTCCCACTCACGCCACTGCATGCCAGAATTTGGTATAAGCCGCGCTTTGTTGCAATGTGCACTTGCATCAACAACACCTGCCAAACTGCTGCATCGTGTACACATCACTGCAGCGATACTTTTTTTTTAACAAACCGAAGCAGCCATCCACTAAACATCAGACAGACTAAAATAAAATAATAGCCAGCACAAGCGAAAAGGGACCTTATCCGTTTTTTGGGCATTTTGAGTTAGCAACGGATTCTTGTAGCCAGAGAACGTATGAATCAGATAAAAAAACCGAATGAAAATCCATCAACATAATATTATTATAGCAAAGTTTCGGACGTTTAAATCAACACTGTTTTCACCAAAACATCGCACATATTCACGAATAATCTTTACATAAATTGCAATAATTTGGCCATAGAAGCCTTACAGAAGCCTTCGAGTCACCAGCGGAAGGGCTGGAGGATACAGTATACACACGCTACTTGGCAGTTGGCATAAGTTTCACTGTGATGGAATTTATAGTGCCAAGCGTGACGTCTGATGGGCCATCACGTCCTTCCGTACCACGCAGGCACGCCGCATTTTAGATCTAACAACAGGAATAATAGAATGTTCTGAGGCATGTAGCTTTGACACAGCACCAGACTCTAGCAATTATCAGGCTCAAAACGTGTGTTGCACTACGCAAGTTTGTCATTCCTCCGGCACAGGCGGACACAGCTCATCCTTGTAAGGGTCTGACACAAACGGCCGGATATCCTTGAACAGGTACTTCTGGCGTTCTTGTGACCGACCTGCTGGGGGCAACACTTGGGGAAGGCCTGCCGCACTCACCTACTCAGGTGTGGTCTTCAACAGCTGCACCTTGATTTTCATCCCATCCACAAGCTCCATCACTGCCACTGCTCCAGGTTCGTCGGATGAGAACCGGAAATGATGCTGCTGGCTGATGTTGGGGACTTTTTTGAAGAGCCGGGCGAGGTACGTATCCCACTCAAACCAGGTCACATTGCCAGGGATCCGTCGATGGATGTTGGAGGTAGTGCTGGAGTCAATCACATCTGCTAACTGCTGCATGCTGAACACGTCAGAGCGACGGTATTTCCTCTTAACCAAGCCAAACATACCGTCGACTAGGAATCTGGTATGGCCGGTTATCATAAACGACAATGTTATACTTCTGTGCAAACTGACAATGCAACGCCATGCAAGGTAAGCTATAGCAGACTTATTTTTGTTTTGTCCAGCGCAATTATCTGCATGTAGGTCGCAGTCATACTCATCAGCAACAGAAGTGGAAAAATAGTCGTGCAACAAAGAAATTACAGTGTTCGGATTGTGGCTCTTCTTGCCGTCAGGACCGATGGTTTCTGCCTCGTCAATAATGTAGTTTACCTGTTGGCCAACGCCTTCATTACATACACCAAACAAGTGGACTTTCCGAGGCACTTTGAAGTAAAGTGGTCCTACCTGTCTGGCCGTATACGGCAAGCTGACGCTCTGAGCAAAGTCAAACGTGTAGTGGGACTTTGTTAACGGCGGGCGATCAGCAGGAGACATAGCTGAAACTTGCTGAATCTCAGCAGCAGTATCTGTGGTTCTCTGCTGGTAGCTCTCTCTCCCTCTGGACCCTATGAATATGGTCAGTCAGCTGAGTGCATGCGGTCGTCTTCTGCTCCTCACTCCCAGCCGCCATCACGTTGCGCCGCAAGTCCTCGCACACAGGGCAAACATCCATGCGAGCCGTCATGAACTTAATATGCGGCAATGTCTGGTGCCAGATGGAGCGGAACGTCGACAAGGATACATACTTCTTACCCTCCTTGTGGCAGCAGTCGCAGACGTCTCCATGCACGGACTTGTACGTTTGCGACGCTGGAAGGAAGATAGGTGGTGTGTCGTCTCTGCCACGGAGTGGCGCAGGATGTGGAATTCCAAACACTTCCGCGTACCCAGTGATGTACTCCACGCAGTTCTTCACAACAGCAAGCTCCAGGGCATTGTGTGGCCGTTTGCCTGTGTTGCCGTGCACTAGTGGCACAAGCCCATTCTCTTCCAGGTGGCTTCTGTACCGTCTCAGCCTCTGGCCAGACAGTGCGTACACGTGACGGAACGCACCCACACAAACAGTCAGTCCTTTGAATGTGTAGGTAAAACGCTCCCTCTTGCGCTTCTCTCCACTCTCAAAAACTGTTTCAGGATGACTCAAAGCTCAAGAAGGCCCAGGACCACCAGCTCACTCTCGTGCGACTCCATTTCTCTCATGTTCAGGGTCGACGTCTCGATTTTTTGAACATCCACAGTTCTCTTTTTGACGAACAGTGTCATCCTCCTCTGTCGGCGCGACGGTCGCTGCACAAGCTGCTGCGGAGCTAGCCTGCGGAGGTTTGGGCTCTGCCTTTCGGATATACAGCTCTGCTGCTGCGTCGACATCCACTCGCTGCTCAAGAAAGTGTTCACCATCGTCATCGTCATCGCCATCATCGTCGCCGTCGTCAGATTGAACCGAAACGTCACTGGCGTCCGACTCCTCTTCCTCACCAAAAACTTCAGCCTCGTCCTCTTCCAGGAGAGATTTCAGCACTTCGTTCACGGTGAAACATTTACGATGGCTCATAGTGAACAGCTACGCCGACCCAAGGACTTAGCAGAAAGCGAAGACGGCAAGACAACTGCGCTGAAACTGTAAAAGCAACGTTTTGTCTTTCCGCTCGCGTGTGCGATTTTATTCAGCGGAGGTGTCACGGTCGATCGATTTTGATCGCCGATCGGTGGTACGTGGGTCGATTTAGCCAGGGGAGCTGTAAGATACTGGCTCTCCAATAGAAAGAATGACTGAGCTCCAAAGAATCGCGTATCGCCAAAAACGAACAGTTTCAAGTTCGATCCGAACGTGACAGCTGAGAATCAGCTGATTCACTTCAAGTTCGGTTTTCTCAAAATCACGTGCAGCAGGATAAGGTGCCTTTTCGCTTGCGCCGGTTCTGGTATGCCCAGCAATCATAAACGCAAATTCATACGCTCGTGCAAGCCAAGAATACACCTCCATGGTAGGTAAGCGAGCACAGTTGTGTTCTTGTTTTGCCCTCCACAATTATCGGCGTGGAGGATGCAAGCCTTTTCACCATAACCATGTTGGCTAAAGAAATGATGCAGCAATGACACAACTATGTTCGGACCGTGGCTCTGCTTCTGTTTGCTCCAATCATGTCCGACTCATCCAGCAGGTAGTTCACCTGCAGCGGTACAGCTTCGTTCATTACACCGAACACTTGCACCTTGCTGGGATTCTTAAAATAAAGCGGGCCAACTTGGCGTGCCTCCTGCTGCAAACAGACATTCTGAGCGAAATTAAACGTATAGTGCACTTTCGTCAGTGGCTGGGAGCAAGGGGGACAGGGACGAGGAATGATGCTTGCATCAAATCCGTCCAGCTCACCTGCAGCAGCAACAGTAGCAGCACGATAATGGTCTCGCACCTTCTGTGCATAGTGGACATGTTCCGTCAGCTGCTGACATGCCAGTACTTTGTCTGCCTCGGTCATGGATGTGACAACCTTGCGACGCAGATTTTCGCATGTGTCGCAGACGTCTGTTCTTGGGGTCATAAACTGCAGGTGAGGGACGCACTGCTTCCACACTCAACAGAATGATGACTTCCCGAGAGCACGGTAATCAATGCTGGCGCACGCAGCAACGTAGTCCTTGTGGACGCAGGTGAATGTCTGCGAAGCTGGAAGGAACACTGGCGGCACACCAGCACGGCCATGAAGTGGTGCGGGATGGGGAATGCCGTACATGGCAGCATGCGCCTTGATGAACGTAGCGGCATTCTCCACCTCCTCAAAGTTGAAAAGAGTTTCAGAGCTTATATAATAAGCTCTGAAACTCCAAACATTGCGGTGGTCGATCAGATCCTTGTCAAAGTCCAGTCCATATTGCACACAATCATTCATCCCGCATGTTGAAAAACAAAAGGAAACAATAGAAAATACAAGAGTGAACCTACGTGGAGTAGAGCATAACCTTCAAGCACTCTGCCCTCCAGTGTCTGTTTAGTGTATCGGAAATTTCACAACAGAATATAAATTGCGCACTTCGATTTTCTGTGTTCGAATTGCCCTTTGGGTCTGTAGTAGAACGAATTTACGTGAGCAATACAGAAAATTTATGTTTATCCGTACTGTCCGGAGCATAAGCCGCACTGGAATAGAAGCCGAGCACCTATTTTTTGTCACGAAATACAGAAATCTACCCTGTATTTCACGGTTCATTTGACCATCATAGCATACATGTAAGTAGCTCTGACATTTTTAGGTGAGTTACGAGTGTTCAAAGTGTGCCTTATACTCTGGAAAATATGGTGAGTGCAATGAACAGGATGAGGTGCGGCAAAACCGCAGGCACAGCCGGGGAGAGGGGTGAACAACCTTGACAAAGTGAAAAGCAACTCTCAAATTGCCCATGACAAACTGAAAAAAAATTCTTCTTTACAGTGACCAATATTATCAAGGATGACAATCTAGCGGATGCATGAGGCAATGGTGACGTCGGCTGAAACTCGATCTATGAAATGGCGGCACTATAATGTTTGAGTGATGTGTGTGTATGTGTTTGTACGTGTGTGCCGGTGCATGTGCGTGTCTTTGTGTTTGTGGCCGATTTTAACTCACTCTCTATTTTGTTCTATCTCTACATACAGGGTGTATTTGTCAGTGAAGTACTGGACCGTAGTACGTGTGTCAGTGGAGAAGTCAAGGAAGGAGATAAGCTATTGGCAGTAAGTTGTTGGGCCAGAGCCTAGCCTATTGCATTGGCCATTGCCGGTCCTTTTGTTGTCAGTGCTGTCAAATGTTAATGGTACTGGTATTACTGCAAGTATAATTGATGTATCCACTGATCCAGGCACCTCCATATTATGTCATTTGTAAGATTGTCATCCAAGTATATGTAGAGATCTGTTATAGCGTTGGTGTTTGAAGAAATGTGATGTGATCACTATAGACGATTATTACTACATGCGCGATTGGACAGGGTAGTAAGTGATAACTTTACGACTTAGTCATGATGACATACACAAACAGACGTGCATCATACATGTAAATACTATACCGAGACTTGGTAAGGTACGAAATAGCAACAACCTGCATCTAGTCTATGACCTGGTAGTGCACAGCATTTACACAATCTCAGTTTCCCAAAGCTTCCTGTAGGTACATATACCATTATTACTATAAACGATCCATAATGTATGCAATTGAGTGGTTTTGAAGTGAGAATTTGATCACAATAGGCGATATATTGCTACAGCATAGCCGATTGCTCTTATAATAGGTGTAGTTTGAGTGGAAAAGATAATTTTGCTTTTGAATTTTGAAGCTGATATCATAAACCGGTATGATTATTACTATAACCGCCAACCCTATAGTCGATCTCTACCTGTACAGTCATGTACATTACTTTTTTGTTTGAAGGAAAGCGGTGCAACCAAAGCCTGACCAGTCAACTGGCTGCCATGTCTTAGGTCTCGATATGTGTTCTGAATGCTATCTGTCTCTATAACTCATTATCTGACCCGGCCATTGCTTGATGACCTAGTGTGCAGTGCATTTTCACACAGAGTTGGGGTGTGTTCTGACACCCTACTGATTTGAAGTCCTTGGTTCACAACTATAAGTATGTTCTAATTTCAGAAATTTTCGGTGCTCAATATTTTCGGTATGAGGGCAACAGGCCAGGTTAGGTGAACAGAAATTTTCGGTACAGAGAAAAAGTTCCCTATTGGGTTATGTGTGTTAGCATTTGTTCGGTGTATTGAAATTTCGGTATGAAACAGATGCACCAAAAGTACCGAAAATAAAAGTACACCGAGAATTTGTGAAACTACAGTAGTTAATTTGTTGTTGTGTCCTGTTTGTTCAGTTGGATAACATTCCTCTGGAGAATTTGACACACCGCGATGCAGTCAATGTACTGCGCCAAGCCGCCGGTCTAATACGCGTCAAGCTCTTGCGCTATGTGCCGTCGGACGAAGCCGGTACGCTCTTCTAGCCGTGCATGCAGTGCGGCACTCATGCCACAACACAGCAGCATGCAGTGCTCAGCGGTGTGCTGTGGGCGTCCTTGTTGGACGTTGTTCGGTAGTGGCTGAGGAGTCAGGACAGCCACTGGAGAGATGGCAGTTTATGTACATAGCCGGTTCTTGGCCATTGCTGACTATCGGGCCCCGGCTGATAATCTATTCAATCAGCAACGGCTGTTGGCTGGCACACAATTCGCAACTCACCAGTGCCTACTAACTGTATATTGCACTAGAAAACAACTGATGTAAAGCTGATCGGAGCGGCTGCAATACTCAACGCGCAGCCAAACAATAGTTCCCTCTCGCTTCTAGGTGCCTCGACCTAAATTCAACTGTCCTATAAGCCCCATCTCATGTTAAAGTCTCTCTATACTAGCAAGTAATATTAAGTTCCGGTAATCCGCTGTATGATCCTCGGCAGCAGGAAGCAATACGGACCACAAAACCCACCCTGCTGTTTCTCTCCCGGTGATCCCTGAATCAACATTGTCCCCCGTCCCCAGCTTCTCGTGCCAACCCTTGAGATAAGGCGTGTGCATGTCTTTGAAAAAAATAATCTGCGCTAGTAATCACAGTTCACCTGCCGTCCATTAGCTGCTTGGCTGTGACTGCCGGCGTTTTGGCCAGTAGGTCCGACCTGGATGCGAACTCGATGTTGTGGGTTATTTTGCTGTCCTGTCCCGTCTCCTGAGTGTGTGTGTGGTCCCGTCCAGTATCGTATGCCTGTGTTTTGTGCACTGCAATCGCATTGAGTGTCATGCTGAAGAAGTCTGCGTTTTTGCTCTGGTTTAGGAAAAAAGGATTTTCATTTTCTTGCCTCATTGAACACAGTCAACACTCTACCATACTGTACAGCTTTCTATCATCAATGTATTCTAAAGTGACTAAGAACTTCTCATCAGTTTGCTATTACCGGTATGTTATGTTTGTTCTTGACAGCAAACTACAGTGTTACGTGTACATGTGTGCTGAGCGGCCAACTCATGCCTCATGCAGTCATGTTGTTGTTGATTTTTATTATTTTTACTTCGCAAGGCCAAACGGGCAATGGTGCCCAATTCTATGGAAGCGAATTTCAAAGGGGAGAGCGGGAGGGAGGGAGGGAGGGAGGGAGGGAGGGAGGGAGGGAGGGAGGGAGGGAGGAGAGAGAGAGAGAGAGAGAGAGAGAGAGAGAGAGAGAGAGAGAGAGAGAGAGAGAGAGAGAGAGAGAGAGCAAGATGGAGGGATGGAGGGGGAGGGGGAGGGAGGGAGGGAGAGATAGAGAGAGAGGGAGGGAGCGAGCGAGCGCGAGAAAGGGGGAGAGAGATAGCGAGACACAGAGAGGGAAGCAGTGAGGTTAGGGGCATCGGAGGGTGCGTTTTTGAAGCGTCAACAGAGGGAACACAAAGAGTTCATAGGTGCACAAGCACGCAGAGAAGAGTAAACTGATGTGGTGCGTGGACGGGCAAAGTCAGACAGAGCATTCATTGCAAGGTGTAGGGGATGGAGGCAAGCTTGCTGGGTAGCCTTGATCTCCCTTACACTCCTTGGCTTGGGAGTGCGTTCCAGGCCAAGGCTGCCTGAAAGGCCAGGCGAGATCTGCCGGCTTTTGACTGTGCCGAGGGGCAGTGAGGCCCCTGGAAACCTGGTGCTGGGTGGTGCTAACAGTTACCAGCTGATGGTGAGAGTAGGTCCAGGCTGGAGGACACTGCTGGCTTTCCCATTGACACAGCACCACACCAGGACGAGCCGCTTCTGGGCGTAACACTCGCGAACTCTGTACAGTGACATGCGTTCGAGCAGAGGCTGGGCAGTGGGCAGAGGTGTGAGCCGGCAAACCGTATACCGCTCTCGCCGCTCGGTTCTGCAGGACCTGAAGGCGATCAAGCTGCGAAACCTTTAGGGAGGAAGAGAAGGCGTTAAACCCGTATAGGAGGTCAGACATGATGACTGACCTAACATACTGGATGCGACTGCTGGGGCAGAGACATCTGCGGGACCGCCACAGTGCTCCAATCTTCTGCACAACTTTCTTCGCAATCGCGTCACTGTTACTTGGTACATGTAAGTTAGTCCCACTTCACCATGTTCACAGCGGCATCAAGGGTCACGCCGAGTTACCATGCTCTTGGACTCGGGGGAAGCTCTGTCTGGTTGCAGCGGACAGCGACATGCTGACCCGCATTGCGTTGTGGTACAATCGACAGGATTTGGCTCTTCTTGTCATTTTAGAAGCAGATGTCGTGTGTGGATGTCATAGAGAAACTCTGTTAATAATGATAGGAGAAGAAACGCTGTGCTGATGACTTCTGAGCATTGTTGAGAAGCATTTCTGGTACCGGTGTTCCATTGTAGCACTGCAATGTAGCTCACAATCACAATGCATAATGGTCATGGCCTGGTCGACTATGTTCCGTTTGTTCGTCATCGCGTCCTCTCATCTCTCGATCTGCCCGGCCGCGCCCGGGATTCCAGATCAGGCATGATCTGCAATGATATCTGCGCATGAGGAGTCGTCATAATACTTTTAGTTTTACGACTACTAGTACCTGATTTTAGATCTGCCGGCCGAACAATTAAAAAAAATTGTTTTCTCATCTCTGTCTCTGATCTGATGTAGAGCTACCGGTAGATCTTGTACATGTTTTTTCTTGTTCCAAAACCCCGACAAACCATAAGGAAGACGATAATATCGTCTTCCTTATAGTCATGTAGATCTACAGAGCTAGATCGGACAATGAAGGGCCTAGTACCGGGTATATTGGCTATAGCAGTGGTGATGGTGTATGAAGTCTCTTATTATCAGTGGGACCATTGTCATTAGGTTTAGGCCTGTTTTGGAACTCCACTTTAAATAAAGCCAAACAACAACAACAACAAGTGCTCAGCCGACAGGTGTCTCGGCATCACAGCACACGGTCTACGCATCGAGAAAAAGATCAAAGTGGATGATGAAACTAGGGGTCAAAGGTCGTGTGGAGGGTTCGACTGCTACTGGGGTTCCGGAATTTCGTCCGAGTTTCCATGCTTTGTCTCAACCTCACCCTTGAAAGTAGTTACCCAGCTCTTACTGTTCGACATCCAGGCCTAACTTCACGCTCTCTCTCTCTCTCTCAGTTCGTCATGGCTGATGCGCCCCGCTTCTCCCAAAGCTTGGGACTCTTGGTGCTAACAGTTTGGGTGATCGTGGTTTGGAGAGCAATTCACACGGGTACAGCCGGACTGACCATCCTCCGAGACCATGCAAGGTTAGCCGCAGTCCGGCTACTTTCTGTAGGGTAGTGTGACTTGATCGCGGCAGCGCCGTCGATTACTATAATTATTAGAATTTAGAACGAGGCAAACATGACATACCGTAGTATTTTGTCGGCACTGCACTGCACTGTGAACCGACTGTGCTCGTTTTCACTTTGATAGGTGGTATGTTTGTTCACCAGTGTCTTATCGGTAACGCATGTGGTAAATCTTCACCATGGCTTGAGTGACGATTCCATCAGTTTTCACGTAGGACACTCTCAACTTGCCCCTACTGTACTACAGTCCATTCAGAAAAAGATGGACTTCTAGCTTTTGGCCATAAATGGGTCAAACGTTGAGTTTTTTTAGATTTTTTCTGCAACCCCCTATGGAATCCTCTTCCAATTATGTTTCTGAAGTCTATTTCTCCAAAAAGCAAGCCATAGGAAGAATAAGATTTCGGCCAGGTTTTGCCCCAAGAGCACTGAATTGGGAAAAACCATCAAAATCCAGGCTGTTTGACCCTGCCTGCAACAGTGCATTGTACGGTTCGAACCCCAGTTCAGGTACCCTTTTTGGACCCTTTTCCAAATTTCAAGTTTCACAGCACTGCACTGTGTACGATAATATCTTGAAAATCGCCTAATACGGGAGCTCGCCAGAGCCAGGGCCCATCTTTTTTTGTGAATGGACTGTAGCGACAATCAAGTTAGAGGCAAGGATTAAAGGGGAAGTTAAGGCAAAAATTAGAATTTCACCAGTTGTAGTCTTCGGGGTGCTGAGTCGAATGGTCTTGGTCCGAGAAAGCTGAGACGCTCCCTTCCTACTTGAATCCCAATCGAACTCGCGCACTTCCACCGAAACTGGGTGACTGCGCCCTGCTAGATGGGGATTTGTATGCAAAATGTCACTAAAAGCGCCATTTCGTTCTTATAAAAGCACGGATGGCCGCGATTGGCCCATATGTTGTAGTCTTTTGGACGCTGAGTCGACTGGTTTTGGTCCGAAAAGGCTGCGATGCAGCGTTCCTCCTTTATTCCCAATCGAACATGGTTGAACAAGCGGTCACGTGCTCCTGCGTACACCAGTCACCTGGTCACCGTGCCGGCAGGGTACAACTTACTAGCCTGTTTGACCTTTTTTGGGTGCAGTCCTGTTACTCGAGTTGAACCTTGGTGTGAAAGTTGTCGCCTGCTGGCGTGGTGACCAGGTGATTTGGGCACCCAGGAGCACGTGACCGCTTGTTCAACCATGTTCGATTGGGAATAAAGGAGGAACGCTGCATCACAGCCTTTTCGGACCAAAACCAGTCGACTCAGCGTCCAAAAGACTACAACATATGGGCCAATCGCGGTCATCCGTGCTTTTATAAGAACGAAATGGCGCTTTTAGTGACATTTTGCATACAAATCCCCATCTAGTAGGGCGCAGTCACCCAGTTTCGGTGGAAGTGCGCGAGTTCGATTGGGATTCAAGTAGGAAGGGAGCGTCTCAGCTTTCTCGGACCAAGACCATTCGACTCAGCACCCCGAAGACTACAACTGGTGAAATTTTGATTTTTGCCTTAACTTCCCCTTTAACAGAACAGTGGCGGGTAGATACAGTGAACTAGGAGCAGGCTTCGCAGTAACGCTTTTAGTATACAATCATGTACCGCAAATCACAGTAGATGTCAACCAGGGAGTCGTATCATCTAGTCCAGCTGATGTAGGGAGACAACACAAGTACTACAGTCCATTCATAAAAAGATGGGTCCTGGCTCTGGCGAGCTCCCGTATTTGGCGATTTTTCGTGATTTCATCGTACACCGTGCAGTGCTGCGAACTTTGAAATTTGAAAAAGGGTCCAAAAAGGGTGCCTGAACTGGGGTTCGAACCGCAGAATGCACTGTTGCAGGCGGGGTCAAACGGCCTGGATTTTGATGGTTTTTCCCAATTCAGTGCTTTTGGGGCAAAACCTGGCCGAAATCCTATTCTTGCTATGGCTTGCTTTTTGGACAAAAAACTTCAGAAACATAATTGGAAGAGGATTCCATATGGGATTGCAGAAAAAAATTCTAAAAAAACTCAACGTTTGACCCATTTATGGCCAAAAGCTAGAAGTTCATTTTTTTCTGAATGGACTGTAGTAGATGCTCCAGTTTCACCACCACAGTTGCGTCTGCAAACACCTCTATCATGCAGTATTCTGTTTTCGAGATTCGTGGTTTCTCGTAAAAAACTACTGGTACATGTAGTAAGTAGAACGTGAAGCAATGTGAGTTGCGCGCCCTCGAAACCCATTTCAGTTGCATTCAGCTTTGGGGCAGGGTCAATTGCATATGAGGTGTATGGCACTTCGGGCCTGGACTGCATTTGGGATTAGCAGGTTACAGCCATGATCGTGGCATTGCATTATGCCATGGTCCATGGATCACGTAAGACTTCCAACTCCGCAGGGTCGAAATGCACATTGTTTCGGGTACTATGGTCTCGTGTTGTCTCCCAATGTACTATATGACTATCCAGTGTTAGCTGTTTGTCACGGTATGTGCACTATTATACAGTAGGTGTGTGCATCCATGCATGAGTGTGTGCATGTGTGCATGTGTGTGTGTGTGTGCATGTGTGCATGTGTGTGTGTGTGTGTGTGTGCATGTGTGTGTGTGCATGTGTGCATGTGTGTGTGTGTGTGTGTGCATGTGTGTATGTGCCGCACACACTGTGTGTTGATATTATACTCTATGTATCCCGGTGTATGATGGCTTGTTTGACATGCACAGCGGCAGGCGTGCAGACAACACTGGTCACCATAATCTAAGACGAGTCAGACGGCAAGCCACGGAGGCCCCAGAACCCGCTACGACAACAAATCCAGAAGGACAGGTGCTCACAACCACCACATCACCAGCTACGACTACAGCAGCACCACTAACCGAGGCCGTACCTGGCAATGACCAATTGACTGGGAACATCTCGAGCACAGCGACTGTAGAGGCTGCCGTCACTTTGCCGGCTGTAGATCCCAATGCAACTGAGGTCATTGAAGTGGAGCAGACAACCGTCACATCTCTGCCTCCAGGTACAAATGCTGCTATGGCAACGACTCACAATCCGAACGACGCTATGGAAACGGACCCTGTGGACACGACAGCCGTTGCGACTTCTACAAGCATGCCGATCACAACCACTGCTGCTGCCACAACCACCGTCAGCACAGGCCCCACCACTACACCGGACGAAGCAGCCACCACGGCCATGACGACGCGACTTGTGGAAACCGACATGGCGACGACAGGTGAAATTCTTCAAACCGTGATAACAATGAGCACCGGACCGACCACTACACCCACACCGACCACGGCACCTACCGAACCCATGCAACCGCAGACCAGTGCAGCAGCTCAGTCCACCAACTTCAGCTTCACTACGGCTGCTGCTGTGAACTCTTCCCAGTCACCCAGCGCTAACGTGTCTGTCCTGCCAAGAGATGACACAACGTCAAAACCTACAGGTAGGTCTGGCGCAGCCCTGTGTTGTGCACATAACGTAACACAGTACATGTGCATGTGTACTCACTTTGCCTGGTCTTAGTTGAGCACCCTTTCTAGATGGTGTCAAGGGTACCTGCCCTTGTGTTTTTCGGAGTTAGAGCACTCTGAACAGTGATTTTGATGGTTTGAGCCGGGTTTTAGAATGCTTCGTTGTTCACTGGACTTCATTGAGATCGGTTCAACCTGAAATTCTGAGCTCCGCTTATGTTATGACATCTAACAAGGTGAAATCAGCTAGCTGTTCAGAGATTGAGCACATGCACGTCATGCATGTACATTTTTTCTGTTTCACGGTTCACGTGGAACTCGGTTAGACCGAGTTTTCCGCATCTGTATGAATGCCATACACTCGAGGATAAAGGCGCAGATGCAGCTCGTAAAGTGGTGGGAGGTGAGTAGATCAGACCCATCACCGAAGAGGTCAAAGACTGAAAATCTCATTCGCTGCATCCATGTTTCCCACGTGCTAAGTTCCAAGCCAGGGCCCAAAAGAACGATAACCAGGTGGGGAGTTCAATTGCTTGCCAGTGCAGTCCCATACATTTTTAAAAACACTCCTAACAAATGACCACATTGCCTGTATTTCACTTTGGCAGCCATTAGAACTCATGCACATGTAGATATGGTAAGTCAATGTAGTGCACTGGGCATGCTCTCGTACAGCCACTGTCAGCAGGTGCAAGACTGGTGACTGGTTATGCCTGGCCTGCACGCTGATATCCCGTCCACTCTCCAGCATGGGGAAGGTGAAAGGTCATGCAGTAAAGGTTAGGTTTTGAACCATGACCCCAGCTGCTTAGGAAATTTCTTCCACACTATGCAACACGGTAAATAGTCAACGGTTGCAAAGTAGATCAAAGTCCCTTTTCCAACAACCTTGCTATGTATTCAAAATTATCAGTACAGCACCCTGCAACACATTGTATAGATTGTTTGTGTGAGGCTCTCAAACATCCATCACGTGACCACCCATACAGAAAATCTACCAAGTCAAGTTCGGACAAAAAATCTTCCATATCAGGACAGATCATCCTTCACTGCCATCCCTATAAAAAAGATAAAAAGAGTGCACGATCAGTCTATTGATGACATCTCTTTATCTGTGTGTTACTGTCTGCACTCCAGTATTCGTTATATCTGGAATTGGTGGACTGGTGGTCCTGGCTGGCTTTATTGGCGTCGTGGGCCACGTGATACGTTCCAAGCGCCATCGAGTGGGCCGGCACGGTTCTCAAGACAGCGATGACGTGACCCAAAGCATCCGGGACATGGAGATGGCGATTGCGCTGCAAGTTGAGGACACATCGGAACTCATGCCAGCTGGAAATTCTTATGCAATTCGTGATCTAGAGCAAGCCTTAGACGGATCTGCTGCTGCTGAAATGTACAGAACAAGACTGACCAGTACATCATCAGCACGCACCCGGTCCAGCTTTGTTTCGGATGCCACACACCTGAATGCCAACTATTCCCTTTTCGGTCATCCAAACTCTCTGGCGTTCAAATCCCCATCGCCGAGCCCAGTTCCTTTTCTTTTCAGCAACAATGACTGCACTGTATCGCTACAAAATACCTCCGACCTGCCTGACATCTCATTTGTTTCAGCTGATGTTGATGTTACCTATGAGAGCCTGCCTGTGAAGAATGCTAGCCAACAGATCTATGCAGGAACAGATGAGATGGGTGCCGCTATGCAAGACATGCCGATGGCTATGGTACGGGAGTCTGAGGAGGCTAGTTATGGCAATGATGTCATTACACCCGGCAGTGCATCTGGCGACTCTGATCATATCTATGCTGGTGCTGACCTACATGTACAAGAGGGAAGCAAGGGCATCTGTGCATCTACGGCCAGCGGTGAGATTCGACTAGCCCACACAGTCCAACAGAGCACGCAGCGGGGGCAACACCAAGGGGTGGAACAGACCCTCCCAGGAAGAACACCACAACAGGAAGATGCCTGTTACCGGCCTGGTGTCGGTCACTACGCGTGCTATGATGCTGCTGTCATGGCCAGTAATGCACACTGTGCTCAGTCAGCAGAGCTTAGAATGGCCAGTGATAGCCATGTCGATGCCGGAGTAATCAGCCCAGCTCAGCTGTCGTACCAAGACACGGAGATAGTGTATGAGCAGTCCGATGCTGAAGACATATACGATTACGACGTGTACGATGAAGACGTGTACGATGATACCGTTCTTGATGAGCACAGGCAGCAGCCTGTAAGAATGGCTGATGATCAGACGTGGAAGCCGGCTAAACCTATGACCAGCGAAGTCCAGCAAGGCCAGTCAGTGTTACACGACACGGAAGACAATGAAAACTTTGGAGACGTACTCACTGACAACAATATCTATGATGGTGCGGAGAATGTTCACTGTGTTGTTAGCACGGGTTGCACTGCCGGTGTAAGCCAGAACACTGCAGTCGCCGAAGAATACAGCTTGTCATCCTCGTCTTCATCTCAGAGCTCATTTGAGACCATATTCTGCAAGACAGCACCAATAAAACTGACCCTGCAATCACCCTCTGATACCAGTGATAATGAAGATGATGATTTTAAAGATAGCAGCGAGGAGGAAGTAGAGGGGGGCCAGTCATCGCGTTCTACAGGAGTCCCACCAAGCCGTGGCATGATTGCAACCACTGGACAGGCTGTGCAAGAGGAGACTGACACCAGTGCAACTGCGTCCACAGCAGACCGCTACTCGTACGAGGAGATGCTTCCTGCTTCTTCTGGAAAGTTCAAAGCTGCTGCGAAGAAAATACAGTGGGGCATTACGCAAGTTGGTCGGCACCAGCAGTTGCGGCCATTATCGGGCATTAACCATTTCCTGAGTGACGACGAGGACGATGGGGCGGGGGATAGCTACGAGCACATGAGCATCAGAGGAGTTCTGCCCGCCGAGCTGCAGAAAGTCCTTGCTGAGCGTCAGAAACTGGATAAGTCATGAAGTATCCGGTGCGGCATGCTACCAAGTTCACCATCGATCAATGTGTCGACTGAACCGACACATTTTTTTTAAACCTTCCTCAACGTTCTACCTTCGCCCTTTACTTGTCTTGTCATGCCCAGTCTCAGCTGATTATGACTTTTTTTAATGCAGTACACTATACGTTCAGCATTTTTTAACAAAAGATGTAATTATAACTCTCAAACTATTAATTTTAGAAAGTTAAATTCGTGAGACCTACGTGATACTTATTATGCTGATTGTGGCAGATGAATACATTTAAAAAAAAAGCGAATGTAGAGTTATGATATTTGAGAAAGTTTGAAAGCAGTGATACCATAATCATCTTCACTCTGCTATGATTCCAAGACAGGCTGTCTGAGTCGGTCTTGAGAGCGGTGAATGTGGCCTGTAGCCACCATTCCCAGCCTACAAACCTTCACTTGTGGCTTCTGTATGTAAGGTAGGGTGCTTTTTTATGGGCAGCCATTGCAAGGATGAGTGCTCAGAACCACAGGCTTACAGTAACTGAGTCAGCAGGCCGGGGAGGGGGGGATGGGTGGGTGGGTTACTGAATCTTCCTGACTAACTAACTGTTGCTTGTATTCCACATTATTTCCAGTACATGTACTGTCTGTGGCTAATTTCTGCAGATGTTTCGTTTGGATACATGTACTTCAATTAAAAATGAGCAGTCCTTATCAGTGACTCTGATGATCGTGCATGAGTAGATCATACGTATATAATACAACCCAACAGTACGCTTGTACGTGAAATATAAACCGACATACAAACCGAGGCGAAGCCGAGGTTTTGTATGATGGTTTATATTTCACGTACAAGCGTACTAGTGGGATGTATTATACTTATGCTGACCTTCATACAAACTGACAGTCAACTTCTTCCTGTTTCTATGGTGGCGGTCTATATGGGGTTTGTATGGGGTTTATATGAGGTTTATATGCCCCGTATAAGCCGCCAGCATGATGGGCAAGTTGACTGGAAGTTTGTATGAAAGGTCAGCATAATACATGATAATATTATAACCTAACAGAACACTGGTTAAAAACCAGTATTACTACTAGTTATAGACTTATAGTTCAAGCAATTGTAGTAAGGTCACTGTTTCCGAACACAGTGTCCTCCACCTTGTTTCATGCTGTCAATCTGACAATTGCATCATACTACATACATGTACTGTAGATGTGCACAAAATTAATGTACTTACTGCTTCACTCCGCTGCAACGTTGCAATGTAGTTTCGGCATGACGGCATGAGGCTGATGAGACCGAAGAGTTCGAGAGAAAGTAACACACACTGTTTATCATGAATACTGACCTTTACAGGCTTTAGCTTAGTGTCACACCACTGTGACCAGGCCAGGGACTCCCTGGTGTGACGCTCGACACAACCAGACTGTGTTACCTGAATGTCAATCTGAAGACTGCGGAATGACACATTTTGACAGTGTCCGCGCGGTGAGGCACGCGATGGTACATCCACGTGCGTTACATCATACATGTAGATCTACCTTTGCAAAAGTGTCGTCCCGTTGGCGCTGGCGTTGACTCCTCTTTGGGCTGATACCGGTAGGAACTTGATAAGTAAAGCCTCGTACTGAATATCGGATGGCACATTGGTGGACCAGGTTCAACGTTGATGCATTAGTATTACTACAGTATTGCCTTTGGCGTTCTTCCCTTTTCACAGATAATAAGAGTGTTCATAGGTACTTGCTGATAGTGAATGAAACCTGTCCATAACTCGTACTGTTGTAGTGCATTTGAAGTAAGTATAGTAATAAATAATAATTGTGAGCCGATGATCATTATGATTCAGCGACTCACTCGCATCGCAACGTTCCCGGGCCGTGGGCGATAAGGGCGCAAGTCATGTACTAGTACATGTACATGACTTTGATTGTACTTGTCTTCCCCATTGATCTGTTGATACATCATCACTCATTAGGTGCAGTCGACTCTCTCGCTCACTCCGGGTTTTACACGTTATCCGTCCATAACAGGGCCACTTTTTGTCTTTGGATGAGTCAATTGCAGCAGTACAGCTGCTCCAGTTCGGACTTAGTTAGGTTAGCCAACGCGTCATCCTCAGCTCAGCAGAATTCGGCCTTAGCTGTACTACAGAAGTGCTCTCGCCGTTTCTACGTCTCAGTAGTGTCCCATGAGTTTAGCCGGTGCTGATTTGCGGATGATCGATCAAAGCAGCTTGAAAGCAAGATGATTATTTTGCTGGACCTGTGTTTCATTCAGTCCTCCTGATGTCCACGTCCGGTAGCAGGTTTTCCCGTTCTACGAGCCGTGGCCGTTTGAGGACACCTGTCCGGCGAGCGCGTCGTCAGTGTCGGAGAGACGGCCCACTAAGACCGGACAGGAGCTATGCATTCGGGAATGCTGCGACGTTTCCGAGTGTTGACCAAGGCCAGGGGACCTATCTATTACGTGATCGCCGTGTTTCTGATCATACTGGTGCTGAGGATTTCGCTGCAGCTATGGTGCTCAATGGCCAACAGCACCGAATTTGCTGAGCTGACGTCAGAGGAGGTGGCTGGTCTGAGCGAGAGAGAACGGAAATTCTGGCTGCAGCTGAAGAAGACGCACGCTGAAAAAGAGCAGCTTCAGCAGGAATTGGCCAGTGTGAGGCTGTCCAAAGGCACAGAGTCACCAGGGGGCACGCAGAGTCACGTGCCGGCGGTGGAGAGTCGGGAAGATGGCCGTGACGACGCTGCAGGGTGCCAGAAGGTCTCTCTATCGCGCTGTGAGCAGCTGCAGATTGCAATAGTCTGCTCGGGGTTTGGAGCGAGTCGTGATATCGTGCCGCTGATCAAGTCCATTCTGTTCTACTCGCACAACCCGATACATTTCCATTTCATATCGGATCAGAGTGCCCGTGTTGTTCTGGATACCCTGTTCAAAACATGGGCGCTGCCGGAAGTTGAAGTGTCCTACTATCCAGCCGAGGGATTGAAGAGCAAGGTGGAGTGGATTCCCAACCGCCACTATTCGCAGCATTTTGGCATGATGAAGCTGTTGTTGACATCTGTGCTGCCGGAAAGCCTGGAGAAAGTGCTCGTTCTGGATACCGACTTGACGTTTGCCACGGACATTGCTGAGCTCTGGCTGCTCTTCAGGAAGCTAATAGAGCAAGGCAAATCGATTGGTCTTGTAGAGAACCAGAGTGACTGGTATTTGGGCAACATCTGGAAGAACCATCGGCCATGGCCGGCGTTGGGGCGAGGATTCAACACCGGCGTGATGCTGATGAGGCTGGATGAAATGAGACGCCTGGCCTGGATGCAGCTCTGGAAGATGGTGGCCGAGAAGAACCTCATCTCTTACTCTAGCGTGTCATTAGCGGACCAGGATATCATCAATGCAGTCTTGAAGGATCACCCTGACATGCATATGACCCTGCCGTGCACATGGAACCTGCAGCTCAGTGAGCACACACTCAGCGAGGACTGCTACTCGAAAGTGTCCGAGCTGAAGGTCATTCACTGGAACTCGCCGAAGAAGCTCGCCGTCAAGGCCAACAACGTGGAGTTCTTCCGCAACCTGTACACGACCTTCCTCGAGTACGACGGTAACCTTCTCCGCCATCGTCTGCCATCTGGTTGTGGCACACTTGCACCTGGACAAGGTGCAAAGAAAGACCCGGCGGATGATGCAGAGAAATGCGCAGACTTTCGGCAAGCGAGGGAAACGACCTACCGGACGCATCTATACTATCTCAATTACGAGTGGCCCGAGTTTGAGTCAAATGACGTCACACTGGTCACACAATTGTCTATGGATCGCCTGCAAGTTCTGGAGGCCTTGTGTGACCACTGGAAGGGACCTATGAGCTTGGCGCTCTTTCTTTCTGACAGCGAAGCCCAGCAGTTCCTGAAGTACGCGCGTGAGTCAGACGTCATCTCAAGCCGCACCAACATTGGCTTTCACATTGTTTACAAGGCCGGTGGCTTTTATCCAGTGAATTATCTTCGGAACGTGGCCCTCAACCAGGTGAAGCAGCCATATGCCTTTCTATCAGATATTGACTTCTTGCCAATGTACGATATGTATGCGTACATCAAGACAACTCTCTCCAAATTCGAGACATCATCGCGTTCTCGGAAAGCGCTGGTCGTGCCTGCATTTGAAACCTTGCTGTATCGTATGCCTTTCCCAAAGTCCAAAGCATCGCTGATTCAAATGCTCGATGACAAGAAAGTGTTCACATTCCGTTTCCACGTCTGGCCCAGGGGTCATGCAGCAACTGACTTTGACAAGTGGAGAACGAGTACAGCGCCGTACAAGGTGAAGTGGGCTGCTGACTTTGAGCCGTACGTCGTTGTGCCGGCTAACGTGACACGATACGACCTGCGGTTTGTTGGATTCGGCTGGAACAAGGTCTCCCACATCATGGAGCTGGATGCACAGAAGTACGAATTCTACGTGCTCCCGAATGCTTTCATTATCCACATGCCCCACGCACCGTCTTTGGACATTGCCAAGTTCCGTTCTAGCAAGCACTACCGAGAATGCCTGAAGGTGCTCAAGGCCGAGTTTGTCGAGGATCTGGTCAAAAAGTATGGCTTCTCTGCAATGAAGTACAAAACCTTAGACCAGTAGTGAGAATAGAATTGGACACTTACTGCCAGCTCCAGTTACTGCTCTATGGCAACTCTTTAGTAATGGGACTACAGTCCTCCCACCGTCTGGCTGTGCGTGTCAAGTCCACTTCACCTGCACGTGATGTAACACCACTGCGGCCCCGACACGATAGGCAGTTGTGAGCTATGTACGGGCTCGTGCAGTCCTAAAGGAAAGGGGGTTTGTCAACTGACAACTGCTCTTTTCAGTTGCTATTCACAATCGCCGCATGCGCTGGATGAAAAATTCGTTTTTGTGATGTCGAAAAACTGAACGATGGTGATGTGATGTCGTACAGCCATGCTCGCAAAATGTAGTAGAGCTGACTGCACTTGCCACACTTAGGACGAGTTGCCTCGCAAAAGGGTAGCAGCCATGGTGTAAACTTATGCATACATGTAGGTTCCTTTGTTGTCTCTGGTAGTTTGAAAGACATTCCCTATTTATTAGTGTTGAGTTCTGTTTAGGAATTCGAAACCATTTTGTTCTCATCTTTCCCTCAAACCAGTGAACATTTCGTTCTTAATATTTATTACCCCTAACTCTATGATATTCTTCCAAAACGGAACTCAAACAGATATTCTTATCCGGACCGGCGATGGCCGAACGGTTGGGTCTGGATGTTTATGCCATTTAAAAAACATGCATCCACACACACACTTTATTAATTATAATACACGCCTGAGGACCGAAGCTGTGTATTGTCATTTCGGTCATCTGACAATGTGCTAACAATGGTCAGTACCGTTACTGCAACGTTACTCGTTTTTCTGCCAATACAGAATATTCGGATCCTTGACATCTTCTCCCTCCTTAGTACGTATTTGAAAGACGATAATTATATCTCTATTTTAATGTCCAATTGATTCACTGTGGAACAGTGTGCTAATGGATTCACGTGTTCTTTCTTCCCTTGCTGCCTGACTGCAAGCGCATGCCGTTTGTGCTTTTGGCCAGTGTGCAAATGCACGCTAGTGTGAGATAAGAGGTAGTTCTGATCAGTAACCTGCGTTCGAACATTGTATTAGAAAAAATAATTCAATGATACTACATGTACATGTACATGACTGTGATCCTCTAAAAATTAATACAGAATGGACAACGAGACTGTACTGTGTCACAGTGTGTGCATCAGGGAGTACTAAAAAACAGTTTATCAGTACTCCGTAATGTGTAGCTTCAGGCCAAGGGCAAGGCACTCGAGATGATTATTTTGTCGATTTTGGAAGCCCAGTCATGAAGACCATCAGTTCTACTTCGCCATTGCAGAGCCACCGTGCTCACAGCAGAGACTTCTGACGAGTGACATGTGTGTGTGTGTGTGATATCGTGAAAGTGGACCACAAAGGCACCAGGGAGTCGTATATTGCTACCGGTAAATACGACTCCCTGGCCTGGTCCACACTGCATCGCCGGCGCCATCAATCGTAATCAGCGCCTGACTTGTAGTACTGTTGAGTGTTGTATTTTAGATCTACGCGTACCCGGCTGGACCGGTACGCGGTGGCATTCCGGCGCGGCGTGCAGGGTGGGTCGCAGTCATGTGCCTGTCGACTGTCGTGGCACATGCACATGACACAACTAAGGCGGAAGAGTGTTGTGAAGTCTAACATCCTGTAAAATGCTACATGGCTGAGTAGTTCTGTCCACTTCTTCGTTGGGCATTTGCGCTATCTGTCAACACGGAGAGGGAGAGTCGCTCGCTATCCAACGTTTCGGATACGGACAACTTGGTGTGAGCGCACCCAGCTGTGTGACTAGCAAGTGAGTGTTTGATTTAATTGTGCTCGTGTAGTTTGTTTGTGGACAGTCTATTATCCTCCAATGTCACTAAAATCATAGTACAAATTTAATGTGTTTCAATCATCTTGTGAATGCAATTGTGAACTGGGAATTAATATCCGCAACTTCTTCGTATATTAGTGGTGCTATGGAATATTTCTCTGGGCCAGTAAGAGTGCAATTGTGCTCTTGTGCGGAGCGTCCAGACTACTGCAGGCATTGCAGCGGTTGAATGACCGCCATAGTAATTTTAAATTATAATTATGAAGAAGACAGATCCATGGCACAATGATTTGGTACGTATTCACTATCACCAGAGTACATGTATCAACGATAAAATGACATTATGTGCTAATGTTAGTAGTACGGTACCGTCGGTTCGCTACCCAGTGTCGGCTCAGTGTGTAAAAATGTGCTCTTTGTTTCCACACATACCGGTACATACGCTGGCAAGTCTCCACTGGGAGGGGGGAGGGGTATGTAGAAATTTAGTCAATTAATTTAAAACGAGAGAGCTTGGAAGCTCAGGGCCCTACGCTATGCTTTTTTGCCTTGATGACCTAGACAAAAAAGCATAGGGATGTTATAAATTTCTCCTTTTTTTAAAAGACAATAACCTGGGACTCGAACCCGTACTAACGCCCTGCATGCATCCCCCGATACACTTCGCATACATACTAATTCTTCCAAGTTGCTTCTCGTTATGATCTTGCATTTGAAAGCCGTAATTGAATATGCATTGTGGCCAGCCGTCTTTGATGGTACGGTACGGGACAGGTACGGTCGAGGGTAATACGACACCGTCTACCGCCTTGATGATGGCAAAAAAGCATAGGGATGTTATAAATTTTTCAATTCTCCAATTTTTTCAGGCATATCCTGGGATTCGAACCCGCACTATCGCCCTACATGCATTCCCCCATACACTTCGCATTCATACCCATTCTTCCAAGTTGCTTCACGTTATGATCTTGCGTTTGAAAGCCCTATTTGAATATTGCGGCCAGCTGTATGTGGCCAGCTGTGTTTGATGGTACGGTACGGTACGGGACAGATACAAGATAGTGCCAGGCGTGACACAAACACACAAACAAACAAACACCAAATTAAAGCTGTGTGGACCCTGGCTAGCGCCAGATGTTACTGAAGTAACGTCTTCTGCATAGTTACGGGAATAATTTCTGGTAGAGGAAAATGGAGTATAGTTTAGTATGCACGCACGGAGATGACGATCAGGGCCGAGTGATTGGTTGGTTGGGTTATAGTCTTTGCCTTCCTATCCTGGTTTCTGCCCAGGCTGTGAGCGCTGCTTTGAAAATGTCGCTGGAGGTGCTGAGTGTCAGCGAGGCACCAGAGAGCGAAGGAGCAGAGCGTATTCAGCAGCTGCAGGATGAACACGCCGAGCTCACACGGTCTCTCCTGTCGCTCACTACTCACTTTGCCCAGGTAGGAATTGATTCAACTGCATTGTCGGCTGTGGAAATGATATACTTGTCTACTGAAAAAGTGCAGATCGCATACAACCTGCATCGAAATAAAAACAGTGTTACAAAGTAACCGTCATATGACTCCGCTGATATTCTTCTCATGCGGCAGTGTCGGTGAAGTGATGAAGCTCCTTTAGCTTCCTGTACCTTGCTTCACTGTAATTATCTCCCAATAGTTCATGGTGCCATACAACAAAACGACCTTCCTTGACAAGATGTTCACAATTTCCTCTTTCTCTTTTACAGTTCTATTTTTTGGACGCTACCTTGAATGCACGCCATGGTCGTGATGATACACTCCTTTGCAAAGAGTGACCGTATGTCCATGACAACCCGGGCATTGCTACGGCGACTGATTCGCTTTCCTAATGATGTCTTCTATTTTAAATATGCTTTCTTTTCTTTTCGCTTAGGTTCAGTTCAGACTGAAGCAAATTGTTGCTGCAGACCCAGATGACAGGGAGGTAAGCACTGCTTCTTCACACACACGCACACACACACACACACACACACACACACACACACACACACACACACACACACACACACACACGCACACGCACGCACACACACACACACACACACACACACACACACACACACACACACACACACACACACACACACACATATACACATATACACACACACACACATATACACACACACACACATATACACACACACACATATACACACACACACACACATATATACACACACACACACACACATATACACACACACACACACACACACACACACACACATACATACATACACACACACATACATGTTTATATTACTGGCAGGAGAGGTTTGTGGAGGCTTCATCATGTAAAGTTATAAACAATATTAGTGCCACAGAGGCTCAGACATAACCATGCCACATGTCAACGTGTTTGGAGTTTTTAAAACGTGTTTTATTTCATCACGTGTGCACCAAAGCAGGGCTCTTTCTGTCTTGTGTTCTTGGTGGGTTGACTTAGCTATAATAGGAGTTGCATGTCTTCTATTTGTTCTGATAATGTGTAGAAAATGCTTATGAGTCTGGAAGAGGTGGCCTCACATGGATGTCCTGATGTGCGGACCCGAGAGGAGTCGTCCAATTTGCTCCAGCTACTGGTGAGCCTAATCATTGAACCTATATGCATGAAGGAGGTGTGATGTTGTCTTAGCAATGACCTTGTGATGGTTACTATGTGCTATGTCCTAACTTTCCAGACAGACTGTACTGCTAGTGTACTCGCTAGTGTACTCGCTCATGTACCTGTGTGTGTTTAGTGAAGAGCAGTACAGGGTGTTTAGTGGCATGTTCTCCACATAATATCCGGCTGATTATCCAGAGTGAGAAAGATTACGAAGAGCGGCTGCGTGACCAGAAGGCAACCCAGCAGCATCTCATCCAGCAACTGCAGTTCCAATTGGACGAACTGGAGCGCCACTCAATGGTAAGGACTGACAGCTGCTACTCATTGGCCCCGGCTCCGTTTGTGTGTGAATGTGTGTGTTGTTGTCTACAAACACAAAGTGAGATAGACCGGACGGCGCTATCTCTTTGTATACTGCAAAAGTTATGTAGAATGGAATTTGTGGTGGACTAACAAACGGCAATAACAAGTAGTTACTTCCCCTCTTTTTGATGACATGAGCCTCCCAAGTTGGGTGGTTGGTGTTTTGCGTTCTTGAAGTGAACCTTGGCCGTCCTATTTAGTGGTCCTTTGTCATTCGTCACCATCTTGTCAAAGCTAACATTCTTAGTTCGCTATGATGTTCAGCTTCTTTTCATCTTATGTGCGCTCACCTTCCCCACAAGAATATATTGCTCTTGTGTTTCTTGTTCTTGATTACTTGTAACCGGCAGGACTCACAGCAGAGAGCTAATGATTTGCAAACACAGTTTGATCCTGAGTTGGCGGAACGCCAACGGGCGCTCATCGATGGGCTAAAGTAAGGTTGCGGTGTGCATATCACAGGCATGTGAAATAGCGTATGCATTGTTATTGAACTCTTTTGTAAGGCCAGAACTGCAGCTGTGGAGTTTTGATGTGGCTGAAGACGGGAGTCTTTTGTTGGTATTATCATGGCATGGGAGCGTAGTTTGCTGTGCCCACATCACGGACAGCATTGCCTTGGTGTGTTGGACAGAGAATTGTTTTTCTTGGCCAATGCCACCGCCAAGGAAAGCTCCATAAATTGACTGTGCCATGCTTGATTACAACTTAGTCATGTACTGGTTAAATGAATAGCATTATACATGTAGAAGTACGAAAGGGCCCCGTCAGATGCAGGATGCAGCGGTGACTTTCTCACTTCGTATCCGGATTGTTATATCTTGACTAATCGTTCTTGCGACTGAAGTTACGTGTGAAGCATCACCCATACTCGCATCGCTCACTATTTGGATACTTGGCTCGGCTTTTCTGAAAGTTCCAGCTGCCCTGCTGTGTATTTGCTTTTGTTGTCAGGTCGAAACTCAACATCAACATTGACATAATGGAAGCAATGAGGTGAGACATGCATGCACATGTGCATATGCACATGCGCTGCCACACTGTCGGTAGATGTATGGTACATGTGTTACCTGATCCCCTGCATGCTGTGTGTCTTCATGTTAGTCTCACATCAGTTCCAGCATGTAAAACCTGATCAGATGAGGCCATGTGATAAACTTCATGAACAGTCTAGGAAACATGCTAAGGCCAAGTTCTTACCGTACACTGTACCTACTGTGTGTATTCCACATCTTCAAATCAAAATGCGTATCGCTATGCATGCAGTTGTGCATGATCGCAATAGCGTCTGTTTGTGTGCTTTGCTGCTGGTAGTGTCGATGAAGTTCGTCAAAGTGTCGACTCGGTGGTACACGAGGTAAAAACAACAGTAGATAGCTCACTACTTACGGTGTATATCCATGTGTACTTGACCAAGCAGAGCAGTGCAACAGGTAGCAGGTGCTGGGGTGGCATAGCCACACTGCATCCCTTGCGGCAACGTTTTTTTTGGACTTGTTGGTCTCAAGGACAGCGCCGCTGATGATGTATTCCACAAAAATTCTTAGTATCTCTTCCATAGATATGGTACAATGTACAGGTTTGGCCTATGGGTTAGCAGCAGTTTGGAGTTACAAGGCTTGCCTTCTTGAAAATGGTTTACACCACTGGTATGATTGTGTCGCTCACTACGGTCACTATTGGCGTTTCATGTATGTTTTCACTGTACAGGTTACCAGGCCAGCAAGGTCAAAGGTATGTTTGTATATAGGGTGATGTGATTGCTCACCCCGCTGTGTGTTATGAACTTATGATGACATGTGTTTGCGTTCTATCGTCACCCATACCTGCCAGCTCTGGCAAGTTAGCATTATGAAAGGACAAACTGTCGGCGCAACCCATTACAGTACACACTGAGTGACTGCACGTGGTTTTGTCAGGTCCCTGGGACCGCTTGCCACAGAGGCCGGTCTTCGCATGGCTATCCCATGTGCTGCATTACAGGCTCTCCAGGAATCCAGGACCTCTAAATTCTCTCCTGGACTCATCCTTACCTGCATACTCTATAGCTAGCTATGTATGCAGAACTGGTTTGGTTACTTGGGAAATTTCACAATTTTACACTTCTCGTTTCTTTCCCACATCAATCAATGAGTAATGAGACATTCATCACTTTAATTTGAAACGTGAATGACTGTTGGGACATTCTTCCAAAACATGACATCATAGACTTGATTCGTAAAAAAGACAACTTTTGTCGCAAGCGGCTAGCCTGTCGCGAGCTGCGCGCGCGCGTGCGCGCGACTCATGGGCGCGCTCGAGCTGCAGCAAATGCGAAGCGTGACACACGAGCACGAGCGCGACGCAAACTGTGTCACGTGTGTGTGACTAGACTGTGTGTGTTGAATCTGACAGTGACAGTTGAATCTCTGTTGACATGACCTGCACCTACATGATCGCCTTCGATTATTTATTTTCGTTATTTTTATAACAACGACCACAGCATAGTGAACAGATTATGTGGCATTGTTCACACCTTGATGAGGAACAGCACCAAACAGTTAGCAGAGACAACACATTTTTTCTGTACACACAGCTCAGCTATTGGGGGAGGAGTAATGGCTAAGGAAAGGTGTACAGTTACTTGAAGTAAATACTGAACAGACAAAGATGAGCAATCCTTGATTTGGGCCGTCCTGTGCACTATCAAACTTTGATGCGTCAAGCCATGCAGGTGTGTGGGAGAATAGCCACAGCAGCACCATGGGAACCATGAATATGACTGTCAAACAATACAACTGTGCCACAACGATAAAACACAATTGACACAGAGAATGGATTCTGTACCAAAACGCCACCAAGAACACACACATTGCTCTGTGCTTCCTCACAACACGAGGATAGCCTTTCAGCCAAGGATTCTACACTTCTCAGACCGAAGTCTGGACGCGGACGAGGTCGAATGCCAGTGTGCTCCAGCAGATGAATAGCATCATAGACTGAGGAATTTCCCGCCAACATTTGCTTTGTCGTATGCAGCATCGCCGCTTCGAATGCATTGCACGAATGCATCGGCAACGTCAGAGGTGGAGGCTGGAAACGCCTGCTTCATTTTAAGCCAATAGTAGATGTTCAGTGCCGAGATCAGTGTGCAGGCGGTACTTGTTTCTCTACCATTAATCATCGACTGGCAGAAAGGCTGTTGTAGGTAAATCACCTGTGCATACGGGGTGAAACAATGAAGGTGATTACTTGTCACTTACTCTTGTGCCCTGTGGCTTCATTCTATTGACGTGATTCGGTATTATTCTCTCACAAAAGGCAGGAATCTAGCACTATTTCCATAAAAGTGATCACCTGGACAGAGTCGGTTCTGTATAACCAACAACTCAATGTTAACAAATATCGGTAATTGATAAGCAATTTTCAGCAATCTTTTCACCCCTACCTTTGCACCGTAGAAGTTATCTTGCATGACATTGACAACCTGGTTCAGGGGCGATGATGATGGTACAGACGGCTGACGGAAAGACGGAGTAGGCAGCTGCAAATTCATACACAAGACGAGAGTAGCCTCTTGGTCTTTTAGGAGATCTTCAACTTCACTGGGGGTGAGGCTCTTATCGTTCTGGGTTATTGTGACTTTTGGCAGATGGCATGTAATGCCTTTAACGCAGGGCCTTGTACTGGGGTACCAAAGCACGTCGGCGTTCCTGTTCTCCCCTGGTCGGGTCGTGTGACACGTACACATTTACGTCATTGTGCTTAGCCTTCGTCTTGTTGCGCATCAGTTTGGCTTTGCCCTGGCTGGTGAGGGTGGCGCGCACCAGGAGCGACTACTCCGTTTGGCGTCTGGGAGTGATGCGCTCTGCCGCAAGGAGATCACCGATGTCCAAATCCGGCACCAGGTGAGAAACAGTACGTTTCAGGTCTTCGCATGCGTTCTCCGTGATCCCGCGCAGGATCACACTATTAGCACATCTTCGCTGTTCACTTGCCTCTTCGACCAGATCCCGTATGGTTTTAGCAGTACCTGCCATTTTTTTGCTGTTGTGCATCAGTGCTGGCGTCTGGCTGTCCAGACGTCACGTCATGCAGTTTCTTCTCACGTTCTGTAATGGCGGAACGAGCTCCATCTTCGATTTGTGAAACATTCTGGACCTGTCTTTCTACAGTGCTTTTCAGCTTGCGTGTCTTTGCATTTAGACGAATGAGGTCGATAGCGTGCTCCGCGAGGAGCTTCTCGGCAACTGTGAGACGTTTGTCTAGAGCTTGGACCAGTTCTTCTGCGATAGTCGTGAGGTCTTGGCGAATTTCTTGTTTGAAATCCGTGAAGAGCACAGTTCTCCACCAGATCCTGGTGCGCACAATCGTTTGCGCTAGCTGTTACAGCAGCGCTGCCCAATTTGCGGAGCACTTTCGGCGCGCCTGACCGACTACAGGTGTCATCAGTGCTCGCGTCCGCAATGCAGTGCAGACTTTCCGTCGGACTTTCAGGCTTGCGCTTGCCGCAGAGGGGCAGAGGGCTAGACCCACAGGACACTTCTGATCCTAACTCACTACAGTCCATTCACAAAAAGATGGGCCCTGGCTCTGGCGAGCTCCCGTATTTGGCGATTTTTCAAGATTTTATCGTATACAGTGCAGTGCTGCGAAGTTTGAAATTTGAAAAAGGGTCCAAAAAGGGTACCTGAACTGGGGTTCGAACCGTACAATGCACTGTTGCAGGCAGGATCAAACGGCCTGGATTTTGATTGTCTTTCCCAACTCAGTGCTCTTGGGGCAAAACCTGGCCGAAATACTATTCTCGTTATGGCTTGCTTTTTGGAGAAATAGACTTAGAAACATAATTGGAAGAGGATTCCATAGGGGATTGCAGAAACAAATTCTAAAAAAACTCAACTTTTGACCCATTTATGGCCGAAAGCTAGAAGTCCATCTTTTTCTGAATGGACTGTAGGCCTAGTCCTTCTTAAACTTGCATTCAGTTTCGGCTGGGACAATGCCCCCAACACATGACCAACAAAATCTTTAACTGTCTTTGACGCCATCACAATATCTATGCAAACTCGGCCTAACGGACAAAGTCAAACAAGCACCTGATGTTGACACAGCCTGGTCAGTATGGAGGTTGCATGTCGCGTCTGCAGTTTTAAGGAATTCATACCTCAAAAGTTGAAGCAAAATAACGTGAAGAACAAACTGTGGTATAATGCGGAAAAATCAATAAAATGAAGTCACGTTCGGAAATTTTATTGGGTGGTCATCCCATTTGAATGTGCGAAGTAAACATTAAACAACGAAATGGTTGGGTTGATCTGCACTGTGCAACCGATTCTCCCACATTTCTTCCTCCAGCTATGCCTGTGACACCCTTTGTGAATCTGCGAAACGCTAGTGGCAGGCCACGCGAAAATGAGAATGCGCGCAGCCAAGATTAGGCCATCATCTCCTTCATCCATCATCCTGCCCGTTGAATATCCAACACCAGTCCCCAGGAAAGAATAAGGCACGAGATTTCAAATTTCAAGGGCAAAGCCAATGGCACTGATTTTTGAAATTGTCGAGTAGAACGGAAATAAATAATCGAAGGGGGCGATCATCAGATCATGTAGGTACAGGTCATGTCAACAGATTCAACACACAGTCTAGTCACACACACGTGAGACAGTTTGGATCGTGCTCGTGGGTCGCGCTTCGCATTTGCTGCAGCTCGAGCCCGCGCAGCTCGCGACAGGCTAGCTGTTGTCCCTGCCCTTTTGGCACGTGTGTGCCCCTTTTGGCACGTTGGTGCGGACCGCGCGCGGTCTGCGCCGGTTTCATGATTATCGTACATGTTCTTGTTGTTGTGCGCATGCTTATCGTGCGCATTCTGGTTGTTTTGGGTGCCTTCTTCCTGAGACTCTCCTTGGAGTAAGACGAAAATAATCTGTCCTCTGAGTGTGGCATGCGTGTGATGTATGACTAAGAGAGTAATCGGAAGGGCTATCGCCGAGGATTAAAACCCACCCCCAATTCTCGTCGGGGGGTTTTAATCCTCGGCGATAGCCCTTCCGATTACTCTCTTAGTCATACATCACACGCACGCCACACTCAGAGGACAGATTATTTTCGTCTTACTCCAAGGAGAGTCTCAGGAAGAAGGCACCCAAAACAACCAGAATGCGCACGATAAGCATGCAAGCATGCGCACAACAACAAGAACATGTACGATAATCATGAAACCGGCGCAGACCGCGCGCGGTCCGCACCAACGTGCCAAAAGGGGCACACACGTGCCAAAAGGGCAGGGACAACATAGCCGCTTGCGACAAAAGTTGTCTTTTTTTTTACGAATTCTGTGTTGTCATGTTTTGGAAGACTGTCCCAACAGTCATTGGCAATTTGAAACCTGCCTTCTGCTATGCCTGTACATACTGTGCATATACAGGAGCAGCAGATTCGGATTCTTGCCAGTCAGGTTGAGGACTTGGAGAGATATGTGGCGTTTCTGAAAGGTACTGTCCCAGGTAGATAGATGTGGGAAGGTGCACCTTGGCAAAGCGCTGAAATATGCTGGAGCTTGCATTTCACACCATGTACAATATCATTGTATTGGCTGCTATCAAGATTGTCGACTCATGCCAGTATGCTCTATCCCCATACCCGCCTGTGTTGATTGATATAACAGTATGCTCACTGTCACCATACCCGGCGCCTGTGTTGATTGATATACATACACATGTAGATATTGACTATTGTACTCTTCTCACTATTGCTGGTTTGTACATTCTCGCCTGGTTGTGTTGTAGTCTTAGCACTTACAACTGACAGTCTCCTCTTGCAGCATATGTACTTACTTCTCCCACTCTGGACTGTATCATGAGTTCTTTCCTGGCACCAGCACCTCTTCAACCTCTTGCACTTTCATGTGTTTATGATGATTACAGTGGTGAGCATGCACCTCACAATTTCTATTGCATGACTCCCAAATCTGGTTGTGGCTGATCCGTTGATCCGTCATGTGTTTATGATGATTACAGTGGTGAGCAACAATTTCCATTGCATGACCCCCAATTCTGGCTGTGGCTGATCGGTTGACGCGACCGTTTGGAGTTACTATTTCCGTATTTGAGATTTCTTTGACTGAGAGACTCGGAGTTAGGATGGCAGCTGTTGAACCATGTTTTTTCTTGGTCTCGTGTTCTTTTACTGTGCGGCAGAGAACTCTGGACTTCCAGTTGGTAATCACGAGGTAAGACCAGTCACTGTAGTACTGAGCTACTGACTTGCTGATGTTTTCTACTATTATTATTCTTTGCTACATTGGTGATGGCAAATGAAATGCGATCCCGGGATTTGTACGTACGAATGCCGCTGGGCTAAAACTAATCCTAGCGAGCTGTATGGATGCCAGCAAAGCGTGAATACCTCCTTGATACATTCTCTGGTCTTGCGTGTGTGCGCTTACAACGGCATAGGTGTGTACCGTTGTACTGTTGTTAACCTCCGGAGCTCCCCGTGTTCATGGTGGAACTGCAAGATGCGTCGTGCGTACAGTACAGCAGTTGTAGATACGCTTATGCACCGCATATGCGTTGAGGTTGGTGAGGCCGTGTGCTGTGTTGGTGCAGAGCGAGCGCACCGCTCCTGGGGTTGCTTTTGACTTGCTACCACTGTGCATGCACGGTGGTTCTGCTCCTTGCAGAATCCACCTACCTTTAACTTTTGTCTGCATTCATCCAGGGTTGCTAGAGGTCGGAACATCGGCCTGTTCACAGTGTTCAGTTTGATTAGTTAATAACAGATAGTTCTACTGCATTGCTACAAAGTTACCTTTATCCACTGCTGCCATTGTGCTGTGCCATAGGTTGTCTTTATCCACTGCTGCCATTGTGCTGTGCCATAGGTTGTCAGAACAGAGCCCACACGCAGTAAACCTGCTGCCCGAACCAAAGGCAAAGCAACGCGGAATGAAGGGGTCGGCCAACTGGATCGCAAGCACGTTCCCTGTGCGTTGGTAGAAGAGGACGAGGATGAGGATGAGGAAGCGGTGGACGGTGCTACGGAAGAAACCTTGTTGCGTGACAGAAATGTATGCTATAAGTGTACATTCATGTGTGAATGTGGCTATTACGTCGCACAAAGTGTAGATTATCTTGTGCATGAATTGTGTGACTGAGGCATTATTTCCAGGTCGGCATCGCGTTTCTTGTAGCCATATTTGCACGTTTTCATGGTCTATCCGTCTTGTTTTTGTTAGTCAGGGTTTTACTCATGCTTGCTCTAACGAAGGCTAGGCGGTGAATCAACCTACCTTGGCTTAGGTGTTGTATGCAATGAATGCTGCATGCTTGTTGTATTTGCACAGCACCAAAAGCGCGAGTATTTGAATGACAAGGGACAAACAATCCTGAGGAATGCAGCCGTCAGGTAGGTTTCCGCTTGTTTTGTATGTCTGTGACAACTACTGTACAGTGGATTGCTAGTCCAGGAAGTCTTGGGGCATGGGAGAGAGTGAGAAATTAATATTCGGAGTATGGGGGGGGGGGGGGAGGGGTGGGCGTTTTGCACGTAGCGAAAACTTGTGTTTGCATCGATTACAACATGTGAACACACACACACAGAGAGAGAGAGAGAGAGAGAGAGAGAACGTTGCCAACATGAGGAGCATGGTATTGGCCAACCTAGTACAACAGAGAAGAGAAGTCGAGAAAGGAAGTGATAATAGCATCAAGATCAGCAGGAATTATATGGAAAGCTCAACAATAGGGGAAATTAGAAATAAGGAAGAAAGCGATAGGGCATTGGCGATTTTTAGGTTCGGCTGCTGTGCTTTTGTCCTGTGTAACTCTGCAGTAGTATCCAGTGGTTTGCTCGGTTCCTTTGTGGTATTGGACTAGCGCAACGTGGTGATGAACTGCGAAAGGAAGCTTGTCGGTGAGTTGTGATGCCCATCAGCTGATGTTGAATATCGAATACTGTTTTGTGTTGGCTTGGAGTTTGGAGAGCGGTGCCCCCCCCCCCCCCCCCCCCCGTGTTTGATGTATCTTGTTTGACTTCTACCGGTCTGTATTGTTTAGCACAATGACTGTGCTGTGTGTGTGTCACAATGGCTGTGCTGTGTGTGTGTCACAATGACTGTGCTGTGCTGTGTGTGTCACAATGACTGTGCTGTGTGTGTGTGTGTGTGTGTGTGCATGCGTGTATGGGTGTACATTGTGTTGCAGGGCACTGTGTCAGAAAGTGAAGCAGGCTGTCGATGATATTCTAACACTGGTGGCTAGTGAGGTCAACAGCAGTCCGGAGGATGATGTGGTGAGCGTACATGTACAGTGCTGGCAACTGAAATCCAACCCGGCTGAGCGATGCCCGCTTCACATTCTGTGCCGGTCTCTATTTCGTAGTTTACTATCCCGTGTTGGGTCTTTGCAATGTGAGTGCACCGCTCAGGGGTTGGATTTCAGTTGCCAGCACTGTACATGGGTGACTGGTAACTGTTAGCATACAGGTAGATAACCCAAGTCCGTAGTACCCAGGGCTATGCCTCAATCCCGAGTTTGGAGGTCCTACAGTGTATGTGATGCATGATCTGCAACATGCACGCCGTATCAAGGATTTACACCCAAAACAGCGCAACCATAAACGGCGCGTGTTCATATTAGCACCCCCAGTACAGCGCGACCTAATGTGACACGGTGTCACTACAGCTCGTCTCATCTCTTGCACGCCCCATTTTGGCGCGACCAATTACGTTAACGTCCGAATATAAGCCAGCTCATTACACACGTGACCCATAATGTGCAGGCTCATGTTAGCAAGCGTGCATAACCAGTTTTATGTACTCTTGATGTTAGTATTACCATGGTGGATATCAGGAGGAAACCCGTTCTTAAAAAAGATATGCAAAAAAGAGAAGAAACACATGAGAACGAGTTGTGCTGCATAGGCCCCAGCGGCAGATGCTAGCTAAATGTTGCCAAGATGCTTTTTGGGATGCTAGCTGACAACTCAGAAAGATGCTAATTTGGATGCTAGACAACACGAATTATGCTACCTATTAATGGTAATGGTGAAACATTTGGGTTGAAAACGGTGTTCCGTGCTATTTATGAATTCTCACAAAGCAGGTATGTGAAAAGAGTTTTTAAAGGTGCGATGTTGGCATCATGTTGCTATGGAAATATTTGCAATACAAAAGAGCAAATACCAATACCAAGAAGTACCAATGGCAATGTGGGTTTTGGTCACAACTAGGTAATGCAAACAAATTGAATGTAGTGCATGCAATTATCAATGTGGTAGTACCGTAATACTAGTTTCATAGTGTAATCTAGACCGAATTCCACATCCAGAATGCCAAAATTGCCAAAAATGTATCGGATGCCGGTAAAAACTGCTGTATTTTTTTTGTATTGTATTTTATTATTTTACTTGGGCATTCCCAACGGACCCTAAGGTCTTCTTACAGGGTGCCCAAGATGAATGAAAGTGTTAAGTTCCTGGCGAAATGAATTGGGGATATGATTTGTGCGAAGGGATTCGGGAAGCGCATTAAAGCGGTCAGCACCAAGGAATGAAATAGATCTGTATCCAGCTTGAGCTTGCACAATGGGTAAGGAAAGGGAATAATTGACTTGGCCGCGGGTTACTCTGTCTGTGTGAGCGCAGTCACGGCGAAGGGAGAACATGTCAGAGAGGAGTGAACTGCAGATATTGTGGATGCAACGGAACACGAAGAATATGGACTTAGTATGATATCTTTTGTCTAAGCTGCTGTTTATGCTAGCATCGTGTGGAGTCACAAAAAGGCCCTTTTATGCTACTTTGGGTGCTAGCATTTGCCGCTGGGGCCTAGAACTTGTGCAGCAACTATCCACGACTGTAACAAGATGATAAACAGTCAGAAAGTGACTGTGCGATAATAGGGCACGAAACTGACAGGCCACTGAGACATTCAGCGGCCCGAGACCTAGCTCTAACACATCTCCAGTGCGCAAACCAACCTTCCAACTTGGAAGGTTCGTGGTTCGTGGACTACAACCTATTTGTATCTGGACCTGTTAACGTCCATCCAGGCAATATCGCCATTTAATACTGAACTGGTGTTTTTGAGTCGATAATTGCTTTTTTTAGTTCATCATTGCTTTCTAGAGTTGATTATAAATTGAGTCCAGGCAATATCGCCCTTCAATACTGAACTGGCCATTTCGAGTTGATCATGATTTGAGTCTTTGACAAGTCGAGTGTCCATCTTTTGGGTTTGAGTGTAAATGAGTCGACCTGTATTGAGCGTGCGCGCTGACGGGGTGGTCTGTTTTGGGGATGTCCAGTTATGGGGATGGGGCTTTTGGGGGGGGCGCTGAAGTCAACGGCGCTGTTTTGGGTCGCGCTCATGTGGGGGCATACCGTATCAAGGTAGCAACCTGCTAGCCCCAAGTGCCTCTGGACGACCAGCAATGGCATGCAGTGCGTACACAAACTGCCCTGGACCCGAGGGTTACTGTAAGGGGTAACCTGGGTTCTAGACCCACTTTGCATCACGTTCAACTTGTCACTCCAGTCAGCTTTGTGCTGCACACAAAGTGTGACTATTGTGTTTTTCTATACCGGTGGGTACGCAAGACACATATGCTATGTTTTAGTGCTGATGTGTTTATATATGCATTCATTTTCTTTGTACATTAGCTTGCCCATCCTGCCATTCGAACACCGCCCATTGAACTGGTGAAGCTGGCTCGTCTTCGCCTTGGCAGCTCACTGATGGATGTGTTCCACTATGGATTGATTGAGGTATGTGCGAGTGCCTTTCAGTTTTCACACACATACACATCACTCAATGTTTATGCACTGTGAACAGTGAGGCTGCAGAAGTCGCTTCTACCTATAGGCTCTACATGGATATTAGTGTCAACTCTGTGCATGCATCTGTGTGTCTAAATTTGAGTTACGGTATATCTAACCTCTCATGCTCATGGAACAGTGAGAACACTGACTGCGGTGGTGAGAGTGTGTTCTAGCCAGCCATGACCAGAGAGTGTTTGTGTGTGTATCTGTGTGTGTGTGTCTGTGTGTGTGTGTGTGTGTGTGTGTGTGTGTATGTGTGCATGCACGTGTGTGTATGTGATTGTGTGTGTGTGTGCATGTGTGCATGCACGTGTGTGTGTATGTGCTTGTGTGTGTGTGTGTGTGTGTGTGTGTGTGTGTGTGTGTGTGTGTGTTCTACAGCCACTGGTCGGTACTGGTCTAGTACCGGGCTGGCACACCCTCAGCTGCACAGTTGTGCCAAGTGAGACTGTCAACATTCCACCAAGAAATCGCCACCATGTTTGGCAGGTCTTCGAGCAGTTCTACGCTCTCAAGGTAAATCTAGTGCTTCTCCTACATTGGCACGTATCTCTCTTTTGGCAAGTGAGAATACATTATAGTAGCTGTATGTAATACGGCATGCGGCGTCTGCAGGAACACGACGGGGAGTCTCCAATTTTTATGTCAATACTCTACTTCGAAGTAGATACTAAGCAATGAGCATTAGCGAAGAGTATAATTTTCAATTTGAGTGTAGTTCATTCTGGCAATGTTTTCCAACCACTGACGGTGTTGCAAAGCCTGCAGACCTCCTATTGTTGTTTCAAGCCTTTCTTCTCACTATGACCTGTTGCCAATAATGATGTTGCTGCTGCTGTTGCTGCTGTTGCTGCTGTTGTTGTTGTTGTTGTTGTTGTTGTTGTTGTTGTTGTTGTTGTTGTTGTTGTTGTTGTTGTTGTTGTTGTTGTTGTTGTTGTTGTTGTTGTTGTTGTTGTTGTTGTTGCGGTCGTCGTTGGTGTTATGGTGCTACTTTTGTTTACAGAAAGGACATGAGTACAACTCCACACCAGCAAGAACACTATCGTCGGCATTCAACATGCCCCTGGAAGGAGGTGTTGCGGTTACACCTCGACAGGTACACAGAAAATGATTGTGCATGTAATGGTCTGCATCATCCAGTTGTAATGCCTGTGTGTGTTTCATTGAAGTCCAGGCCCTGTTTGAAATGGAATTCGAATAAAGAGGCAAGGACTCTAATTAAAATAGAGAATACAGATAGTTTAAAAGTTAATCCAGGGCGTAGTTGTCTACCTCTAACGTAACCAAGATTCTGAGATGAGTCAAGTAGAACATGCCACGGCAAGCACTATACTGACAGAATATTGGTACAGTCGACCTACCCTTATAACAATAACCTCTATAACGATATTACCCTTATATTAATTAATAAACGATATTTTTCTGCCAAACCAAATCACTCCGTTGACCCGATTTTTAGCGAAAAAAAAGTGCGGCTTATACCCCGGAAAATACGGTAATGATATCATGGACATGTAACAATGAGATGAAAACTTCAACTTCATTGAAAAGAAATTTCAACATTTCACCTACGGCTGACAGGTTATACATAGTTATTTGTCAACCAATCGTAACCGGCAAGATACTCGATCTGCGGACAAAAAGTAAAATCAGGACGTGCAACAGTAGCACGAAGCCAACATGAGGGTTCGTTTTTTCCCACATCCATGACGTGAGCCGTGCCATTGCTGCGCCATGGTCTTCTTGTACCACCATAGCTAACATTCTTTGTTTGATGGGCAGTGTTGCTAGTTTTCACCTTGATTGCATACATTCCGCTCTCGGATGTTTCATATTTTATAACCAAGGACCTCCCGATTTGGAAGACTAGATGTAGCTAAACATCAGGTCGTTGCATGTCAGTACAGTCGACCTACCCTTATAACGATATTTGCGTCAGACCAAGAAATATTGTTATAAGGGTAATATTGTTATGGGTAACTGGTTCATTTCATACATACACGTCATAATGCATGGATTTTGTTCATTTTTTACACTCTTTCTAGCATGAAAAACTGACATACATGCACATTATGTACACAGCAAGGTGCCCACTGGTGCCCCCATTGCATTTCGTCATGTCCCAGCGACTTATCAAGTGAAGCTTGCCCTACCTGGATAGTGGGCTCTACATCTTCCCTGCTAGATATTGTTATAAAATGGAAAATGTTGATTGGTCAGGCCATTTTATATCGTTATAGGGGTAATATCGTTATAGCAATATTGTTATAAGGGTAGGGCATTGTCGCCCCTGCGGCTTATACACCGAATATGCTTGCGCGAATGAATGCTTAGCATACATCAGTATGCATGCTGACGTCATGTGACATGTCATTCGACTCAGCTTCGCGCCTGTGTTGCTGATCAACATCAGTGGCAGCGAGACTGAAGATAGTGCAGATGACATGGAGTGATCTGTAGTCAACACAGCAATACACCAACATCTCTGCAGCAACCTGTGGTGCACTAACACTTCATAATCTGATCTAACATGGTATTTAGCTCCATAACCATAATAAATTTGTAGAAAGGCCATTGTCAATGAGTGTGAAAAATCTTGGTTTGTGGGTGCGGCTTATACTCCGAATACCAACTTTTAGTCAATTTTTTGCCTCAAAAAGGGGGTGCGGCTTATACCCCGGTGCGGCTTATACCCCGGAAAATACGGTATGCAGTAATACCGGCGTGGACTCGGTGTATTCTTTTCTATGCCTACAGAGGTTATTCGACTGTATGATGAATATACAGCGCACACACGAAACAGCCTACAAGTCACCTGATGTCAAGGTAAGAACGAGTGGCAGTGGCCAATTTATGATGTTGTCAGGTCCCTGCATTGTTAAGTACGCAATGTGCTGCCACACTGATGCTACATGAACACTAGCACTGCTGTCACCGTATTGTATGCTGGAACTGATGATGTGGTATAAACTTGCCACCATAATTGGTAGCTATGTTGGGCGGGTCTTCACGGCAGAGCTTCACACCACATGACAGAGATAAAAATTGGCACGTGAACCTGATTTTCATACAACTCTTTGATCGCTTTGTGCCACTTGATTGGCTAACATGTTGAACCATATCATAATTATTATGTGGAATTCTCCCGTCGGAGGTTTAGATAAGTATACATAAGTATACAACAGCCCTTGCTTTGTTCATACTGGTGAGCATGATGTCTTGTGTGCCATGAACTGTTCTCTACATGTGCATAGATCTGTGGTGTTTACAAAACGATTGCCTGCCAACTGTCTTCTTTTGACCTTTGCTTTTTTCTCTTTTCAGTTCCGCAGCTTGGTGTGTGCTGGTATGAAGTAAGTGACGTGGCTAGGTGTGAATGAATCGCTGCACTGAGTGTATTGATTGCTATGTTATACTGCTATGCATACCATGATGGCAAAGAACTACTTCTTGAAGTGGTTGTGAAATGACAATTAGCACCGAGTGAGTAACATGTGTATGTACGTGCACGTGCAATGCCAACGTGTAATGAGGGCCGGAAATGATAAACGTGTGTCCACTTCTCAATGATTGATGCTTGTTCCTTGTGCTGTCGTCTGCACGTTCCATCTGTGATTTCTGTTTAGTCACGGCCTACTAGCGGCATGGTGCAACATGGTGGCTACGTCCGATGAGGTGACTCAGCGAAATTATCAGCCCTGGGCATGTATTCGCACGTGTAAGTTAGTTTAGTTGAAACATGACTACTTTTGATGATAGTGTGTAGTTGATGCCAATGTGGTTTAATTTACACTGTCATTTTAGGATGCACACTCCCCAGCCTTAGCAGATGTCGATGCTTCGAACATTTTGCTGCAAGTCATGCTGGAGCTGTGCTAGTGATTATAGGTGATCAATCGATGCTCAAATTGGTGTTTGGTTTTTGTGAAGCATGGCACAATGTATGCATGTGTAACCCACAACGTGTATCTTCTAGGTGGGGAAATTTCATTCACTATCATTCCAGTACTTAGCACTGAAGCACACCTCAATCATTTGTGCATATGTTGAGGGGTTTGGGGGATGTACATATGGAAACATGCCGAGTTGGAAATTCCAGCATGTGATCGTGCTCGCACTCACACACACGACGGTCACTTTGACTGGCGGGGTAAAAAGAACCGATGGACGTTGCATGACTTGAATGCGACTTGGATTGGTGTCTATTGTGGAAGCTTGCGTCTTGAGCCTGGATGAACCACACTCTGAGCACACCGTCCGTGTACATGCGGGCGTTGCTAACACGGCTATAGGTGATGTCATCAACCCAGTGTTATTGTCTCGATTTACGCTGTCTGTTCTGTGGCTTTAGCCTTGAAAAGCGTTGTGAAGGACTTGGAGAGATTGTCGTCACTCACATTCAATCTGTCCATTGAGCCACCCATTGGTCTGAACACTGGCAGCAGTGAAGATTTGGTCAGTAGTCCAGGAGAATAGAACATGATCAGTGAGCATTACCCCCGGCCCGTTAGCAGCATTACCCCCGGCCCGTCAGCAGCAGCAGCAGCAGCAGCAGCAGCAGTAGCAGTAGCAACAGCAGCAGGCAATGAGTACCGAATGCAGCTGTGCTATCGATTTTGATGTCATGCACCACTGTCACCGCCCATGCGCTGCATTGTGAGAGTGCAGGGGCAATGGAGAGTTTCGGCTTCCGGCATTCAACAGTAGTACGGGGTCATTTCCGTCATCTTCAATCATACTTGACAGCCAGGGCGCTTGAATGCTGTAGCTAGACTTGTGTTGGGTTGGGTCCGCGGCGGCTCAGGATCTCTGTGTACCTGAGCTGTATTTTTACAATGATACTTGATGTTTGACTGTTTGGTCCAGTGGAATGTGGCCGTGGTGCATGTATGTATGACATCACAGCAGATTCTCAAACCCTGCTGCTGTTCATGCATGTACTGTGGATTGTGTTTATGCTTCTGAGAACTACAATTTCAAATTTTCAAAACTCTAGCAAGGCACCAGAGCTGACATGATTACTGTTTTCTGCGATATTTCAGAGTTCCAAGCATCTTATATAAACCAATAGACAACATCCCATTTTCAGCTTTGCTCTAATATTTATCCAATTTGCTGTCAGTAAATCAGTAAACGTGTTTTTATCATCAAGAACATGATTGTATTCAAGGTGATCAGGCTGGGATTGATTCACTGGTTCTCACTGCTCATTTCCACATATCCTATGCAAACATAATGTGAAGATGGAATAATAATTATTACTCGTACGTGTACTTGAAGTATGTGTTTTATGAAACGATGATTTAGAAAATTACGCAAGAGAGATTGGAAGCTGTGTCGCAACTCTGAGTTTCACGTTCTGTAGAACGGGTAATTTTAGCGACGTAAAAACCCTAGCGAATTTAGCGATCGACTCATTTTCGCTTAAGTCGCTAATCCGCTGAGACATGGTAGTGCACTGGTGATCCGTGAGTAAAATCGCTGCAAACCGCTAAAATAAAACGTCGCTAACCGGTTGACAATGGGAAAACGCTAAAATTTATAGTCGCTAAAATTACCCGTTCTACAGTATTACGTTCATCAGGCAACTGATTTAGAAAATTATCAAGACGTGCACATTAGGAGCTTGGTTCATGCATCGAGCACATTAGGAGCTTGGCTCAGGCACACTCACACGCTGACACACGCACGCACACACATTCACACATACAAGGCCAACGCATATGGCCGATTGGTTTGCAGGCCTGCCTGCGAATCATGAGGTCCCGAGTTCGAGACCCGCGCTGGTAGCAGGGAGCGTGTAAAGACTTTTTACGTGAGTAAAGACTCTTTATGCGTGGTGAACTGCGCCGACACCCACGGTCAACTGGGTACTCACAGCTCGGAGTGAGGGTAACAAGGATGCAGTTTACAGGGTTATGGGCCGTTACACGCCCGATTGGTTGAGAGACTCACCTACTCTCCCCTGACTCACTTGTGAGGTCTGCATTCGCCACTCAGGTGTGCAAGGCATAGGCATAGTGGTGGCCTGCGGAAGCGAAGGCTAGTTTGTGTGTTTCTGAACATTCAAGCGATGCCAACGCGAATCCCGCGAATTATTATTATTATTAAGGACACCCAATCAAGTGCTCTGGACCCTTCCAGGTGTCACACGTCCTCCTTGGGCAAACTTCAGGGATTCTTCTTCTTTGAATGCCACGCTTTGTAATAGGTGTATGTATGCTACGACCTGTATACTCACTATTCGTATTTCCCGCTCGTTCCCCTTGGCGATGAGAGCCACTCACATGAAGAGCGCATGCTCCAGTGGGTCTCCAGTTCTGTTCAGTTCTGTTCAGTTCTGTTCTGTTCTGTTCTAGTCTAGTCTTGAGTGGTCGTTGTCCTGTTCTCCTGTCTACACTCTTGTCGAATACTTCTATAATCCAATCATATAAAACCCCTGCGTTCCGGTGTGAGGGGGCTTGGTTGTGAAACAATACAAGGACGCTCGAGCTCCTCCGCAGTCGAGCGACGGCAAGTCTGGCTCTGGAGGGGCGTCAGCGGGTGAACGCCAGTTTTTCCGAGGTACTGGGGTCAGCAGGTACGGGGGTGGCTCCCGGTACGAGCCTTACACCAGCCCGTACAACCAGACTCAATATAGTCGAGCCGGTCGTGGCTATGCTAACCGAAGCCAGATGCTTCCCCCACCAGATCAACAGGACGGTCAAGGACCGGACACCAGCTACTCAGCATAGCGGCAGTGTGGATGTTAGTGCCAGAGGAGGTCTGGACTGGCGGATGCTGTTCATCGTATTGGCTCAAGACTGGGCTTTGCCTCTCTAGCAGGTGTGTTTCGCGCCTTTTCCAGTACCGGAGCTCTGCTCGGTACAGCATGTGTGTTGACGTAGGTTTCGCGCTCCGCATCGTGGCGTACGGCGGACAGCACGTAGCCGTCCCTCTTAGGGTCATTCCGGGGGGGGGGGGGGGGCTGGCATCAGCGGCAGCAGCCACTTACAGTGCAGCCGTTCTCAGCTCCGGGGTTTGGGCTATAGCCTGACCTGCTGCTATCAGGACACTTAGGTGCCTGTCCCGTGACTAGAATGTTATCCATGCATGGGAATGAATATGTTTATCCCACGTGTGTTTATGTGTCGTGTGCGCTTTGAAGTATACACTGTTATATCGAAGCTTGAAGCTCCGATGCGCAATTTCCCATTTCGCTAGCAATGGTACATTGTGACGGGAAGTGGGAGTTGTGCTAGGAGCTGAGAGCGAGATATAACAGTGTCCCACCCGCCCTCCCATTATGGGTTGGTGGATATTTTGGGAATGATTCATATTTTCCTGTCACATATCCGTAGTCTCGCTTCACTAAAAAAGGCAACTGTAGTGATGTGGTTGCGTGATTTTATTTTTTCATGCTGTGAAGTTCCGGTTGGATATTTATGACGTCATAGGCCGGGAGCAGCTAACACTGGTGGCAGCGGTGGGATTCGAACCCACGCCTCCGGAGAGACTGGAGCTGTACCGTTATTGTAAACTGGGGTTCAGGTGGTGCAGAGTTTTCCATAATATGCAATGATAATAATTTTAAAAATGTGAAGTTCATCCGCCGTCCGTAGAGGGCTCAATTTGCAAAAGGCAAAGAACGGAATACTTAGTATACAGACAGAAGAACGAGCAGTTGCTGTTTCGTAACTCTGAGTTTCACGAATTAACCGAATCGATCATCAGACAATTTTCATCTGATGATCGATTCAGTTTGCCGTGAAACTCAGAGCTACGAAACAGCAACTGCCCGTTCTTCTGTCTGTGTATTAATAATAATGATGTAGAGATACCTTCATACAAGTTCCCTTACAAGATGAGCAAAAGTTGAATTCTCGTTCATTATCTGGGTTCGACGGTTTGAAAACCTGTGTAGAAAGCCTCTTCAAAAAGTACGAGCACAAGCCTCTTCATTTTGTCGGTTGTTCCGAGTGGCGATTTTTGTCTCTTACTCGTTCTATGGGCAGTGCAAATTATTCCATGCCATTTCAGCGCCCTCGAGTTCAGCGCCAACCAGGTGAGCGTAACCGTTTCATTGCCGTGAACCTAAGAGAAATTTTACAGCGCCACACATTCCAGCGCCATATACTTCAGCGCCACCAGATAAGCGCCGAATATCTCAGCGCCACATAAATCAGCGCCACATAAATCAGCGCCATATATTTCAGCGCCGAATACGTCAGCGCGACCTTTCTCAGTGCGACAGATCTCAGCGCTGTGTTTCTCACTGGCAGCGCCATTTTATTATACAATGCACGTATGAACATCGTGACTATGTCTGTACAAGTATTGACTTTGCGCTCTACTGTATCGCGCTGTACTCGATCGCGCTGTACTTGATCGCGCTGTACTTGATCGCGCTGAACTTCTTCGTGCTGTAAATTACCTCGCCTTACTTTTTCGCGTTGAGATGCTGGCGCTGTAGTTTACCGCGCTGATAGTCACGGCGCTGAAGAAGCTGGCGCTGTGAAATCATGCGCTGAAGTACCGGCGGTGAAATGTATCGCGCTGAAACAGCGGCGCTGAAGTGGCGAGTCACCGTGCAAATAGTCTCTGTACATTTAGTGTTATTTCCGGCAATGATTATGGAGCAATTGACTCAGTGCGTGTGTTACTAATAATCTGTAGCCCAGTTTGGGGCTTGAGCAAGCTTGCCTGATCTGATGATCAGGGCCGGTTAGGTCTACGAGTGTGTGCTACTGCCAATCATGACAAGGGAATGCACGCATACTACCAATGCCATAGTAATGGTGCTGAGTTCGAAAGTGTTGGATGTTCATATTTCGAAGTAGAATGTTGTAACTGTCCGGGAAAGGACCCGGTTCGTGTGTCTACGGACCCGAACCCGACATGCGACAGATGTTTGCCCTACTGATACTTACCGATACTTGTCACGGGGGCTGAAAGTAGATAGGAAAGGTTGGTCTGATGATTATCACTGGCAGTGACACCCTGAATTTCGATGCCAGAGTTCTCCAGTAGGTCCTGGTGTACGGAGGGCACGCGGAAGTGATTGGTGATCGCACCAACTTCTTCTTGTACATGTACCAGTAACATCAAGCCTTCAAGGGCGTCATACCGCCACGAGGCAGGAACAGGCGGAGTAAGGAAAATTCTCTAGACGTCCAGAGAGACCTATACGGCTATAGTAGCCTATAGCCTATATATAGGCTCCATGATATCCAGGCCCCACTGGCCCAAATTGTTTCCCAAACACCATGTAGACAGTACCGGTATGTAGATTCCTACTTCACGATTGCGCGCAGCCGCACTATGTTTGGGATAGGTCAAAGGTCGAAGGGTCAATCAACCATATTACTAGTATTATTACACAGCTAAGACCTCCTTCGTCTGGCAATCCGGTGTAGCCGGTTCGGTTAATTTCTGGAATTGCCGAGTTCCGACCTGTCTGCAGGTCGTGGGTTCAATTCTCGTGTGCGACACAAGGACTGGTTCATTCATGGCTTAGGATCCGGACCAGGTCCTCCCTGTAATGTTGTCTGCATGCGGAAATTACGTGGTGGTATCTTGTCGGTCATGCTAATGTGAGGGAACGGCTCCATGATCGGTAAGACTTTCTTTTTTTCTTCTTCTTTTTTTCTTCTTCTTTTTTTCTTCCAAACTAAATTACTTCTCTGCAAACTTTCCCAAATATGCCTCCTCGTGTGGTCACAACTATCTTTCCCGATGACTGGACGGTGTGCAAACTCGAGATGCGGGACCACCTCTTGAGTGTGGGACTAGCGAAGCTCCAAGAGGCCAAACACTGGATTTCTAACTGGGATACGCCCTGCAACCAGCAGTTATTGGAGACGCTGAAAGTTCTGAAATCCACACTGTATAGCATGGAATAGTGTTACGATGACCACTCCGATGGAGGATAGACGCATCGACGATTTCTCCTGGCTGCCACCGCGGCCTCTTTCACTTGGTGAACGTTTTCGCAGTCGCATCACTCCGTATACGACCAGTACCCGGGCCGCCTAAATACAGGGTTGAACTCCAGATCCAAGCCCAGTATGTCCAGGGCAACCTCGGAGCAAACAGAAAGAACAGAGAAGTGAAAGCAGTGTTGGGAAGTGCGGAGACCCTTGGCTTCATGATGATGTACAACCAGTATTGATCCCTGCCCAGATTTATCTCCATGCTGGATGGACACTTGGACGCTTTTTGACATGACCAAGTCGTGAATGCTTGTTGACAATAACATTTGAGTAAGGTCAACTTCAAAATTACAGCAATACCG